GTTTGAAACATGGCATGTTCTACGGGTCCGGCCACCAGATTTCGGCACCTTTTTCGGATGACGCGATCGGCGAGGTACTCCGCCTCCGCACACTTCTTCAGCTCGTATTCCACGTTCTGAAATTGAAAATGAAGCAAATTGGTAAGATTCCACGTGGCGTACCACCATCTTGGCGGCCAACTCGTCGATAGCGGCCAGCAGGGTCCTGTTCGGATCGTCGTCGCTGTCCCAGACGTACTTCTTCCACTCCCAATTTCTCTCGGACACCGCTTTGAACACATGGTGACAGTCGATTCGGATCACTAGACGCGGGATTTGGTGGACCGTGGCCTGAATTTAAACATTTTCCATTAATTCCAGCGTCTTACGGCCTCACAACTTCCAGAGCTCTTCTGATTGCCATGTATCTGCATCGGATCTCGTTCGTCTCGCCGCAAACAGTGACGGATTGGTTTCGCTTGTCACCTGCCAAAAATTTATATTGTAGCTCGTGGGACAAAGGGGAAAAACCATCTTTCCAGAAAATTCCATAGCCGCATTCTTGACGGCGGTCTGGATGAAAGAAGCTGGAGGCGGAGATGGAAACGGCGGGAACTCGATCCAGTTGCGGAGTCTTCGCCAGTAAATTCACACGATCCATGGCGTACGATAACTCGGAACTCTTTTGTACGTAGATTTTCTGGAAATTGGATTTATCTTTAAATTGTCCGTTACTCACCATCGACTCTCTCAATGCTTCAATCTCCTTGCCGATATCGGCGTTGATGTACAGGTCGGGGCCGGTCATCCACTGGTACTTGATCCACATGGCGATTCCGTCGGCGAAAAAATGATGGATGAGCGAGCTGGCGGTTCGAATCGTCAAAAAGCGGATGCCGCTCTTCTTCACCAGCTCCATCGCTCTCTTGGCGGCCATCAGCTCGGCGCGGAACTCCTTCTGATCGCCGCAAACTCGTCCACTTTCATTGCGAGCGTCATCTGTAAAGAAAACTGAGGATTATTGTATTTCTGTCTTTTGTACCTGGTCCGAAATACAGTCCGTATCTCGCCACTCCGCACGGTAGACGAACTCCGCAGAGCGTCACTTCCGCGCGAATAATCTTCCCGTGGATTCTGGAGAGGTATCCTGCCTGCAGCTGTCCGTTCGAAGTCGTTTCTGATTGTAGCCATTCGTGAGCGAGTTTTGTGAAATGAATTTTGAGCGTATCGACGCGATGCGTCAGATCCTCATGATCGGAGTTCTCGCTCCAGCGATGTTTGGCGGTTCTGTTGATCAACGAGTGCATATCTTCGCACTTGCTCCTGATGATCAACTCGTCCAGGTGATGGTCGATGGCCGTCGACATCGCCGCCCAAATGGCCGTGATCTGTCCCCTCCGATGGTGCTGCTTTCCTTCGACGCCTCCGAACTCGTTCCTGGCGTCTCCGGGTCCCCACCATACGCCATATCCAGCTTTCAGTGGGCGATTCGTCGCGCGCGAACGGTCGACGGCTGTTCCGTGGATGTGTACCACTCGGACTCCTCTGCTCCAGAACTCGTCGTCGATCGGATTGGAGGCCGTCGAATGCATGCCAGCTGTCTGTTTGGCACGCAGAAGGGCGTTGCGGAATCCGACGTTCGACTTTGAATCGTCCACTTCCGCCTCTTCGATCCAAACTCTCTGTAACAGAAAAAGAGCGGTTGAGACTGAAATCTAACCATTTTCATTCACCAGTTCACATCTGAGCCGGCCGATCTTCTGGAGCAAATCCCGGTTCGCGAATTTGTGTTCGTCATTAGCCCCCGTTTTGTCCCATTCCTCGAGCTCTTGGGCGAGTTTTTGAGAACGATGCCGGATAATGAGTTTGTCGAGCCCGGAGTTCACGGCCTGAAACGGAACCCAAATTCAGATTTCCAAAAGTGCCTCGCGTTTGCTCACCTTCTGAAGAGCCGCAAAAACGCCGGTGAGGAGCGTCCTCAAAGTGCTCTTCGATCCGATCGCCGTGCCGCACGCGTTTTTCTCATCGCCCGGACCGAAATTGAGTCCATATCCGGTCCGGGCGGTTTCGGAGCCGTCTGCCGAACAGACTCCGTCGACAAAAACTACGGGGTCGCCGTCGTCGCGCCAGTAGGCCATGCTCGAGTCTGAAACTTGATTTTAAACAGTTTTTCATATTAGTGGCCGAAAACGTTGGATGCAAGTTCGGCCACGCACGTCGGTAGGTCGAAAAAATAAAAAGGGAATAATGGGTTCAATCCAGAATGAGCAAAAAGCCAAAAATCAGCAAAAAAAATAAAAATATTTAAAAAAGGTTAAAGCATGCAATAGTAAGAACAAGAAATAATATCACACGAGTAAAGGAATTGTGCATTTTAAATGACTTTTTACTATCGTGACAGATCTTTTGATAAAAGTCGATCGAACAGGACGAGCTGGAAATTTGTAAGTTGGGGAGCCAATTGAGTTAATTGAATTCACCTCCATTCTCTCGCGGAACATCCAAATATCTGTCATCAGCTCGTCGTCTTTTCCGTCTTTCTTCTTATCGTAATCCGTCCGAATGATCAGCTTCGTAATGTTACAGTCCTCTCTGTCTCTCGATGGCTCACAGTTTCTAATGCTCTTCTGATTGCCAACAACTTGGCTTTTCCGACGTTCTGTTCTCCGCGCACTTTCCCAATGTCATTTTTAACGTCATCCGGACCCCAGTCTGCTCTGAATTCAGCAGTGATGTCTGGAGCTGTCTGAAAGTTTAGGAGATATGCAATGAAAAGTGAAAAACATATAAAATCCCGTGATAAATGTAAGTTTCGGAAAAATGAGGTGGAGACGATGAAAGAAATCATTTATAAGTCAAACACGAGGTTTAATATAAAACATCCTTGTCTGCCGATGCATTAGAGGTTATTATTATGTTCAAGTTTCGAATATATTTGTACAGACTGAAAATTGAGAATTTCCAACGGAACAACTCCATTTCCCACCTCTAGTTTCCTTGCATAACTTCGGATATCTGTCAGAAGACGTTCATCCTTGCCATCTCTTTTTTTATTATAGTTCGTTCGGATGATTAGTATGAAGATTTTGTTGTGATAGGCCTGAAATGTCCATTTCTTTCTCGTTTCTAACTGCTCCGCACTCACAATCTCGAGAGCTCTTCGGATGGCGCACAACTTGGCCCTGGCAACGCTCTGCTCTCCGTTCACCCAGCCCACTTCATTTTTCGGATCTTCTTCGGATCCCCAGAACACTCCGTACCGAGCGGTCGACTCATTGTTTCCCGTGATCAACTCTCCGAACGTGAGCACCTGCACGTAGCCACGAATGGATTCGGCCAGTTCCCGTGCTCGAGAGATGTGCTCGCATCCGATTCTCACATCGACCGTCAGCCGATCGAGTAACTTGTCGAGCTTCTTGCATTTTTTTCCATGCACTCTGTCGGCTTTCCCGAAGGCGTCGGCCATCCCCTTTTCTTCCATTCTTTCCTCCAAACATTCACAAATCGCACCAAATGCTCTGACTGCGTGTAGACGATTATATGCGTGAAAGGTCCAGAAAGAGCCTGAAACGTGTCTTCTCGATTCTCCTCTCTTCACTGCCTACTTTTTCGATTGTTCTCGCCAATGCGAACATCTCCGCGCAGAGTGCTCCGTGCTGTCCTCCCAGCCATCCGCATTCTGGCGAGGTCTTCCAGAAGATACCGCATCGGGCGACGCCGTCTTCAGCTGTCGCAATTCCACAGATCGTCACGATGAGTGTTCTACTTTTCGAGTGAAGTCTCGTTTCCTTCATTGCCACAGTTTTCACAGAACTTTGACGCACGTGCTCTTTGGCCAATCGCTTCGCTTCCATCTGACCGATAATTGTCATGCTTCTTCTCGATGAAAGAACATGAGTAACGCTCTGAAATTCATCATTTAACAAGTTCGTAAACGCAAAGTGCTCACTTTGAAAAGTGTCAGATAACTATTAATCATATCGGTCAACGTTCCGTTCACTAGGAACGCCTTCGAGCGTTTTCTCGCCTGATATGCGTTGATCGCCACGTGAACATTCCGTTCTCGGCTCCGAATGATCAGATTAGGAATGCCTTCGGCAATGGCCTGCAAATTAACGGACGAGTCATGGGTCGAAAGATCCCAACCAGAGAATTCCAAAGAAGAACACGTTTCGTTTCCTTTCGGTGAGATCTTTCGACCCATGTAGAACTTGCTTCGATCACTTTTTCAAGGGTCATTCCTGGTAAACAAAACTTTGTGAATGGCTTCTGAAGTTACCGTGCGAAGGGCGTGTGCGAGGGCGGTCAGATAAGCGCGCCAGTATGCGCTGTCGCGGGAATCCAGTTCCTCGCGTCCGACGGACCAGTTCCTCGCGTCTTCCGGGCCCCAGAAGACGTGGACTGCTGTTGAACTGCCACAAATATCGACGAGCGGGACAAGGAATTCTGGAGGCATTTCGAATAATCCCGAGCTCGGAGTACACTTCTGAGTTATTGAAATATTCTGAACAATGATTCGGAGACAATTTCAGCCAGCTGAGAAAAAAAAGATATCTAATGTGACAGAACAATCGTATTAAAAGAGAAGCAAACTGATATCAATCGGTAAAAAGTATTAATAGGTGTAATATTATTCAAGAAGTTGCATGTAAGGGGTAAAGAATATTCGTAAAAGGGGACGAATAAGTATTGTTAATTTGGGTTAAAACTTTTCGAGGACGCTATAGAATTCTTCAGGGCAATGCTTCACGTACTTCACACACTGAAAATGAAAATTTCTGCTTTGAAGCGATAACAATGAAAACCTCGAACTTATTCTGCAGATCTCTAATTTCTGAGATCAGTTCCTCATCTCGCCCGTCCTTCCACTCATAATCGTTTTTGATAAGCAACTTGGACATTTTATGAGTCAGGGCCTGAAAATCAGTTCATTTCCCCAACACATCGGTTATTTCTGCTCACAATCTCCAGGGCGCGTCGGATGGCCATCAACTTGGCCTTTCTGGCACTCTGTGTCCCGTCGACTTGCCTTATTTCGTTCATTCTGTCGTTCGGGCCCCAGAATACGCCGTATCGGGCCGCTGGCTCGTTGTTTCCGGCGTCGCACGCACCAAAAGTGCCCACGATCACGCATCCGGCCACCGATTCTGCCAGTTTTCTGGCTTCCGGAATGTTTCCTCTTTTACCATCTTTCATGACTACGGTCTGAATCGAAAATTAATTTCCGCACACTTTCTGAATCCTACAATCTGCTGGAGCTTCATCTCCAGCTCTTTGCATCGTTCCATGCAGCGCGAGAGGCATCCAGTGGGCGTCTGCCAATCGTAGTATTTCAACGCCTTAACAAATCGAACCAACTGCTCCCAGTTGGAGTAGACCGTCAGCTCCCTGATCCCTTTCTCGATTGCCTGAATCATGCAAGTATTATCGAACATTTCCACAAATGCTCACTTTTTGGACGGCTCTTCCCAGGGCGTACATTTCGGCGCACTTCTCCCCGTGCTTTCCACTGAGCCATCCGCTCTCGTTTCTCGCGTCGCCCTCTTTCCAGAATATACCGCATCGGGCGATTCCGTCTCGGGCGGTCGCGATTCCATAGATCGTCACACTTCCCCTGAAGACTCCCGAGTATAGTCGGGCCATTCGCTCCGCCTCGGTTTGCCCTCGAATGTCGGCTTTCTTGAGCACCAGGCGATGTGTCACATTCTGAAATAACTACTTTCAAGTGAATATCACGTATTGAACTCACTCTGAAGTGTCGGAACTCGGCGTTTATCGCCATCATCAATTCGCGCTGCTTCTGCCCCATTTGGAACTGTCTTCTCCACATTGCATTCGCACCAATCTGACTGCGAACGAACATCTGGTGAAGGGAATTATCGTTGCTGCGAATGATCAATTCTTGGTGTCCGTCGGCTCTGGCCTAAGGTTCAGAAGAAATGTTTATTCCAGAAGCTTTATTATAAATGGCGATCTTACCGTGGAAAGGGCTACTCGGAGGGCAGTCAGAATGGCACGGTACGTCGTTTGGGAGCCGGGCACGGCGCCGCTTCGATTGCGATCATCATCTTCAAAAAAAAAGTGAGATTTGTCATCGAGTTAGCTTACCGAAGCTCCAGAATACTGAAAATCCGGCCTTGGCGTTGGGAGAGCCGTCGTTGCAAACTCCGTAGATGTCGACGATCCGGACACCGGCCTCCCAGAACACGTTTGCCATTCTGGAGATACAGTATTAGATAAAACACACGAACAGTCACAGAAACAAGATAAGTATTCCGGTTTTTACGGAACGAATCGTAAAAACTCCAATTAGCAATGAAAATCAGCATTCATTTAAAATTTACAGAAGTGAGTTTAAGCTTAAAATTCAACGTTACATGGAAAACAAATCAATACAAGAATTCAATAATTCAACAGTGTTTGAGCCAAATTATCGGCTATCTGATTCTCGCAATGCGTCGGAGTGTGTTCAAATTGAACTTTCTGCAAACGAATTGGAAACTGAAACAGTTTTCGCCTTCTCTTTGCTCACCGGAATCTGCTTCGAAAGAGCCTCAATCTCGCACATTAAGTCTTCGTTTCCAATTGGCGAATTCTGCAGAGTCATCGTATCAAACGTCATTTTATCGGCGATTCGGAACGAGAGACTGGAGACGTCCGAGTCGAGGGCCTAAAGAATTAGAAGGTTTCAAGCGAAACTTCGGATTTTCCACCAGTTGCAAGGCGACTTTCACACTCATCATTCTCGCGCGGACATTGTTCACAACGCCATCTACTGGACCTTGACAGTTTCGAGCATCGGCAGGCCCCCAGAAGACGGAAAAGGCCGCCTGTGCTCTCTCTCCTCTCCCCTTGCAAACTCCGCCAATGTACACGACTTGTGTGTCGTTCAATAGGTACGGACTGTTCGTTTTCGGCTCCACCGGCACGGCTACTTTTGTTGGCGTTTTTCATAGCTGACTGCTGGCTTCTTTTTCAGTGACCCCACCGTCACTTGGATAGTCTGAAATGTAACTCTAAATACAGCAGTTCAACGAATTCTGATCCGACCTCCTCCTTTTTGTTTCCTTCAAATCTACGAAGAGCTCTTTTCTTTTCGATCTGCGGAGACTTTTCATTAAGTTCGACTATCAACCTTTCCATCGTCAACGTTTTCGCTCTTTCCAATGCGCCGTTCTTCACACGCCGATTCAACCTTTCCAAAGTCACTTTCTCGAGCTGCTGTGCTATGATCGCAATTTCCAGGGTATTCTGACGACTGCAAATTCCTTTTTCACACGCAATCGACACAAATTTGATTTCTTCCGAGCGAGTGAGAATGTGAATAACTGGAATTTTTTTCAGAAATCGCCTGAAACTGACGTTACTCATTTTTCCGATATCTTTGTTAGTCACCGTTTTTCAGAGCGGCTTTCAGAGCACACAGCTCTGCTCCGAACTTGCTCTGCTTCCCCTCCATTCCCCCGACCACATTCCGTTTGTCGTTTTCTCCCCAGTACACCGCGTACGCTGCTTTCGCGAGCGCATTGTTATCTTCCTTCCAGGACGCTCCAAAAATGGCAACAATTGGAATTGGCGCCGGCGCCGTGGGCTCTTTTTTGACGAAGAGCGATAGAATTCTCTTAAAAGGAGGAGTTTCCGAATTCAAATCTCTCGACGCCAGCTGATGTGCCAATTTATACCCGTCCTTCTGGTTTTCCGACTGCACATCGGCCATCCAGTACATCTGAAAAAGACAATGAAACCGAATGGCTGAACTTTGGCTGAACTTGATCTTTCGCCATATCTCTCAGTTTATCGATTTCTTCGAGAAGATCAGAGTTTCGAAACTCTCTTCTTTCTCGTGGCTTCGTCTCTTCCCACAACTCAATTGCTCCGTTCATTTCATTGGATTTCGTCAAAATCACTAATTTTTCTATATTCTCGCAAACGGCCTGAAAACGTTAGTTATTGTGTCCGAACGCGAAGTTTTTAACCAGACTTGCCAGATTTCGGGCCGGCCATGCGGGCCGGCCCGGGCCGACCCGGGCCGGGCCGGGCCGGGCCGGTAAAGTGCCGGCCCGGGCCGGGCCAGGGTCGGTGAAGTGCCGGCCCGGTCGGCCCGGTTCAAAAGGCAGGGAATTCAAATTTTTCGCGGAAATTTTTTTCGTTATTACAAAAAAATTTTTCGAACTAAAGATTTTAGTGTTTCTTCTTTGTTTTTTTGCTATTATGAATTTTTTTATGAGAAATACATTTGTTTTTTTCAATGTTCGATGCTTGCAAAAAAACCCCGAATTCTACAAAAAAATGGCTTCATGCGATCAATAATTCAAATTTTTGAATTCCCGCTTTTTGAACCGGGCCGACCGGGCCGGGCCAGGTCGGGCCGGGCCGACGGGCCGGGCCGGGCCAGAGTTTTGGAAATTTTGGCCCGGCCCGGCCCGGCCCGTGGCAACTATGTTTTTTTAACCATTTCCAGAGTCTTTTTTTCACTCCCGTGAGCTCCGCGCGCAACTGGCTCTGCTCCCCAGCCACCGGACCGCATTTGTTCCTCTCATCGTCTGAAAAAAAGAGCATATCTCCGAGAAACTCGTGCATTTCTTACGCAATCCCCAGTAAATGCCATAACTTGCTTTGGACTCTTGCTCATTTTGATTGGAGCACACGCCTGCGATAAATACCACCGAGCATTTCTGCTGATCGTTCCAGAAAATTGGGGAAATGCTCATCTGCAAATTCTGAATAGTTTTGAACAATCGCTGATCAAAAATGCCTGTTACGGCTGTAGTAAAAACAACGATACGCAAGAGGAACATAGAACACCGAAAGTGAAAAGAAAAATGATATTAGGAAAACAAGAAATTCATACAGAAGAACACAAAATACGTTGAATACGATTGAATCGAAGCGAACAAGAAAAGAAAGACATTTAGAATTTAGATCTCATCATTTATGGCCAAACGTTGACCTTCATGTCGCTGGACGCTTGCTGGTAGCCGGTCACTCGCATGCGCTGAAACCATTATAAAATTTTGAAAAATTAAAATGTTTGATTTTGAAACCTCGTGCGCATATACTTTTATTCTTTTCTGAGGTGTCCGAACGCAGGATCGCTGATTTTCAAACGTCGGTTTTTTTGAGGCCCCAGCGTTCCCTTTGCTCTTCTGAATGTGAACATTTCCCCTAGACCCCCATTTATGTTCACAAACCTGATCCTCGTTGTACAACATCAGATTGTCTAATTTTTCGTAGATTGAGCTCATCATCGATGCCTCTTTATTTTGCGACTTCTTGAAGAATTTGGGCGGCCTTATAACCAGCTCAATGATCTGAAAATCAGTTTACGGCCATTGGGATCAGAATCTTTTTTACGTCTTCATCGTCTGTATCAGGAGGAGGCATCAAGACTGGCTTCTGCTCTTCGATTGGCTTCTTCTTCTCGATAGGACACGCATCTTTGGCAAGTGTTTTTGCTTTACACAGCTCCTCACATTCCGTTTTTCGATGGGAACAGCTTCACAGTAATTTCTAGCACCTCATTGGCCAGACTACGCCATTCGGAATCTAGATCGGAAGTAATTTTTCCCGATTTTTGTTGTTCTGCTCGGCGGCATCATCACCCCGTGAATTGATTAGCATGGCGACGTGCGGCGAGCGTGTGAGCACTTGAATTCGAGTCAATCCTCGCGACATCCGCGTCGCCGCAATCAGCGCCGTCACCTCGCCTCGCAAACTCGTCTGTTTTCCACCGACCTGACCGCTTTTGTTGCGTATGTCGCCGTCGCCCCAGTAAATTCCATAAGTGGCACGTGGATTGTCTTGTCCTTCCCTAGCGCACGCTCCACATATGGCAACTGTGTGCACTTTGTCGAACTTGAACCCTCTTCGAGTGGCCAACGTGGCAGCTTTGTGGTATCCTTCTGTTTGACAACTTGAAGCTGTCGCAATCTCTTCCAGCCAGTACAACTGTAAATTGTAGAAAATTACATTTTTCAACAAACACGCCTAATCTACATAATCTTTCGCTTCATGACAGAGTTCGTGGATTTTTCGTGAGAAGATCGGAATTGTGGAAATCGCGTTTTTTTCTCTCGAGTCCGCATTCTCCCATCTATCCAATTCAGCGTAAACTCCATCTGGCTTCGCGCGAATCACCAAACTAGCAATTTTATGAGAAATCGCCTGAAAAACTTATATTCCCTACGGAAATTTGGTTTCAATCACCTGTTCCAGAATTCTCTTGAGACCGGTGAGCTCTGCACGCAGTTCATTTTGCTGTCCGGACACGGAACCGGATTCGTTTCGGGCATCCTCTGAAAGCGGAAACGATTTTCAAATACTAAAAGCTATGATTCAGGCACCTTCTCTATAAACGATTCCGTAGGTCGCTTTGTGCCGGAAGAATATTCCGGCCACGTAGACCACGGGGCAATTTTGTTTAGAGTGCCAAAATATTGGGTTACTACTCATGCTTAGAATAAATTAAATTCTCTGAAAATCAAACTTCTGAAGGCAAAATAAAGCAGTGAATGTTGTTTGAAAATGGAATTTGAGAGCAGTTTTGAGAAAAGTCACGAATGTTCAGTTTAAGAATCCGTGCAGATGCGCGAAAAATCACGCGCACCGTTGGCGCACAGTAAGCAGCAGATTCGACGATAAAATGAAGGATTCATATAAATTCATTCAGAATCTGAAAATTTTGAGTCAAAATTCGCGGAAAACGTATCTGATTGAGTACTTTAATCATTCATCTCATAATCTATAAAATATTCAAAAAATCTAAATTGATGCCCGCCGCAAAACAGCTCGTAAATTTCCCAAATATCCCTATGCATTTCGTTAACCGTTCCGTTCACCTTTCCCCAACTCGAACATGTCGATGCGCACAAAATCGATTTTCCAGAGGGACACCTTCACGATGACCCCCTACTCTTTGTGTTTGCGCACAATAGACAGTGAGAACACCCACGTCATATCGCCTCCTGTCTTCCCATTGTGCACATTCTCCCCCCTTTATTACCCCAATTTCTATTCCACTATCTTAACGCATTTTTTCATTGTTATTCGAAAAGAAAACGTTTCGAACTGTGAACTGCAAAGTTTCGCTGAAAGATAAGATAGAAATGACCCTTTCCCCGGTGCCGATCGATTCTTCGTTCGATGGCTCCGAAGTGGCCACTCCGTGCACAGTGATTGCCAGAAAAAGTGTGAGAAGACAGCCAGACACGGATTACGAAGAAGATGAAGAAGAGGAAGAAGTGGACGATAGTGAGTAGAATTTCGAATAAAAACATGATATTAAGCGCATTTCTTGCAGTTTCCACAATCTACGACGATGACACAGAAGAGGGATCGAGCGAGGACGCTACTTCGGGCGCACATCTTCTCCCGAGACAATCCACATTCGCCAGATGCATCACTAAAGTGTACTGTTATGTGGATGACCAACAAGTTCCGTTTATGGCAGAAGTGCCTGTGCCTCCGGAAGCAATCACTTTGAGAGATGTGAAAAGGACGCTTGCAAAGACAAACTACAAGTTTTTACTGCATGGCACATGACCCGGATACTGGAAGGTGAGCTTTTTGAAGTCAAATGACCGTCGGTCATCATCGTTTTTCAGAACTGTGAAAGCAGAAGTGTGCGCCGACGAACGGAAGCTCTATCCGCTGAAAAAAACGGACGGTTCGAACTGTATCTGCTCTCTTTGGAAGGATCGGTTTGCTCCGATTCCAGCAAGAGCCGCGGGAGCAGGACTCACAGCTCAATGCGTGGGAGTAGAGCGCAGCAAAGGCGGTTCAATGAGACAAGTGAGTTTTTAGATGATATTTAGCCATAGGTGTAATTTTTCAGGCGCCACGTCGGATTCCGAATCTCAAGTGCTCGCTCCACACACGTACATCCAACGGACAATGGGATACCAACGTCTCGGCGGAGCGCTTCAACTGAACGGATACGGTAACATATTCTTACGGAACGTCTTCTCAATCTATCTCTGCTTTCAGATCATACACCCTTCCGCCAGCAGCATCAGTATGACAATCAGAATCCGTACGAAGACTCTACACTAGATGTGACCGAGCCGGATGCCACTCACAAGACTTATTTCGATGATGAAGACGATGATAGACATTCGATTGACACGGACTTGACGTCGGTGTCACAGCAGCATCTGAAGCATCGGTACCGGTATCAGCAGAGGCCGTACAGGGGCGGATGGAGGCAGAATTCGGCAATGTCGACGATATCTTCAACAGTTTCCAGTGTCCAAGGTTAGATAAAACCGTCCATTATCTTATCTCGAGCTAAAACGAAACTCCTCCTCCCTTTGTCTTCTTTCCATTCCTCTCCAATCTCGCTCATTCCAGAATCCTCAATGGGTCTCGAAGTGATCACAGTTCGTCTGAATCTAGACAATCAGCGGCTCGGAATGATCCCAACTGGCCACGTGAACGCGCACGGAGACGCCGGTCTCTACGTGGGAGTCATCAACGAGAACGGCGCCGTCGCCCAGGACGGACAGATCGACGAGGGCGACATGATCGTCGCCATCAACAACGTCAGTCTCTCCAGCTATTCGAACGATCAGGCTGCTCAGCTTTTGAGGTAGTTGTGTGCTTTTCTTTCTTTTTCAGTTCAATGTACATAATTTTGAATTTCAGCAATGCCTGCCAACGACAAACCGGACGTTCTACGTATATTTCGATCACAGTTGTCAAGACTGGGGAGAAGAAGAGAGGACTGCCGATTAACCCGAGGGAAGAGCCCGTGCGACCGATCGATGCGAACGAATGGATGAAGCATGCGAACAGAGTGATGGAAGTGATGCCCATGATATCTGAAGGTAACCTTTGCAAGCCATGATGATCCTCATCTCGTTCCTTTTCAGAGAACTCTTCCACTCCTGGCTCTTCGGTCCACGACCATCCCTTCAGCGGACCTCCCTCCTACCTCAGTTATCTGAACGCCTTCACGGACAAGAAGTACATTATCGGAGCAATGTGCACACCCGGCTCAGGGCTTGAAATAAAGGATCGGAAGTGGCTGAAGATCCTCATTCCAATGTGCTTCACCGGAAGAGATCTCGTCGATTGGCTCATCCGGCACATTCAAGGATTAAAGAAGCGGAAGGATGGACGCAAGTTCGCAGAGGAACTGCTCAAGACGGGATATATTCAGCACGTTGTGAGCAAGAAACACTTTTCCGAAAAGTGCTACTATGTGCTGGGATGTGACAGAATTTAAAAGTGATATCGTTGATCTCTGAAGAGCGGGAATAAAATAATTGTCCAGGATGATTTTTAATAAATTATATTCGTTTCTTCTTGTGACCCCCTCCAACTCTAGAATTCCGTTTGATTACGTGAATCGTGAATTTCCCGTGAATCTCTTTCGTGACATGCCACGTGGCTACACGCAAACACTGCGATCCGATCAACCAGACAAATCCGTTCATTCTTCGAAAAATGTACTCAGAAAGCGAGCGATCCATTCCTTTAAAAAATCGACATCAAGCACGGAGGAGCGGGCGGGGAAAGTTCCGGACGGAATGGAGATGCTGCTGCTGACCGTGCTCCGGCATCTCGCACCCGCACAATGCGTCAAAAAGACGGTGTTCGCCACCAAGGCACTGGCCCCTATCGAGAAAGACTACGAGAGCGAAGAAGAGAAAAGGGAGGCAGTCGTGGCGCTTCTCGGAAACGGATGCTGCCCGGAACAAGTGATGCAAGCTGTGCGCGAATGTCAAGAAAAGTGTGACGATAAGTGAGTTTTAACACGCCTGATGTGCACAATTCAGCTGATAATGTCTCTTTCAGCTTACTGAGATCGGTCGTCACGCCGACTCCGAAGAGTAGAAAAAGATCGACGGATGTGAGCCGCCAATAATTTCTTCCGTGAAAAGTCAGTGTCAACGTGGTATTAATTGACCGTTGTCTTCGACTTGAGTTCTGTTTTTGGTTAGCGGCGAATTCTCCGCTCTACCGTCTCTTCGTGGATTGGCTACTCAAAAGATCGTCGGCCCGACAGTACCGGACTCCCGCAACGTCAGTTAGCATGTTTCAGAATGGAAGTGCTCGTCCTTTCAGAAGAACTTCTATCAAAAAGCACCAAATTATTGTTCCCTGAGCTGTCTGAAAATGCACATTTCCCGTGAATTCGATCCATTTTTCTTCGCGTTAATCTCTCATCGGATAGGAAACGGCGGGGATTTGGATGATGGGAGCAGGGATTAGAGGCCAGGAGGAGGAGAGGAGCCGTTTAATATTCAGCCGAGTGCGTGCACGTTTGCAACTCTTTCAGAGAACTTTTAGCAGGGAAGGGAGCGAAGAGCTTCGCTTTCTTTCGTTCTTTCTGTGCAATTGCTTCGGGCGTCTAATGTAAGTACGAATCCTGAAAAGTTTAAATGTTGTCAGGTTCTCTGCGCGCCGCCCACCTGTGAGTACATCAGTTTAAAACAAAGAGCATCAATCAAGTGCTGTTGAACGGAGTTCAACGGTTTCAATTTGACTGCCATTGTAACATGATTCACACTTCTCTGCATCCCTCTCTCTCTCTCTCTCTCTCTTGCTTTCCTCTCTAATCTCGCTCATTCGCTTTTGTGCTCGGATATACAGGGTGGGGAATAAATATAGCGCCCAATTCAAAATGCCGTAAAAAGTTCAAATCGCAAGATTTTTTTCTGTAAATCTACTAAAAGCTCTATTAAACAATAACAAAAAGAATGGCATTAGCAGTTTTTGCCGATTGCACCTTTCTCTTCGTTGGCAGCCGTCAGTCTCCTCGGATACGAGTCAGCGGCGGCACGGGGGTAGTTGACGTAAAGATCGTGTCATGGCTTCCGTAGTTCAACTTTCCGGACTCCCTATTTTGGTTAATTGTGAATGGATACATACTAGGCAAACCACCCAAACTCGGAGAAGTCCATAGAAATCATATCCGACTTGAAATCTACTCGTTCTTCTTAAGTGATAAAACTTGCGAAATTGGCTTTGCGCCACTGTTAGGTGGTTTTGGCTCGATGAGCAGGTGTACCGTCTTGCTGGAAGACCCTATCTTGTTTTCCGTAATCTACTAGATCCAAGACAGTTCCTTCGACCCGAGAATCTTACTAGAGTAGCATTTACGGTTGATTTTCGCTCCAATATCAGTGCTGTTTTGCCATTGGCGGAAATTTTCCAAAGAACCATTACTGAAGCCGGATAAAAAATTTTAAAAATTATTTTTCCATTTCGACGGACAGTCTCAATGTCCCCTGAGATGACCTTGTTGTTGTGATTATCATTTTCGATACCAGCAGCGTGTAGCCACTCATCTCCGATCAGAGTCTGCAGGCGCGTGCCTTGCCGCGTGCCGCCAACGGGACTTCCGGCTTTCTTGAAGCGAAAGTCCTTGTTATGGAACGATTCTTTTGAATACGATAAGGAATCATATTTAGTTCCTGTCTGGCAATAGCTTACATAGATTTTAAGCTCATACGGAACTCTGACGACATTTTTCTACGTGCTTCTCTCCGGGTTTCTACGATTTTTTTGCTCTAACCGATATGACCATCTTGGGAGTTGTCACTGGGATCGGGGGACCACTTCTCTACTTGTCTTCCAATGTTCCGAGGTGTCAGAAACATCGGGAAGTCATATTAACAAACAATCTTCCTACGCCGAGCTTCCTAACTATTTTAGACGATCGCATTCCTATCCTTGTGAACCCCATAATTACGGACCTAGGCGATGACGGAGCCACCATTTCTCTCAATATTAACAGAATTGTCTGCAACATAGACAAATGGTCAAAAATGAAGTGATGAATGGAAAAAATAACATGAGCGGCCATCCCATTGGTTCTGTAGGCGCCAGCGCTGACGCGAAGTTTGGGCGCTATATTTATTCCCCACCCTGTAATCTTTTCCAGAGCACCCTCTGTTACCCACTTTCCCTTCTCCTCATCACTCGCCTATTTTCTGTCCATTCCTTATCACTCACCATGTCTCTTGTAAAAATAACATTCGCTCATTCATTTACATGAGAAAGAACATGAGATTCTATTTTCGGCGCTGACCTCTTCCTTCTTTTTCTTGGTCCGCTATTCTGAAGAACCTATATAAATGAAGAAGAGGACGTCACATGTTTATTGCGTTTTCTCGTTTTCCGGCGTGTCGATGATTCCACATTTCCGGTTGTTAAAGTGACTACAGTAATTGTTTGGTACTTAGGGTTTTTTTCATAAAGAGCAGATAATCCTATCGGCCTGAAACTTTCAAAGATGCATCATGTAATCTTGCGATGTTAGGATCGGCCGATCCGATCGTTTGACTTCTTACTGTAAGTTTAAAGACTCAAGCCCCAATTAGTTGGGGTCCAAAGAGCACGAAACAGTGTAACAACCGCCCATTACACTCTCCAAACCCATTCTCTTTCACATTCAAATTTGTTTGTCTTTCCGTTTTCTGTCTCTTTTTCTTTCCCTCCAAAGTGCACCAGACACATTCATCTGCCGATCAAACTCACACTGGTCAGAACACTTTTCCTCATCAAATATGAATTCGAAATCCGAAGTCAACGGTCTCCTTTGAAAAGCAAAGAAATTCGACGCCTTTTCTCTTTCTCCCCTTCAGTTTCCGTTCGGTCCTTCCCATTTTTTGTTGTGCCCAATGAATTCTTGGCCGTTTTAATCGCAGAGTCGTTATTATCGGGGGGTCCAAAGTTATTTCCAAAGTTATTTCCGATTTTCAAAAAGTTTTACGGCCTCTCATTTCCGGGACAAAGACAGGAAACGAAAACAATAAACGCGGGGCGAAATGATGTGATTCTCGCATTCAAAGCTGCTTACTGCTTACACTGACCGATGAAGCGGGGCCTCTAAATATAGTCGCAGTACCTTATCTTTTTAAAGACTTACTTTTAACACTGCTCTTATCAGACTAGACTAGGTCAGCTTTGAATTCAGACGATTCTAGATACAAACTCTTCTGATTTCGAGCTGTCTCTGAGTCAATAGAGGGCGAATGGGGGGAATGTTTTGGCAAGCAACTGACCACATTTTGCTTATAAATTATGAGCAAAACGAGGTAAAGCAAAATAGTTGGAGCTTCACATTGTGGAACTAAGCGTAGACGTTTTGCAACCGCTGTCATTTGTTAGAGTTTCTAGCCTGGGGTCTCAAAGCACTTTCCTTAGTTCTACTCTGAAATCTCTCATCTTTAGACACTTATATCTCAACGTCCAATGATTTTTTTCAAAAACTGGTCAAAAGCACGCTGGTACGTCAACTAGTGAACAGAACACTCACAAGTTCACTGACCACAAGAAGCCTTCCGATAAGGCTTCTCCACATTATTTTCTCTCCTTATCTCTTCCCTTCTCTCGCTTTTTCTTCAAATTCAAAGTGTTCCCTACTCTTGCCTTCTCGCTACGTAATCACTTGACACCTCATCCGAAACGACTTAAAATGAATCCCTTCATTTCGTCGCTAACCGATCAAAAACTTCCGATTCGGCTAGACTCGGAGGAAACGCGCCGGATTTCAGAGTGAATAACATGCCACTTTGCCTCTCAAGCATTCTTCACAATCGACGGCTCGTGGTCTCGGTTTGAAAAGAGTCGTTGATTGGGAGAAGTTCTTATTCATTGCCATCCAGTGTAATTTCTCTTACCACGTTGGCTCAGACATGCTCAGATCGCCGAGCAAACATTAATGTCATGTTCTTGCTCTCCAAAATCCTGATAGCACGGGTTGTTTTGCTTTTCCCAAAGAACGAGCAGTACAAATCGTTTTAATTTTCGAGTCCGCCCACACAATCTCATCGTTCATTCGCGCTGATCCCTCACTTTCCAGCTTTTCCAGACATCTCTCATTTTTCTTGCAGAGCCAACACGGATTCGTTCAGGAAAATGCGTCGGAAAGCGCCGCGTGCAACCATTTTGTACGCGGTGAATCCGGACAAGGGCGCGTTTCCGTTGCTCATGACGTTGCCCTACGAGAACTACAATAATCAGACGACGTCGACGTCTGGCACCGCCACCGAGGACACCGAAATGACCGAGATGAGCGAGGGGAACAAGTTGAAGTGAGTTGTTGCTGAGATTAAGGAGATTAAGGTCTTGAAGTGAACATAAATACGAATCATACTTGATTGTCCATCTACTGTAAGACACAAAATGACCGAAAAGTGATGAGCAAACTTTACAAAACCACTCTCTTTTGCTCCAATGAGCAAACTTTACTGCTCAGAACGGCTCACTTGATAGTTCAACTCTCAAAGCTTACTCTCATCGGCAAATAGTCTAACAGTTACAATACAAATGAGTACGAAATGAGACGAAAAAGAAGCCGGATGGCAGTAAATGAATGGCAAAAGATTAAAGATAAGAACATGTACACAAGTGTTTTTGGGCGGCTTCTTCTCTCTGTTTGTGTTGAAAGAGCACACACTGTTCTGCCAACCTGTACCGTTCTCTCCGTCTCTCATTTTTCCGCACTCTCCCGAGAAGCCTCAAAGTTCGTGCGCTACAGTATCTGGCGGATCGTCCAAAAATGTCTGCGTCAAACGCCGCCCACTTTCTTGTCATCGTTGATCAAGGGTATCGGTGATATGTGAGAAATAGAGAAGAAGACGAAAACGACAACGTCGATGGGAGAAGAAGAAGAAGAAGAAGAAGAAGAAGAAGAAGGAGAAGGAGAAGGCGAATATTTTGAATTATTGATATTGTGTGTGTCGCGGCGTCGCTTCCCCCCGTCAGTGTGTCTCACAGGCCCGACCCCGTACAGTTCTTCTTTCCGTTTCCGTTTTTACCCCCTCCCTCCTTCTTCGATTTCTTCGTTTTCATCTTTTTATTGTCCACCCTCCAGAATGGGAGACGTCGACGTCGTCGAGGAGGAGCAACGACGACGACGTGACGATACATCCTCGGATCAGTCGAGTCTTCCTTCCGATATTGTGCAGTTCAAGGCACGATCGCATCTGATGGACGGGTAAGGAGTAGTGCATGTTTCATTCTTTCACGGTTGCATGTGCATGGTTTCAGAGCCGAGTGCAGTCCGATCGAGCCGAATGACAAAGCGTGGGAGGACTATCGGTCTCGGTTCGTTTTCTTCCCGAAAGGCGTCAAAGTACAATCTTCCTTCCCTAAAAATAGAGAAAAGTATCCAAAGTGTCAACATATCTTTCGCCACTCGAGGTGAACTTCAATTAGTCGGTCGATTCATCATCTGGTGTCATCATCATATCTCATTTTTTTCCACCGTATCACCCGCTCGCGAATGGAATCTTCTCTCCGTTTTCGTAGAAATCATACCACACTTTTCTCTGCAAACCAGAATAGAACGGGCCTATTCTCAGTCTGTCTGTCTGACTGTCCGGCTGCTATTCAAATGTATATTGTATGTTAACGAACGAGATGGCCGAACTTTGACGCGTCAGAGTCGATCGGAGAAAGAGTGTTCGAATTAGAGAGACGCCGGACGAGTTCAAAGACAAACCACGAGAGATTGGGGAAATCGGAGAGACGTAGAGACGAGTTCAAAGACAAAGTCATAGTCAGTTCGGTGTGTATCCATTCGATTCATGGCCTAAAAGACGAAAATAGCTAGTCAGGGGGGAAGGGGGTCTTCTTGTTTCTTCAGTCCCGCTTCCGGCCATCATTGGGAATTGGATAAGACATTTAATGGGGAGAAAGAGGGACTATCAGTTATTGATTTCGAACCGATGACCAGGGAAAAAGTAAGTAGGAGTTGGGGACTTTTGGATGGAAAATGAACAAGTTGAAGGAGTTCCCAGAAATAAGAAAAAGATACTGGATATCTTTCACATGAATTTCTCATGATTGTCAACGGTTGGACAACTACCGTTCTGTAGTTTGATCTGTTTCCGAAGAACACTCAAATTCAGTGGCATTTGGCCTAGAATTGAGCTTTAGTATATGAACACCAAAATAGCGCTTATTAAAGGCCAAATATTTCAGTTGTCTGTAGAGATATCAAAAAGTAGTCAACTGATATAATGTACACAATGTTCTGATGAACAATTTATTAGTTTAAAGTTTTTTGATATCTTTGAAGACAGCTAAGATACATTGTTTTGAATGAACGACAAATGGAAGAGGCTGCAATTTGGTCTTTCTGAACAGAGAAAAGTTTATCTCATCAAGTTTATAAAAGTGAACTAATATAATATCGGATATCAAATGTGTTGTGACATAAACAATAACAGCAACTTCGGTGAGAGCAGAAAGCGAGGCCAACTGAAATCATTCGTCGAATGTTTGCCTTTTCCGTTCTTACAAGGCAGGTTTCTGTTTGCTTGATCATCCAAATTGGGAAAGGAAAAGGAGTTGAGTCTTTGCGTCTAGACTTCCGATGTTCTTCGGTTGGCCGAATTAGCTGCCAGTCCGCATGGGTCATGTCACATGTCACGGTCATGCAAATTGCAGCCAATTCGACTTCTCTCCGATCGCATCTCTCTTTTCGATTCCGTTCGACTTCATCTTCATCTCTCTCGCGACCTTCTCTCGCTAATCTTTTGACTTTCAAAGAACATTCGCTCTCCATTCCACTTCTTTTTCTCCTTCTCCTTCTTTCGCCTGTCGCCGTCCCGATCGATACAATTCGCGACAGTGCGTAATTTCTCTGCGCCCACGTTATTTCGTCGTCTCTCGAACTGGTTGGACTGCGAACTCACCGCCGAATTCGCACTGTTTTTGTCGATTTGTGTTTATTCTAGACACAGCTGATAAATCCGTGTACATTTCATCATCTGACGTCGATTAGTCTTTGAAAGATGAATTTCTCACATCCAGTTCTCCTCAATCGTCGTCTCTGATTGCGTCCCATTCCCATCATCCATCGCTTTGCTTCTTTTAGAGAAAAGACTGCGTTGGTTGCTTCCCCGGCCGTTTTATCCTCCTGTTAGATTTCGTCTCGATATGGCAAACCTTGTCAGACGCTTTCGGTGGTTAGTTTTCTTGCGGGGGCGGGCGTCAAGTATTGTAATCAGTGGAAGGTCAAACCAACAAAAACCAGTCATTCTTCTGCTAACTTTCATGTAATTCACCTTCTTCTAGGGTCCAAGAAAGCGGCGATCACATGGAGCTGTTAGGAGATGACGAGTCGAGCGACACCGAGGACCGAAACGATCTGGACGAGGACTACGACGACTACTACACAGACATGAAGTCGACGCGGAGAGAGACCACCAAAGAGTTTCTCACTCGTAAGTCTTTCCTTCGGTTTCATCAGAATCCTCTTTTCTTTTCAGGCCAATTCCAGAACATTGTGCACTTCTTCGTCGAAGACTGGTTCATTTCGGCCGCGCTCGGCTTCATCACCGCAATCTTTTCGATCTTCATCGATATGGGAATCGAGTATCTTATTCACTGTGAGTTCTTTGCGCAGTTCTGTTCAATAATGTGATTCAATGAGTTTTCAGTCCGTAACTACATTCTCGAGATTTCCGAACAGTACAACAACTACGCGGCGTTCCTGGTTTGGGTGTTCTACATCACCGGATTGGTCTACATTGCCGCCCTGATCTGTTATGGTTTTGGAAAACAGGCTGTTGGTGAGTATCTGTTTGCATTCAAGGCCTTTAAAAAATTTTGTTCTTTAGGATCCGGTATTCCTGAAGTCAAAGTGATCATCCATGGTTTCGTGCTGAAGAACTATCTCTCCGGGAAAACGCTCATCGCCAAAATGATCGGATTGACTCTGACCATCGGATCAGGACTGCCAGTCGGTAAAGAGGGACCGTTCGTGCACATCGGCGCCATCGTCGCCTCGCTGCTCAACAAACTCACCGCCGCCTGCCAATACAACGCCTTCTTCTCGAACGAAGGACGTGCGATGGAAATGCTGAGCATCGGATGCGCCGTCGGAATCGCGTGCACATTCTCCGCTCCGATGGGCGCTGTGCTCTACGGTATCGAGTCGACGTCCAAGTACTTTGCGGTCAAGAACTACTGGAGATCGTTCTTCGCCACCACTTGCTCCGCAATGCTCTTCCGTTTCGCCATCGCCTTCTTCGTGCCTCAACACATTGCGGGAACTATCACTGCTTACTATCAGACATACTTCCCCAACGAGGTTTTTGTCGTGGAAGAGCTTCCGTTCTTCATCGGTCTGGGGTGAGTATTAGCGATTTCAAGACACCTATGTACTGTGAGAACTTTCAGAATCATGACCGGACTTCTCGGCGCTCTCTTCGTCTACTATCACCGTCGAATCGCCTTCTTCAAACGTCGCAATCGCATTTTCCAAGCTCTGTTCGGAAAAAGGTTTGCATCACTTTTTTCTCAAACCAAAACACATTCCCATTTGACCTTTTATGTATGCGAGATGTGAAAAGAAACGGAAGTTTGATATGAGATGAGACTGATGACACTGTGTAGGGTATCTTCAAGTGTATTATCATATTAGCGAGACAAAATTTATTGATTCGGGGGAATTTGTTTTGTTTTTGCAAAACGTTTCCGTTTTTAGAACGATGTGATGTGATCTTTGAGAAACAGAGCAAATGGGATCCCAACTTCTGATTTCAGTCCGATCCTGTTCACCGTCTGCTGCGCCGCCATCTTCGCCGTCCTCATCTATCCGAACGGACTCGGAAGCTACGTGGCGGGCAAGTACACATTCCGCGAGACCCTCGTCGACTTCCTCTCGAATTGCACCCTCTGGAAGCCGAACAACGGCTCCGATGGATGTCCCCCGCACGTGCTGGAGCACTGGTCGGGCCCCGAAGGCGACATGATGCCCATCCTTTCCCTTCTGCTCTACTTCTTCTTCTACTTCATCATCGTCCCCATCTGCATCACCTTGTACATTCCCTCCGGTATCTTCGTCCCGTGCTTCGTCATCGGCGCTTGCGGTGGAAGAATCTTCGGAGAGCTCATCTCGATGGCCTGGCCGGACGGACTCCGTGGAGTCGGCCAGCCGCAGATCTACCCGGGACTCTACGCAGTCGTCGGAGCGGCTTCCTTCACCGGCTCCGTCACCCACTCGCTCTCCATCGCCCTCATCGTCTGCGAGACCACCGGACAACTGTGTGCTCTTCTGCCCGTGCTCATAGCCCTCATGATCTCCAACGCCATCTGCGCTTTCCTTCAACCTTCTATTTACGATTCGATCATCAAAATTAACGGATACCCGTATCTTGCCGACCTTCCGCCATCCCGTATGAGGTGAGCTCTACAGTATTCTCTGATCTTCCACTGTTATCCTTTGCAGTGTGCATCAAATGAAAGTGGAGAGAATCATGGTAAAAGACATGTACTACATCACCCGAGACACCACCTACCGTGAACTCCGCGAGATGCTCCTCGAGACGCCGACCCTTCGATCCTATCCGTTCGTCACTGATTCTCGTTCGATGACTCTTTTGGGATCCGTCGCGCGCAAGTACTTGCTCTACCTGATCCAGCGAAAACTCGGACCTGAGCCGGAGCTTTTCGGACATCGCAGAAGGTTAGTTTCATAAAAAAACAGGAGCGATTACGGGGGTGTTTCTGCAGTTATAGAACGCCGTCGATGAAAGCAAAGATTGTGTAAGTTGTTCAAAAGTTCTTGGTGTGATAAGTAGTCATGCTAGTTCGATTAGAGCACTTTTGGGTTGCCTGATGATTGTAGTATAGTCCGATTCTCGATATTGTTCACTTCTCCAATCCGTCTTTGTTTCCAGAAGCCGTACCGCCTCGGAAATCTTCAGCACAATTCACAATCTCAGGTGTGTGCACCTCGTGGTTTGTCCTCCCGTTTCCTCTCTTGCACCTGCACAATATCTGCATAGTGCATGCACCGCTCTCATCCGCTTCTCCTAGTTGCATGTTCCTAATACCCGTTTCCATTCAGAAAGTATTCTAGACGTGGATCCCTGGCCACCACCGGCGGCCATCTCTCCCAGGCCAACGCGCTGATGACCGATCGAAACATTTCTGGAAACACTCTTCTGCCACAGTCGCCACTCCACGAGGATCAGGTACATATAAACTTGTGACTCCACTTCTCGAATTCATTCTTCAGGGAGATCGCAGTCCGCTGGCCCCTCTTCTGTACGCCCAAACCAATCAACACGAGCCGATTGTCGTAAGTATTGTATCTGTTTGTGTTATCAATAGTACTTTTCCATTTTAATGGATGTTTTATTGAGATGTTTTCTTCCCAAGGGGGTTAGTACAAGTTGTTGTTGATTTCAGCACTCGCTTGCCAAGAGAGCCGAGATTCTGTCGAAGAAATTGGATATGGAGGAGGTCGCCATCGACCCGGCGCCGTTCCAATTGGTCCGCGGAACTTCGCTCTACAAAGTCCACACCCTCTTCTCGCTTCTTGCTCTCAACCACGCCTACGTCACCGAAAAGGGCCGTCTTGTGGGAGTGGTGGCCGTGAAGGAGCTTCGTGAGGCGCTCAGCAACATCTACAGTCGCGGAGCAGTCGTGCCGAGACCCAGAGTCCGTACCTCCACTTTCCGTCTCAATCCGGATCAGGACAGTGAGTTACATCGCAAGTCTTACTTCAGATTTCAATTTTTCTTCTATTCCAGTTGAGCAGCAGTTGCTGAACGGCCGATCCGAGCAAAACGGCGAAGCGAACGCCGTCACCCGAACCCCTCGAGTCACAATCGACGCTCCAGAAGACCACGTCGAGGATCGTGACGAGAACAACGACGAAAACAAATCCTAATCGCTCTTTTGTGCATTCTAGTCTCCGTTTCCCCTCTCATTCCTTGTACCGTTTCGTATATAAATTCCTTCCCGGTTTCTTCTTCGATTCCAAATGTCTTCTTCCGATTTCTGTACTTAAGTAGGCTCTCTCTCTCCGATTCAACGAGTTTCGCTCCCTCCCTCCCCACAAATATTCTGAATTTCGAATCGAATTTCAGATGATAATGATGAAAAGTTTGTCTTGTGCTTGTGTTGTAAATGTACATAAAATGTGTTGCATTACAGTAATCCATTGATTTATTGCATCATCATCATCATCATCACAATTTGTTTTGTTTGTTATGCACCGAAGACACGGGAAAAAGCAACTATTTCAAAGAAAATGAATAGGAAATGGGGGGAAAACATTTCTGAGAGAGGGGAGATCGACGGAAGTGAGAAGGGGGACTGAAATTGACTTTTCAGATGCAGTTACTAGACATTTGCCCTATATAACAGAGCAATTTGAGCGGGTATGTACACTTTTACAGCTTTTCAGGAGAATCCTCAACGCTGGCGGAGACGGTCGTCACCGTGGCGCTTCTGACGTTGTGGCTCTCAAGATCAGCGACGGAGTTCGAGTTGTGGAAGTTGTCGGCAGTCCATTCACACGGCTCTCCTTTCACGAAAATGACGAAGAAGATGTTGCAAATACACTGAAAACCAATGATATTATAGATCTTTGAAGCTTGGGACTAACCATGACAGCTCCAGTGATCAGGAACACCCATTTCCACTCCTCCTGCGTGTTGTTCTTGGTGAGCGCGTTCACAAAGAACGGCACAATGAGCATGGTGATCGTGATTCCCAACGAGATGTTTCCGGTCACAAAGTGGCTGTACTGCTTCGAGAGAACCGGGCCCGCTTTGAAGAATCCTCCGGTGGTGGCGCCGAGCATTCCGGCGGAGCATCCCAAAATGATCATGTTGTTGTCCTTGTGCGCATCGCCCATGAACGCCAGAACGGCCAGAAAGGAGGCGGATCCGAAGAAGGCGAACGAGTTGAAAATGCGGAATTTGATGCCTTCGGGGATGCATTTGATACGGTCGGAGATGGCGCCGCAGACAAGTTTCGAGACGAACTGTAGGAACGGAGGGAGGGCGGCGGTGATTCCGGTCGAGTGGACCGGGAAGCCGAGCACTTTGGAGAGGTAGATCGGGGAGAAGAGGAACATCATGTTGACGCACGTGAAGTTTCCGATAGCGGCCACCCAGACGGCCCAGATCGCCGGCGTTCTGAGGATCGCTCCGTAGGGGACCGACTTGAGGGCACGCTTGCTGAAAGAGTTAGTTGAGATCCTACTCGATTCAGATCAGTTCTTACTCAATGGTGGCAATTTTTCCGATCGAGATCTTCTTCAACTCGACGTTTCCGACGAACGGATGCTTTTGTGGCGAGTTACGGTAGAAGAGAGCGTAGGTGACGAAGAGAAGGAGAGAAACGGCTCCGTGAGCATAGAAGATTGATGGCCATCTGTAATAGTTTCCATTGGACGTTTGGTATTCTCGTTTCATCGTCCCCCGCCACAAAAAGAGGATTATAGTTCGTGATAAGCGGGTTGATAGACCAAAAACATTTGAATTGAAATGTTAACTGTAATCGGAATCGGTCAACTCTCATCGTCATCGTCACCAGACGCGCCCACAATAAAACTGACGAAGATCCTTCCTGATTACTCACTTGAATGCGTCACAAAGTGCACCGGAAGCGGGCATTGTGATGGCCGGCGCCAACTGAACGTAGGCGACGAGGGCCGAAACGAACAGTCCGTTTTGTTTGAAATACGACCATTTGGCGCAGAACGAGCCGATGACGGGGAAGTTGGCGGAGAACGCGAAGCCCTGGAGGAAGCGGATCGCCAGGAAGTAGTAGAAGCCCATCTGGAATGTTCCACATGTTCAGTATATTCATATTCCCTTTGTTTCCGAAACCGTACTCTGATCGAGAGCGGAATGAGGAGTGTGGAGACGGCGGAGAGGATGCCGAGTCCGGCGAACACCGTCCGAATGCCGACCATGCCGACGAGTTGTACAATCGGAAAGTTTCCCAGCAATGCGGCAATCGCCACAATCGACATGGCCAACGAATTTTGCGCTGAAAGACGAAGATGGAGACGGATGATTGATGAGTGTTTATCAGCGGGCTGATAACAATGAGGGGTCATATGTTTGAGATAACGAGGTTAAAGGGAGGTGTACTAGGACTTACTGTTTGTGAAGTGTGTTTTCCGGGTGCCGTTCAGCGAAGTCTCCAGCGTGTCGGAATCGTCGTCGTCCATGCAAACGACGGCAAAGTTGAAGGCGAGGATGTTCGACCAGATGCTCGTCAGACACAGCAGAATGAGCACCATGATGACGAAGCGGGTGCGCGTGCCGAACAGGCTGATGTAGCGGGTTTGCGCCGTGGCCTGCGTGGGGAACACCGCGTCGGCCATGATCTGAAAGCTTCTGACGACTGATGAGGAAGGGCCTGATTCGATGTGAACAAAGGGAGGGATGTGTAAGCGGATGGAGAGACTAGTTCTTACTGAATGCCGAACAAAAATGAATAAATTTCCAGAGAACACAGTCCAATGTGCCTATATTTATAGAGGACACCCACCCGCCAAAACTAATGGGCGGGGCTTCTCAAAAGTGAAGGGAAAACGAGAGCGAGAGAGTAGGTAGAAGAAGAAGAAGAAGGAGAAGAAGAAGAAGAAGAAGAAGGAGGAGGAGGAGTAATATGGGCAGGTACTGTAACTCCTGACTGATAAGTGCTAAGCGGATCAGAGTGTGTTTTGAACTGAAACCTCCGGGTTCGGAATGTGAAATGGCCCAAATTGTAGGAAAAAGAGGAGAATTTGTTTGAAAGGTCGCACACAAAAGGGGGTAAAGAAATGGAAATTGTGGGAGAATTTCGGAAATGGAAAATGAAACTTTGGTTTTGGTTCTCTGACGGAAAGTTCCAGGAAGTACAATACAGAAATCGGTCTAGAAGGTAACAAATCAATAAAATACACACTTGCAATGATGGTTTGCACTAGAGCGAACATACAGACAAATGAGATTGATTATGCGGATATTGTGAATAGATCTATGTATTCAAATATGACAAATCGGAGATAAGAAATCATCTTTAAAGATTTCAATTTGAAGTCTCTAAAAACCTGAATTCAATCTGAAAATGACATCATTTCCTCTCCGACTTTGCCGCTATTGTTGACCCAGTCCGGTCCGGAGCCCTCGGGCCAACCAGTCTTTCCACGTCACTGGCCAATGACCTTGGCTCTTCAAACTTTCGGGCCTAAACGTGATCATTGTCCGAGAATAATCCAAGTGCAGCAGCTCTTCAAAGAGGGGGACAATTTGAAAGTCAAATTTCAGTATTGCGACCAGAAGGTCAATAATGTCGAACGGGAAGGAATCGAATCGAATGGCGACGTGTCCATTGATCCATAAACCCTTCAAAACTGGATGCCGACACTAAAAACGTCCATGAAAACACCCTCTTTTTTGTCGGATGGAATTATCTCGAATTCGAACTACAACTCTTTTATTTACAAACATTCACTCAAGAATTTCAATGTGAATAACGTCGAATTGCAAATTTTCGGAGGATTTTGTCGAGCCACTTCGAGGAGCCACCGTTCTCGGATCTTGTCTGTCAAATTGGAAACGTTTTCGGTGGAGCACACTTGCAACATTCGGAAATGTGAAAGAGAATGACTTGCTCGGTGCGTGCAGAACTAAAATTGGCAAGAAGAAAACATAAATTAGCCGTTTGATTTGTTATCAGATTATGAGATTATCAAAAGAGAAGGTGGCCGAGATTTGGAAAGCAAGGCCACGGCCTAGAACTGCAACTCTGCAGAACCTAGTCCACGTGCAAATCCAAACTGTTTTGGTCTGTTTAATGACCTCGGTGATAAATGAAAGGCAGGCTATAAATCTTTTCCCTTGTGACCATCTCGAATCTTCTTTTGCATTGTTTTCGCAAATTCGAAAAAAAAATTCCAAAGTTACAACAAGGTGAGAAAAGTAATCTGAAAGCAAACAGAAGCCCCCGGACGAGCACACACATGTTTTCATGCTTTTCCAGAAGGTTAACGGTCAATAGTTTCTTCTAGAAATGTGTAGTTTTTTCTCTCCACATCAAACTTCACAGATATATTTGTTCGGGGAGAGATACGCGCGACGACGTCGAAAGTTCGACTTCAGACCGAGTGGGCTTCTGTCAATCATCCAGTGGTCGAAGGTTTTCTCGAGGCGATCAGAGTTGATAGTTGATAAGAGCGAAGGGGTCGCAGAAGAGGAATGTGAACTTGAAGGCGTCACGAGAAGGCGTCGGAAGTAAGTAATCGTGTATCTGCACAAAAGGGATTACGAAAAAGAAGATCTGAAAGTCTGCAACCAAAAGGACATGCCCGAGAACACAATGAAACAAGACGAATCAAAATCTTTATTCGACAATATCTCACCTTTTTCCTCTCCACACTCGCCGCCTCGATCTCTTCCCATTCTCCCGAAGACCTCAACTTCATCACCTGAAATTCGACTCCAATTGTCTCTCTTTATCACTCATGTGTCACGTCATTTCTGCCGAAGAGTGACCAAAAATAGAATGCTGAAAATAGAATGGTTTCTCTCTCTCTGTCTCGGAGAATCGCGTCCATTGATAACGGGGCAATGGCTCCATGAACCCGGGGCGTCTTTTGTGATCGAAAATAGCTTTGAGGCGCCTATTTTTGTGCGAAAGAAACAAACTGATAAGGGGCGAGAAGTGGTGCTTGGTGGTGGTTTTGTTGACCTAAAAATAGCCTCGCTAAACTTCTCCTTCCCATTTTTCGTTTCCATTTCTTTGTACATGTCTGACCAGCCAGGCAGCCAGCCAAAAAGAAGATGATAGGGATACGGTACGAAAGGGTTCGGAAGGCGACGAAACTTGATCGGAAAGGTGAACTTCCGTCGTCATCAGATCGGAGATTATCGATACGAGATCGGGTTGAAAATCGACGAGGAAGACGGATACGATGTGAAACGGAAAGGAGAAGATATTGGCGAGAAGGAAGACGAGAAAAAATGGTTTTGTTTGCGACATAAAAGCTGATTTTGGGGGCCATTAAGGATTACGGCCCGAAGGGGACTGGAAAGTCAGGTTCAGGAGATCAGTTGTCTGGAATAGAATGGTATCCGAGTACTGTTTACTCAAAACAATATATCTCAGTTGCTTGTAGAGATATCAAAATGTGACCAACTAATGAAATGTATAAAATGTGTTACTGAGCAATGTATCAGTTGATAACTTATTGATATCTCTAATAAGAGCTTAGTTATGTAGTCTTGAATGTACGGTATTGTTGTGCTATGAAACGTTGACACGATCAGAAGTATTACTGTACATATGAGCTTCTACAGTGAAAAGAGGCACGTTAGAAGACTGGTGAGCAAAATAAGTTGGCTATAATATCCTACCGTACTCCAAGGATTGATGGATTCAAGCCAACTAAAGACTACTTCAAATGATGATTTCATAAAAATTCCACAAAACTCTTGAAGCTGTACTCCAAAAACCCGTTCAAAACCACCACCTTCTGACCAATAGCAAAGTTTTAACCGCTACAGTAGCCCTATGTATTATCATATCAAAAAGTGTTCGGAATTCGTCATAAACCCATTACAGTATCCCTTTGCGTATTAATATTATAATCGATCATGTTTTGGTTAGCTTACCACTACGTCAGCTTGATCCTTGGGGGGTCTTCGAGATGGAATTGGCGTTGGTTTTGGTTTGGAACTTTGGAATGAAGTTGTCATTGTCATCTGGAAAATGGAATAGTTAATGGAGACTGACGATGCTCTTCCTCTTCCTCTTGCTCTCGGAGCAAACAGGACAAAGTTTTATGGCTCTGTCGGGCCGGAAAGGAGGAAGTCGGAACGAAAGAAACGAGGAAAAGAGAGGACGGTCTGGCCTTCTGGGGCGGGAACTTTGGAAGCCAGAAACGAGAAACAAGAATCGGTCGATCGGATCGAAGTTCGTCGATGACTTCGTGACGTTTGGAGGTAGTTGAAAGACCGAAGTTGACTGGGAGACCGCGAGAGAATAGCGGAGGGGAAGAGAGAACGGATAGGGATGAAAGGTACTTGGTATGCGGGCAGGACTACGGTAGCACACTGCCTTTTGTTGTCACTTGATCAATCTGGAATCGATCAAAACGACTGAAAGGACAATTCCAGGAAAGTTCTGGTTAGGTAGTTCAGATTGAAGAGCGAGTTTGGCAAATAGGAATAACTATTATAGTTTTCATCAAAGATACGAATGGGCAGTTAAATTTGATTATGCACTCGGTTAAATATAGCTTTCGGATGGCTATTTATAGAACGAGCCGCTCCGTTTCACAAAATGATGAGAATGGAAAGTGAACTGCCAGTTTCAAGGTTTAAGAACGTTTTGTGGAAAGTTCGTTCAAAATATGCAATAGTTCTGATTTGATCACAAATGACTCGTGTTTTCAAAAAGGAATGAAGAAAATGGACTTGAGATGGATCTTTCTGACTTGCCAGACACTTTCAAACTGTTCTTTGGTAACGTAATTCGTAAATCACTGCCTCCAATGCATCAGTATCCTAAAAAAGGGCCCAAAAGTTCTTTGTACTGTTCCAATTTTAGTATATGTTCCGGGAAGAACTCTAGTTGACACAAACTGATCGAATGGATTGTTTTCAGATATTTTGTAGTGGAAGTTTTTTTTTACATATTCGTTGAAACATTTGAAGCCTTAAGTGGGTAGGACACTGGACCAAGCATCAAGAATCATCCGGAATTGTTGGTTGAACTATTATACCATTGTGAATTTCCATAGTCAAAACGTTCCAGACTTCCAGGGGCTCTCCTTTTCAAGAAAAATCTCTTCTGACTCCAATCGCGTCCACTCTCCACGCAGATTTCTGATTTCGTCCGACTGATGAACCGAACATGAACCCGTCTTGGCCGTCATTTGGTCTCTCATCTTCCAACGATCATCCGCCATCTCGAATCAATCATCGGCAACCGGAAGGCCCCAACTCTCCTCGAATCTCCACCTACTTGCTTCCCAAAATAGCTCGGCACGAAAACTGATAAAATGGCGACGGCTCCCCCGTATTTTCTGACCATTCGTTGCCCGATTCCCTCTCTTTGATTGCCGAGAATAGAACAGAGATAGCGGGGTGGCCTCCGCGCTTCCATTCACTCTCTCGCCATCCGTCGTTGAACTGTTGACGTCAGACCGCGCCTGAACTTCGGATCTTCGCAATGCAGATCAATCTTTCAACTACCATCCATCCCCCCACATTTCTCCTCTCTTTTGTCATTCTCTTCTTCTTCTTCTTCTTCTACTCTGCAACTATTATTCGGGTTTGTACCGGCACTCTCGTCCGCCGAATGGTTTGTTTTAGCCTGAGCTATGTGGCGAGACTGACACATAGTTGCTTGTTAAAACATGCCAATCGGAGAAGAGATGAGCACTTGAACTGTGAGTAAATTTCAGGTTAGCGAGAGCTTCGACTCGCAAGGGATGTGTTACTTTTTCAGGCTAAACTTTTCCAGTTCACGAACGTCTCCTAAATCTGGCATCGAGTACTTTCATTCGGATCCATCAGACGTTCCGAATTGCTCATCTGAAAAGTCACGAAGCTTGCCCCAAAACATTCCAGATGACCGTTTTCAGCCTCATCAAAAAAGGTCGAAATTTGTTTTTCTCCAAGACTTCTCTTTTTCTTCACTATGACATTCATTTTCCGTTCAAACTTTGGTTTTCGCGCGCTTAAGAAGCAGTTGAAACGGCCGTGGCCTTACTTTTTGTGCACGTAGAGAAAGCTAGACCGTGTTTCGAATGTGCGTTCTGATGCCGATATCACCCCTAAATTGCAGATTAATAGAACCAGAAATGTTTCAAATTCGGAGATTTTTTTGAGATAGATTTTTGATATCGATAAAAACAACAAAAACATTGAAAAAAACGTACATCCCTCCCGTAACTCCTACTTTTTCTTTCGTCACTTCCAAAAATCGATACAACTCTCTCTCTTCCTTCCTTCTCAAACCTTTTCTTTCTTTTCAGAAGGGTATGACATCCGTCGTCGCCGTTCCCGTTCGGGAAGGCGAAGACGACGATGTGCAGCCGCCGCTGACCCCCCACAATGGACCGTGTCGCCGTCGAATGCCAACGCCGACTCCGATGAGAGTTGGCGACGGCGAAGAAGAAGAAGAAGAACAAGAACAAGGAGAGGAAGAGACTTCTCCGACGTCGTCCACCAGATACTCGCTTAGGGCCAGAGAGACTAAGCCCAAGCCGAAGGCGAAGGCGAAGGCGACTTCGGAGCGAAAGAAGAGGAAGAGACGTCGCGAAACGAAGCCGACGGGCGAAAACGCCGAACTGATTATCGAACTCCAAAAGAAGCTGAGAAAAAAAGAGGCGAAGCTCCGTGATGCGAATAGAATTAACAATAAACATAAAACAGAAAATGCTCGTTTGTTGAAAAAACTCATCGACATGGAGCTAGAGGAAACAAGTAATAAGTTCAACCTTGAGATCTGGAAGAGCGAATTGAAGAAGGAATGCAAAAAATCCCAGGAGGTAATCAGAGATTTGGAGAAAGCTGAGAATGAGGCCGATGAGTACAAAGCGGATCTCGAGAAACTGGCCCGCTGGAAGGAGGAGGATCAGCTGGAGGGTACGGAGCAGAACGAGATGTTCCGAAAGCGATGGATGGAGACGGTGCAGGAGAGGGACGAGATCGACGCGAAGTTCCAGAGTGTCAAGCCGTCTTGTCGCATATGCTTCAACCACTACATTCCAGGAGGAACACGGCCGAAGATTCTTAGTGAGCTAGTGACTATCAAAACTCAAAATTATAATCTTTTCAGAGTGCGGACACACCATCTGCAGAGCGTGCACGATACAGATCGCCAATCCGGAGGGCCCACACGTCAAATGCCCATTCTGCAATACGGAGATGAATAAGGAGCGATTCTTGGCGGATACTCGTACAAACTTTGCACTCGAGGATCTTATCGAAATCTATGACACGTAGTTTGAATATGATTCTCTTTATTAACACAATTCTTGAAGGGTATGTGACCGTCCATTTGTTTGTTTATTTTTCCGTGATTCCAAAAGTATTGTTATCAATAAATCCGTGGCTCTTTTCACATAGATATCAGAGGAAGTACCGTCTTATTCAGCTTTCTCGCGCAGTTCTCCTCGGTCTCGTGGCGGAAGAAGGACGGCGGTGCCTGGAGTTGTCGCATCATCTCGTTCCCAACGTCTCCGATCGTTCCCTGCTTCACTTTCCCCTTCAGATTCCCGTACATCGTTTGATAGTTCTTGTCGGTGATGATCGTGATCGGAGTCTTTCCCACTCTAAAACAAAGAATCCTTCCCGAAGTTCATCAGTCCTCTTGCCTTTTCACATTTTTCTCGAGATCCGCCAGATGATACCCGTGCTCGCTGATCGCGTCATTAATGAACTTTTCGCGGAAGCCCGAGATCAGGTACGCCTGGAATTGGATAATATTTGGATAGAATCCAGGATCTTTATACCAGATTGATCCATCCGCTCTTGTCGAACTCGGCTCGAATGTTGGGAATCGGATTGTCCAGGTACAGATTGCTGAACGTGAAACAGTTGTCATTTCGGAGATTGGCCGCTGCCGAGAGGAGAACGCTACAAAAATATCGGTTTTAGAGAATCATAGAGCATCCTCCTCACTTCGCCGCGATTCCTCTGCCGTATCCGATGATCTTCGCCTTCCGAGTGATCTGTCTGATGTAATGATAACAAGTTTCCGCCATGCTCACGTATTCCTTGAACGTAGGTCTCGGCCCGAAGTTCGCTGAAAACCCAGAGATCTCTGAATCCGAGAGTTTGAAGCTCACAGAATGGTCGGCACAAGATGACGTTGTCGTCGTGCTCATCGAATCCGCAGTCATCGACGACGAGCAGAATCTTCTCGAGGTCTTCGAAAGAGGCAAACTTATTGGTCGACTTGGGTTTCATGATGATTCTATAAAAAGAGAGGGAAGTTTGACATTTGATGTGATTCTCCGTACTGTATTTTGAGAGGAGACGTCGCCATCAAGTTGGTCTCCAGCACGATATTAGCAGTGTCGATGGATTGGTACTTTTGGAGCGGCGAACATTTCCATTCTGAAGAGGCGCATCGTGTTGATGGAAATGCAAATGCGCTCTAATGCGAACCCAATTTCGGAGCGAACGGAAGAACAATATCCGGGTACATGTAGGAGATGAGGGAGGGTCCCATCAGAAAGAAGACTGCCAGTAAGAGGAGGAACATTCCGACTTCTAGGAGATTTCTGGAAAAAAAACTATGAGTTGGTCCCACTAGATTCTCTCACCTGCTCACTCCCACCGACAGTTTACTATGCCATCGGACTCTCGGATGCTTCTCGGGCAGCACGATCTCTCGTGCGAACGGAACATCCGACTGCTCCTTGTCCTTTTTGCTACTGCTCGATTGGCTGGAAGTGAGGCCGGACGGCGGGGGTTTTTGGCTCATTCGGACGGCCACAAAATGATGATTGTTATAATAACTTTGTATTTGAACGGATAAACAGAGAAATAATATACTGGAAAGAAAGAGGGCGTAAAAGACACGTACTTGACACGTGTTCACCGTGGCTCTTCTATCTTTTTTCCATTTTTCTCAAATCAAATTCACTTCTCAAAAATGTCTGTTCAGTTGGTGAGTGTTTTCTAATTGCATTGCCTCTCCAATGATTACTTTCCAGAGACGTAGCGAACGAATTCAGAAGAAAATAGCTGAGAAAACGGTGCCGAAGGTGGCGGTCGTGGCTGCGAAGAAGGCTGGGACCAGGAGCGGAAAAGAAAAGGATCAAGCGAACAAGATTGCGAAATTGAAGAAAGAGCTCGCGGATGCCAAAAAGAGACCCACCCAGGCGGTGTACCGTGGAGTCGTCGCCAAGTTCCACAAGGAGGAGAAGAAGGCGAAGGAGCAGGATGTAAAGTTGAAGGCGCTCGCCAAGGAGAACGCTCAGAACATCAGAATCCTGATGGAAGTGGCCGAAGAGGCTCAGGGCACGCTGAGAACTCTCGAGGAGCAGCAGAAGTTGATAAAGGAGTCGGTTGCGGTTACGAAGAAGTTGGAGAAGGACAAGATGAAGTTGGAGCACGAACTGAAGGAGAAGTCGGAGATGGCCGACGTCAAGAAAGCGGAGCAGATGCTAAATAAGGAGAGGGAGAAGTCGAAAGCTCACCGGGAGAAGATGCTCGACCTGCGAAAAATGCTCGAACAGAAGGAAAAGGGGAACGGAGCGGTGATGCCTTGGAAAACGTGCGAAATCTGTGCGTTTGAGTACAGCGATGAGCCGGACAGAACGCCCAGAGTGCTCGGTGAGTCGGAAAGCAACTCTGAGAAAAGTGGGTAATCTTTCAGGATGCGGACACACCGTGTGCGAGGAATGCGGAAGGAACCTGTCGTCCGGCAGCTTACTACGGTGTCCTTTTGACCGAATTTTCACTTGTCTTCCGGACGGAGACGTCAAGCAACTTCAGAAGAACTTTACGATTCTGCATATGTAGCCGCTTGAACTCGATTCTTTTTCATCTAATTTGCAATAAAAGGAATTCTGCATTTGAAATTTGAAATTGAAACAGATATTGGGACCGCCTCGTAGAGGTCAACAAGAATCAATAAGGGGACAGTTTCCCCGTGCGCGTTACCTTCGCCTTGGCAAAAACGTTCACCCTCTTCTCGATTATAAAACTCTCTTCATTCTTCCTCACAACAAATTCTTGTGAGCAACCGCACATTTCTTCTCTCTCTCTCTCTCTTTCTCTCTCTTTAACCCATTTCTTCTAATTGCAATGTTCTTCTTTTCCAGAAAGCATGACGCAACCATCGAAGACGGAAGAATCCTACAAAAAGCAGATTGCCTTTCTGAACAATCTCCTCGACGAGGCCAAACATATGATTCAGAAGAACATCAGGAAAACGCAATTCGATAAAGAACTCGCCGAAAAGGACAAGCTGCGAGCGGCTCTCGGACAAGCGCAAAAGGCTGAAAAGGACATGGAGCGGAAGTACCAGATACTTCTGGCGATGATGCACTCGGACGACAACGTGGAAGAGGAGGCGGACCAGATGTTGCAGCTGCAGCTGGAGAACGAGCGATTGACGGAGGAGCTGAAGAAGAAAGATCTCGAAATTGAGGAGAAGGAGAAGATTGTTGCCGCGTTGAAGGAGCAATTCGAGAAAAAGAAGGAAGCGGAGCAGACGCTCGAACACAAAGTCGCTTTCAAACAACGATTGCCGCTTAAGAACAGGAGTTGGTTCGCACAGAGACTTTTGAAGGATCAGGAGAGGCGCAAGGAGCTCAACAATCCGAAGGTGCTCGGGAAGCGCAGACGGCCGAAGGACCAGGAAGGAGGCGTCAGGATGCGGCTGTTCGTCGCCCAGAACGCTGAGATTAAGAAGAGGATGAAGGTGGACCAAATGGAGAAGGTCGACGAAGCGGTCAAAGTGGACGGAGACACTTCGATTGGCACCTCTTCTCTTTGATTTCCAGTAATTAATAAATTTTTCGTATTTAATACTTTCCAATGTATTTTATGACAGAAATCAATGGGTTCGGCGGCGCCTAATCAATATTTTTGAAACACATAGCGATGAGCAATACTCGGTCACCTGCCATCCACGTCAACAACTGATAACAGTTCTTCATTCTCTTTCTCTCCTTCTCGTTTCCCTCTCCTCTTTCTCACCAACTCTTGCTATTAGCATGCGCCCGAGCTCATCTCTTCTGGAAGTGACTCCGGATCATAATCTGGCCTTTGTCGGCCCGTTCGTCGGCCTTCTCTCCAGCAATATCAGACTGAGAAACATTTCGAATAGCGGAGTTTGCTTTAAAATAAAGTTGGCTGCAATCTTGAAGACACAATATTCGGTCAGACCCGCCGTTGGTGAGTCTATTTCGTCATTCCAATGGAAGTTCGGATGATCTTTTCTATTTTAGGCCTACTTTCCCCCAACGAAATCGTAAACGTGACTGTGTCCTTCCGAGCAGATCGGGGAGTTCCGGAGAATAGAAAAAGTCACAAACTGCTCGTGTTATCGACCGTTTTCGATGGACCGGTGTACGCGGAGACTATTTGGGATCAAGTGGATCCGTGCGAGCACAACATGAAGTTCATTTTCAATGAAAGGGAAGAGTATCAACGTTCAATTGCACCTGTGCCAGAGCTTTCGATGACTAGAAATCCAGGCGGATCGGTTTGGGAGCCCAATGTTCGAAGCCTCACTGAGCCGCCTAAAACCGAGAAGGACGACAAGAAAAAGCAGACGGAACTCGTGGAAAGATTGCGAAATGAGAATGGTGGGACAAGCGGGAACAGCTGGAAGAATTGCAAAATCTGCGAGTACGAGTACACTGAAACAGGGGAAAAGACACCCAGAATCATAGGTGGGTGTAATCCAACGAACAGATTGAAAATACGTTATTATATCATTTCAGAATGTGGACATACAGTATGCGAAGGATGTCTGGGGAGCATCGCAAGAGGCGCCGAACTGCAGTGTCCATTCTGTCGGCACACGATGCGAATGAGGAATGGGACGAGTTCGCTTGCGAAGAACTACGCGTTGCTCGACAATTGAAACTCATACTGATTTTGCTGTGTTCTTTTCCATAAACCTAGTTTGATCACTATTCTCTTCCGGCCCGTATACAGTACTGGCCAAAAAGGTATTCGCAAACGGTTTTTTGAGCATAACTTTGCTGAAACTTGAGGGATCGATCTGATATTTTTAAGACAAAGTTTAAAAACCGTAAAAAGACGTTGATTCAACAACAAGAATAGTCAATATTTCAAAAAAATTTAAAAAAATCGAAAAAAATTCATAAAAAAATGGTAAAAAAACCGGAAAATGAAACTTTGACTTTTGAGATCTAGGAGAGACCGGCAAATGAAAAAAATAACAATAGCGAATGATTAAAAATAGTTTTTAATACTTTGTTGGGTAGCCTTTGGCGTCGATGACCGCCTGACATCTTTTTCGGCATGGAGTCGAGAAGGGTGTGGATCACAGACATCGGAATGGCCTGCCAGACAAACTGGAGTTGATCGAATTTCTGATTGGCATTCGATGCACGGATCCCTCTGAGTTGTCTCTCGACATGCTCCCAGAGGTGCTCGATCGGGTTCAAGTCCGGAGATTGACTGGGCCAGTCCAGAAGATTCACGTGGCGGCGTCGGAACCAGTCCTTGATATGCTTCGAGGTGTGCTTGGGATCGTTATCTTGCTGAAACGAACGCCCGTCCCACATTAGACCGTGCCCAGGGTCTCATAGTCTTTTCCAAGATGTCTTCATAGACATATCGATCCATGATTCCCGTAATTCTTCTCAGGGGGCCGATTGAAGTCCCAGAGAAACATCCCCACACCATCACTGAACCACCTCCATGCTTGACGGTTTGGAGCTGGTAGCTGGGATCGAACCGACATCCAACCGGACGGCGAATCCACTTGATACCGTCAGTGCCGAACAGATTAAACTTGGATTCGTCGCTGAAGACGTGATTGGCCCACTCCTGGCGTCCCCAGTGAAGATGAGCTTTGGCCCATGCAACGCGGGCGATCCTATTTTTTTTGCTGATCGATGGTTTCTTAGCTGGCCGTCGTCCATGGAGCCCAGCATGCTGGAGACGTCTCCTGACGGTTCTCAGGGATGGCGTGACTTCATTTGGAGACTTTACGATCATTTGAATATCGGTAGAACTCCTCTGGGGATCCTCTCTTGAAGCTCGGACGATGTTCCGATCCACATTCTTCGACGTGATGCGAGGTCTTCCAGGCGATTTTCGCTCCACCAGGGCTCCCTAAACATTTTTCTCGATAAATAAACTATTTTTGAATATTACCTCATCCCGGAATTGCTTCAAAACGTTTTCAATGGCGCGTTTACTGCAGGTGAACTGCTGCGCCAACACGTCCTTGGAACATCCACTTCTGAAGCCGATGACGATGGCTTTACGGATGTCCTGAGAGATGTTTTTTCTTCCAAGGGGTCTTACCATGTCTGTAAACAGTTTTAGATACATAAGACCCAACACCAACTTTCTTAGAAACTATAATATCCAAAAATATGAAAATATGAAAAAAGTGAAAAAAGTGAAAAAACGAAAAAATTGAAAAAAAATTTTTTTTTTTGAAAATGAAGCAATTTCCTTGTACGCAATTTGTCGTCACCGTGTACGACATGTACAGTAAAATTTTCAAATCGATCCCTCAAGTTTCAGCAAAGTTATGCTCAAAAAACCGTTTGCGAATACCTTTTTGGCCAGTACTGTATCTTGAATAAAAACTGAAAGCTGCAAGTCTTGCAAAAGTGTCCACCACACCACACCCCATACGTCATTGACCGCTTCCCCTGAAAAATCTGTCTTTGTGTTGTTCTTCATAAAAGAGCGTTCAATGCCGTTCCGCAATCCTTCCGCTTCTCGTCTCTCTGCCGTCCGTTGACCTTAATCCGTTTCGAAGCGATTACCTGCCAAAGCGATCGATGCTCGCTCTGCCCTTTTGCTCCATCCCCAAAATTATACAGCCCTGTGTCTCTCCAATACCCGCACTCTCTCGTTTTCCCTTTCGGCAGGATGCATATTCCTCCCTTCACTGCCGCCTTATATCATTTCCTTCTTCTTTTTCATTCGATCGATCCACATTTGCACTTTTTTCCATTACAGACAATGCCGCGTGCTCAGACAGAGAATCAAAATACGGAAGATTCGGAGGAGAAGATACTGATTACGAAGATCGAGAAAATGAAAAAGGAGGTGGCGAAGGCGAAGCGCAAACTTGCGAAAAGTGAGAAGGCGAACGAGTATCTGGAGGATTTGCTCAGCGCGAACAGAAAGAAGGAGAGGGAGGCAAAGTGGAGCCGACTTCTGGAGAAGACGTTCGTCCGGAACATGGATTTTTCACACGAAGTCGATAAAGAGTCCTGTGAAACCGCGGTTGATTCGTCCATAAAAGACTATTTGAATGCCCTCGATGCAGAAAGAAGCGAACTGATAAAGTTGCAAAACGCTCAGAAGACGACCTACGATGGCAAAAGAGCCCTAGTGGAAGCGAGACGTCGTGCCAGAGAACAACTTCCGGCTCAACGCAACGTTCCACACTGCAGCCGCTGCGAAACCGAGTTCGACGAGTCTGCGGAGAGGACTCCACGTCTTCTGAAATGCGGTCATTCTCTGTGTCAGCAGTGCGTCACCGCGATTCTCAAGAGAGGAGGAGTCATTTGTCCGGCCGACAAAGAACGGACCAAAGTGAAGGCGGCGGGTCTTCTCAAGAACTTCGCCGTGTTCGAAATCTAAAATAATTGTTTGAGCGAACTGACTCTCTGTCATGATATCCTGATAAATGTCATCTAGTCTTCGTGTTGTTTATTCGAGTTTCCGAAGAAAAGTTCTGAGAACCTTTTCATATCTCACTTGCATTTCATTTATTCCTTTCTCTAATTCCTAATTTATCTTTTTCAAAAGATGGCTCCAAAGAAACCTGGTAGTTGGAGAACGAAGAAGAAGATGAAGCTCGAAGATGAGCTGAAGAGTCTCCAGAACGAATTGTCCGACACGAAGGAGAAGATCCAGAAAGAAGAGGCGAAAAAGAAGGAGATCCAGGCGAAGAAGAGGAAGAGCGATGCGGAGTTCCGGCATAAGAAGCAGCAGGAATTCGAAACCAAGTACGCTGCCGAATTGGACGCGAACGAAATCGAAATCGAGGAATTATCAGACAAATACGACAACTTTGTTGAATTGGAAGAACAAACGAAAGATACGACAGTGAAATATCTGGGCAAGATTGATGAAGCACTAGAGAAGACGAAGTTCCACGAGAACATGATGCGGAAGTTCGCAAAGAACCCGAATCACACGGGAGCCTCGTGCCCCGTCTGTTCCAACGAGTACCATACGATTCGGATTCCACGTGTCCTCAGTTAGTTTGACACTCGAGTTATATCAACATTTGAAATGATTGCAGCCTGTGGACACACGATTTGCGAACTCTGCATAAGGAAGATCGACAATGAGGAGAACAACAACAACGACACTCTCGGCGACGTTCGGTGCTGCCCGACGTGCCGAGTGCAGTTTGAGCACAAATCCGGAGAGGAATGGAATCTGCCGCCCAACTACGCGCTTCTCTGAATAATCATTCGGTTGATCTCGCGTTAAACTTGAATATTCTCTTCTTCTTTCCTCCAGACTTGCAACGGGCCGGGCCGGGCCGGGCCGGGCCGGGCCGGGCCAAAATTGGAAATTTTTCCGGCCCCTGGCCCGGCCCGGTCGGCCCGGGAGGATGCACCTAAAAATTCAAAGCGAACTAGAACTTCGAAACGAACATAATTTTATAGACTTAAAATTTTATAGACTTAAAAAGGCAATGTTATAGCATAAAAACCTGTTAAAAAATAGAAATTGCTGTTTAAAGTCGCAAAATTTTCACAAAAATTACGAAAATTTTCTCAAGAGTGGGCGGAGCCGGGCCGACCGGGCCGGGCCGGGCCGACGATTTGCTGGCCCGGCCCGGGATTTGGCAAGTCTGCTTTCCTCTGTGATTATGCGAATCTGTTCCATTACAGACCATTTCTATCGTATTTGTTGTTTGTGATCATGTCTCTCATTTCACCCCCTCCTCCTCCTCATCCTTCTCGGTTATGTTGTCTTTTTGCAAACTTTCCTTTTCTTTCCTCTATTTTTCCATTCTCTTCCTTTCTCTTTTCCTCTCCCCTTCTCCCCTTTTCCAATTTCTCTTATCATTTTATTTAATAAAGTTATTCTAATTTTCTGTTTATTCGAGACACGGGACCGGCTGGAAGCTGAGAACAACTGAAAACTAGCGGCTGAAAGTGGTTGTTATGTATGTTTGAATTGGATTTTCTCGAAGATGAGACGGTTCCAGTACCTCTCATCACGTGGTTTTTGTTTCTCTAAGGGGACCATCAAAATACCAGGAGTACCCGGAATACCGAGAATAATATGTAAAAAGTCGACGCTGGTGCACCTTTTTTTGCCCAAACTCGATTTTTACACTTTTTCACTATTTTAATGCACTTAATCATCAAAAATCATGCTTAACGTATCAAAAATCCGTCATTTCTGAAAAAATGAAAAAATGACTCTCCGAATCTTTGCGAAATTCTTCTCGTTGAGTATCGAGTTCTTCTATCTTCGAAACCTTCGGAGTCGTCTTAGGATCTCCAATCCTTCGGATCTCAGAATCTTCGATTTCATCAACATCCATGGGAGTTGGGATATTTCCACTCATTGAAGAATAGGACTTGTCTGAAAAGATCGAATTTAAAATTTGAAGTCTTTGATGCAACTTTGAAGCAAGTTATAAGCGATAATGAGATAATTTATGCAAGAAAATGAAGCAAAACTGAAGAAATTCTGCGACACAAATCGTTCTCAAATGAGACACTCATAAAGACTCCTCGGAAATTCTTGATTTTTAACTCATTGACGAGCTCTTCGAGGTCATGATTTGTTAATGGCTTCAAATTTTTTCGGAGACAAAAAGTAGTCAATTAATAAAAAACAAAACTTCAAAACTCGTGTGATGTGTCTTATTTTCCACTTCTTGGCTTTGTGCTATTGTAAAACCAAAGTAATAAACAAAAACAAATGGGGCGCACCCTTCGGAATTGAACTCGCATCTTGCTATATTGTCAGGCATGTTAGCCAAGGCGCATACCGACTGCGCTATGGGTGCGCCCTCCCGCCTTGGAAGAGTTCTCCCTTTTGTCCCCAGCGCGGCCTGGCAGAGACGCAGAGGATACAGCCAGCAGTGAGGGGTGTGTGTGAGAAAGAGAGAGAGAGAGAGTGTGTGTGCAATGATGTGTGTCTTCCCACATGCGAGTCTATTCCCCTTTTGTGATCCATGTTGTTTTAGCTACTCCATCTCATCATTGATAAGTGTTCCAATGACAGGTTGTGATTGCGCGCGATGAATCATCGCCCTCTTAGCTCAGTGGTAGAGTGTCGGACTTCCATCCGAAAGGTCGGCGGTTCGATTTGCTAATCTGCTGATTCAATGTGATGCAGCACTCGCATTCTGAAGTCATTTCACGTTTTTGTTATTTCACTTTACATAAAATGTCATTATCGTTTTTGCAGTATACTTACCTCCTGATCTTCATTTGTATATTTTTCAAAAAAATGTATTACATTGGGCTGAGAATACGAAAAAGCGAGACTTTCGACAAGTGGGTAAAATGGGCAGCAGGTGAGCTAGCCCAAAAATGCTCATTTTTTCAGAAATGACGGATTTTTGATACGTTAAGCATGATTTTTGATGATTAAGTGCATTAAAATAGTGAAAAAGTGTAAAAATCGAGTTTGGGGAAAAAAAGGTGCACCAGCGTCGACTTTTTACATATTATTACCGAGCAAGCGAAGCCCCTGCCTAATTTTTGGCCGCCCGTGGATCAAATGAGGGTCTCATATGCCAAACGCTCACGCCTAAAGATGGACCAAACTCACCCGCCAGTTTTGCCTGTGCAATTGGTTCACGTTAAAAGCCCCACTCTAGGGTGATCATAACACTTTCCAATCCGAAAGAACATTTCGCACACCTGACCTTTAGCAAAAAACGTTTTCAGAGTGCGCACCTCTCTCTGCCGGATTACTCGCGGGCATTCTTTGTTTTAGGTAATACATCTGCTTCCAGGGAGCTAAGCTCAAAATTAGGTGCACGAATTTCAACGAAGAGGAGATGACGGCGGCCAAGAATGCGCTGAAGAAGTTGAGCAAAACGCAGAGGTACGTTCGGCAAATTGTCGCTTCCGCAGCTTCTGTTTTATTTTCAGAACCACGTACAATGTGCTCAGTTCGAAAAGCGGCAGCTCGATAGAAGTCTCCGACGCGGATCACAGCGAACACAGCTACAGAGCCGTAAGAGCCAATGAGAGGGGGGAAAAATTGAAAAGGAAAACTTGCAGAAAGTGACGAGAACGAAGACGGTGAAAACGGAGATTGACAGAGACGCGGAAGTGAGTGTCACGTGCACAAAATCTGATGGAACCGAGGGCGGAAAGTACAATTCGAAGGGGGTGCAAGTGGACAATGCGCCGCCGAAAAAGATGCCGAGTGGAATGTGATTGTGAATAAACGGTTATATTATTTGGATACTGATTCATTTGAAAGAAATATGGGATGAATTCAAATACAATTCATAATTTAGATTTCTTCGTGCTTCTTTCATCTTCGGAGAATCAACGGCGGCTTGTTGAAGTCGGCTCCCAAGTTGCACTTCACCGTCGGCCAATACTCCGGCTCCTCGATGGGGCGATTGATCACTTCATTATATATACGGAGCATGAGCATCTCCGCTCTCTCCGCTCTCTCCGACTCGGGGATCTCTCTCTGCGTCCGGACAGCCGTCTTCCTTCTCTTCGGTACGTTCTCCTTGTCCGTCTCGTTGTCGTTGCGGGTCCTCTTCCGAGTTTGGACCTCCGGCGATGGGACCGGTTCGGAGGCGACGGTGGCAAAAGCTTGGCTCTTCGCCAGGAAGACCTCGTTACCCGGCCGTCCAGTCGCCTCCATCGCCTTCTTGTGCATCGTCAGCTGTGACTTGTCGCCAAAGATGCCTTGGCAACAGACACATGAGACCATCTTGGACACGTTGTGCACAGTCTCCAAGTGCTCTTTGATCTTGACTCCGAAAATTGTCATTCCGTTGTCTTGATCGCACAGAAAACACATGTGTTGCTTGCTGTGAGCTCGGTGTTGGTGGCGGGTGAGAGAGGTGCTCAGAGTGAAAGTCTGATCACACTGGCCGCACGTGTAGGGTCCTTTCTTGGCCTCCTTCACGGTTTTCTTCATAGCAGTGGACATTTTGAAATTGAATAGATTTGAGTGTGAGTCGGCAACAGAACAGAGAAGAAGAATAGAAAGGAAACGAGTGGGAGCAAGAGTAATTGTACCTGATGTACTGGTGGAATGTGTGCTGATCGGGACTCGTCCGAGATATTTATAGGGGACCAGAACATACTGTAAAAGGGCGGGGCCTCCGACGAATTCACATCGTCACTTCAAGGTGCACGTGTCCATGACAGGGGGCGCAGAGGCGACGGTGTGTCGTGTCTTAGAAAATGCCGACCGAACGGCACAGGTAACTTGGGAACCACCACCTGGGAAGGTCCGTCGCGTTTGCACCAGGGGTGTAGGGTCTGAAATTTAAAGTATGAATCTTCATAGGTACTGTATTCTTAGAGCATGAACTCGGAAAACATCAGGAAACTCAACAGAATCATGGAAATCTGTTCGATCAAAGTGCTCTTCGCACATACAACTTTATGTTCAGGGCAGAATACGGTCATTAAATATCAAAATACATTTGAGAACAATAGCTGCTGTCCATTAAAATTTTCCATTCAGGCATTTCGTGCTCCGTCGATTGCAATCACGCCGTGACAGGCGATTCTGTATTATCAGTACGCCACGATGTCCAATTCCGTTGGTCCCCGTTGATCAGCGAAGTCGCGTGAAGAATGGATCCGCGAATGATGATATCACCTTTCTTCAGAAGAAGGAAACTCATCGATAGGTAAACAAAAGTACATTAGCAAGGGAGAAAGAATGACCTAATCATCCGCTTACTCACCGTTCGAGGAGCAATCCACTGTCCCTCTGCTCGGCTCCCTGCTCCCCACTCTTCCTTGTTCCCATTCGATCACCATTTTCTTGGGCTTTCTCGCATTTACTTTAGACTCTTTTCCCCGTAATTCATAGCGTAACACAATAAACTGACTAAGTACAATATCCCAACTATCCTTCCCTTCAGTTTTTAACGCAATTTTTTTCTCATTTCCAGGTCATCATGTTGTCTGAATACTTCCTTAAAGTCAGAGAGCGTCAGATGGCTCGAGAGCGCGAGAACCGTCTTTTTAAGGCGTTGTTTCACGAGATGAAACAAGCTGCCAAGGTCCAGTCCGTCCCGACTGACGGCTCTCCTCCCGATGTCTTTCAAAACATCGCCACGTGGGAGACTGTCAAAGGTCGAAACCCGAAAAAGGTTCTCCTGAGCGACGAGGAGATGGACGCCCTCATCGTAAGTGCCGAAGGGGAGCCGATTCGCGAGGAGCTCGCCACGAAGCTAGGCAGATGCTTGCAGCTCAAGGTTCAGTGGAAGCACTTTGAGAAACACGACGCCTCCTTCAAGGATATGTCAGTGAACATCGAGAAGTCCGAGAAGGAGCTCATCGGGGACGTGCTTGAGGAAGTGGAGAACGAGCAGCTCGGTTAGTTACGAAATGAATGAAGCCTATGAATAAGAAGACGTTGCAGCGATCGTCGGGACCGTTCATGATGATCACAGCGGAGACCCAGAGACTGACTAAGTTTTCACACCTTTCCTCAAGTCCTCTCTCTCTCTCTCTCATCCTGTACAGTCCCGCTTCTTTGTTTCTAAATAATTTCCGTAAATATGAGAAGGGCTCCATTTACAATAAAAATGAATCGTATTAAAATTCAAGAGTCACAGCAAATATTGTTTGGAAACTGAAAACTAAACACCAAAACCATCGAAACCAGTCCTCTCAATTACAGTCTCTCAAGCGAGTTTTCCAGTCAATTGCAGTCATTCCCAGATCCATCTGCGTCTCTTCCGTTCGCCCGCGTTCCTCCATTGAGTCCATTATTCCAGTTGGCGCCTGTCAATACAATGAAGTATCAAAATAAATCCGCGTTTCTCCACGCGCACACAAAAAAGAGTTGACCTCGAAAGGCGGCGGTATTATAGATCGAGAGGGGCAGGAGAGAAAGTGTGATGGAATGATACTTTTGTGATGATCTATCTATTCTCACTTCCTCTATTGTCCGGCAAAAGAATACGACGTCTTCAATAAAAGAAGACGACGAAGAAGAAGAAGAACGTCAAAGTCAAACGATGAAAAGACGCTCGCTGATATTGGTTCTCTCGGTTTTCGGCGTTTTGTGCGATTATGTCAAGTTGCCCGGAAATGAGGAAATCGGCGGATTGAAGTTACAATCCGGCTATTTGAGTGCCAATGAGAATGGCACTAAACGCATGTTCTATTTGTGAGTTGTTTTCCCATTTTCTCCCCCAAATTTGTTGTTTTCTGCTGGAAATGGCTATGCCGCACGATGTGAGACCACTTTTGAAGTTGTATGTGTACTGTAGATACCTAGATCTTTACTTTTTTGCCATTCGAACATCTTTTGCTTTGACCTCTCAGGGACCCGCTAAGACTCGTCTCTTCCTGTCAGGTCCTTATTGAAAACTGCCACTTTTTCTTCTTCGTGGCTCAGCAGTTTCTTTAGAGACCGAGTACGCTAGTTTCTCGTCTTCAGATTCCTGGAATCTCGTGATCTGGTCCCTTCGGAAGCTCCCCTAATAATCTGGTTCAACGGAGGCCCCGGATGTTCATCCCTCGGTGCGTTCTTCCAAGAATTCGGACCGCTATATGTGAACTACGACGGAAAGACTCTCTTCGAAAACCCCGATTCTTGGGATCACGTGAGTCACAGATACCGTCATCTTTTTCCTACTCTGCCCTTCAGAAAGCCAACATTCTGTTTCTGGAGTCGCCAATCGGAGTCGGTTTCTCCTATCACACCGAGGAGACAAACTACACGCGAGCCGACGATGACACCACGGCCACAGAGAACTTTTTGGCCGTTTTGAACTTTTTCGAAGAGTGAGACATAGTCACAGTTGCCCCCTTTATTGTATAATGCGTTCAGAAAGCATCCAGGATATGTAAATCATGACTTTTTCGTGGCCGCCGAGTCGTATGGGGGTGTCTACGGACCGATGCTCTCCGCGCTGATTTCCGCGGCGATTGCTCGGAGGGAATTCCCGAATGAGAACTTTAAGGGACTGATCATTGGGAACGGGTACATGAACGTCAAGTTATCGACGAACACAATGATTCTATGGAGTGCCTACCATGCGAGAACGTCTCCAGAGTAACACGACTTCGCACAGACTTTTGATAGACAATCATCTTTTCAGCGAATGGGATGAAATCAAAGAAGTGTGCAGGACTGAAGGCGCGAAAGATGTGGATGAGTACGATTTCATGGTGAGTATCTATCAAACACCGTATTTCATATCACTACTTTGCAGAAGTTTATGAACACGACGAACAAGATGGACTACACGACGGATAATCGGACCGAGTGCGGCCGACTCATCGGGCCGTTGATCGGAGTGGCGAACAAGCCGTTGAATTATGATTTCTACAATTTCTACCACGATTGCTACGTCAATTTCTCGTCTCCAAACGCCACGGACCCTGTCAAAGAGGCTTTGGAGCTGGCGCCTCGCAAAGGAATCTCTGTGAGACCACCCTGTCATTCATCATAATCTCCTCGTTCAGGCCCTTATAAACAAGTACTCAACGGACACTCGGGCCTCGTACAGCTGCTGGAATGACAAGGCTCTTAACGAGTATCTCAATTCCGACGTGGTGAAGAAGGCGTTGAAGTTGAATGAGGAGTGGCTTGAGAGAAATGAAACGTGGAAAGCGTGCAAGTGAGTCATCTTGCTGAAGATAGAATAGAAAGGGTCAGGGTTACAGTGCTCTAATGTATGATCAGTATGTGATGACTCATCAGGACGTGGCGCCGTTCTTCTCCACTATTTTCAGCAATTATACGGTAGGAGTACTGAACTTCCAGTAAACTTTATGACTTTTATAGGGTCCGGCCTTCAGGGTTCTCATTTATAACGGGGACCTGGACACCGCTTGCAATTTCCTTGCGGATGGATATTTCGCAAGAGATTTGGCAAGACAGAATAGTTTGAAAAAGGTTGGATATCATCCTAGATTTCGATTTTTCAAAGTCACCATTTATTCCAGACAGTCAAGTATGACTCGTGGCTCTACTCGGATCAGCAGGTGCTGGCCGGCTATTACCTCCGATACGAAGGTGCGAACCGTCTTGGCTCCAAGTTATCCATCGATGTGTTAACAGTGAAGGTGAGTATGGATACTGTAGCAGCGATTACTGTACTCTCCGGTTCCAGGGCGCCGGTCACTTTGTTCCCCTCGACCGCTCGGGACCCGCCTACCAAATGATCAACAACTTTTTATTCGCTCAACCCGAAAAACTGGCCAACTACTCGCTTCCTATTCAGCTTTAAAATGTGTGTGTGTGTCTGTCTCTCTATGTATACTGAAATTTGCCGAAATAAAATGTAATTATGCAAATTTCTGCTCGTCGCCGACAGACGGATCTAATTTGTGTGGAGTGCTTGTGAAGTAGTACCAAGAAGGGAAAGACAAACAGAATCGTAAAAGGAGACGGAGAATGAGAAGACGGAGATTTTATTGGTGAGATTAAATAGAAAAAGTGTATTCTAAAGTCGTTTCAAGAGCGAAATTGTTATAGGGGTTACGGTAGATTTGCGGGCAAAAGCCTTCACTTTCCCGCAGAACAGAGTTGAGCAGAGATCCGCCTTCCGCTGTTTCAAATAACCTATTCCGTTCAACTCAGACACGCACTTCCTGCTGCTCTAGTCAGCACTTTTCCACTCTTATCTACTTCTTCTCTCCTCCCCAATTTGTTGTTGTTATTGATGATCATTCCCTTTTCCGCTCGCAAAACACCGTTCCCGTCCCCTTTTTCGCTCTATTTTCACCCGTCCGCTTTCTTTTTCCCATTTCCAGTATATTTTCCTTTCGAGCCAACCCCCCGTGGCTCTTTTTTTCCAGTCGCTTCTCCTTCTCCCATTACGCACACTTCTCTGGCATCTTCTCTACGCTCATCCCCCTTTTTTGGGCCAATGTTACAGCATATTTCTTCTAGTTTGTGGACATTTCACAACCGAGGAGTCAGGTTCCGCGAGACTTCTCGTTTTTTTTTTCTTTCGAGACTTTAGCTTGTTTTTTACGGTTGCAAAGTGTCTAGCAACCGGCAAACCTGACCATTACGAAACGTAACGAGTAGCATTCGATATGATACACAACTGTTTTCAATTAGTTTTCAATGGTTGCGAGACGTACCAGAACTTCCGTTGTCGGAACATTCTGCATTCTGCTTCATGTACCTAAAAGTTCTATGTACACCTTTGAAGTCTTCGAAGGCAAAGTTGCCAATCGTCAAGTTGCGAAAACGAACGATCTCCGTTCCGCGGCAAGAAATACCTCTCATTTCATTGCGTTTCTCTCACAAATCCCAGCATCACCCTCTCTCTCTCTCGCTCTCTCTCTCTCTCTCTCTCTCTCTCTCTCTCTCTCTTCGTCTCCCCTCCCCCCTATTTCGCGGAAATGCATTGGCGCACTCTCTTATTGACAAACACTCTCTCGATTGGCAGTGTGCCAGCAGTGGGTCGCCTCGGACAACGCGACCACACAGCAACTGACTGCCCATCTCAATTTCGGCACTCCCTCTCTCTCTCTCTCTCTCTTTCACTTGTGTGCATGTGTATGTTGTTGCAAACTAGTGAGTGAAAAGGGAAAGAAGAAGAAGAAGAAGAAGAAGAGGAGGACCGCCCGTGAAGCCGTCTCTCCCTTCTTCTTCTTCTTCTTCTTCTTCTTCTTCTGCTTCTGAATACTACGCGGTGGACAGCTACTATGTTATTCTGTTTTCTCTTTCTTTCGCCTCCCAGAGTACGCGCGCGAGGATCGACTGACACGTGTCTCTTTTCTAAGGGCGCCATTCCCACGGTGCTCTTCGAACTTTTGTCCGCACTCCTGGATCGCAGATTAACCTTCTCAAATCTTATTTATCCCTTATAGCTTTGAAAGCGTTTTCATAGAATGCGATCAACTGACAAAGTGCACACCAAAGTGAGCTCTATCCATAAGAACGATGATTGTAGGCTAAACGTATGCAAGCTCTTCGGCCAATCATAACTTTTTATGACAAAATGAATACAGCCCTTTTTGTTGTGCAATTTGTTAATCGAAGAAGCTTCCAGAAGACGCAAGTTGAGCTCTTAATCATTTTTTGATGAATAGAGCTCACTGCATTGTACATTTCGTCTGTTGATCACATTTCATAAAAATCTGCTAACAAACATGAAATTATTCCGTGTTAGACGGCTAGTAAATTAATTTCAAAAGTATCGCTCTTTTTACAGAATCCGACCGGAAAGAAATCCTATTGAACATGGTTTTTTAAACTTTTCAAAGCTTGTTTCTCAGTTTCAGGTCTAAAAAACCCTCTTTAGTCTCTCATTCTGAACCTAGACAGCCTCCTGCCCAGGTGGGGTTGGCGCAAAAGTCCATCTATCAAAGGTGTGTCCTCGAACGTCTGCGAAATGGGAATGGGACAAACCTAAGATTGATTGAATATTCCTTTTCCCTTCTTCTTCTTCTACTTCTACTTCTTCTCCTACTTCTTCTTCTTCTTCTTCCTTCAAAATACCGTCCATCTCTCTCCCTGTTTTGACTTCACTTCTTTTTGTTTTCATGTTGCCAGTGCGTCGACGGCGCCGACCCTGACCAAGTGCACTCAAGCGTACCGCACGCAAAAACGACCAACTTTCACTCGTTTTCGCCATTTTTTGGCGTGGCAATACGCTTCCAGCTAGCTCTACAATACTCCTCCTCCTTCTTCTTCTTCTTCTTCTTCTTCTTCTCCGCGTCCAACGTACCTTCAAACACCTGCCACTTCCGACGCTTTTGCCGGGGTCAAGCCCGATTCCCCCTCGGCTTCGTTCTGTGTAATCTAGCTCTCTCCTCGTCCTCTTGATCCTTCTTTTCGCTTTTCCGTCTCTCTTGGAACCATCTGTTTCACATTTGGCACGATGCCAATTCATTGGAAATGAAAGGAAGGAGAGCGAGTGGAATGAGAAACAGATTTCTTCCGATTCGCAATGCTCATAGTCAGCTTACTAGCTCATTTCGTAACCTGGTGTGAATAGAACATGATAAGATTATCATTTCGAAAGAGAAGTTACGAAATCCAAGCGCCTATAAAAGGGGGTTGTAACACTTCCATTTTGCCTTACTTTTGTAAGACCATCTCGGCCGCAACATCCAATTAGCCACAATCAGCGATCGAAGTGCAATTAAGTTCAATTAGAGACAAAAAGTGTCCTTCGTTTCGACGGAGAACCGGTTAGCAGTCTGCATGAGGAATTTCCTGACCTTTTCACGGTGAATCGTAACGCTTTTTCTGTGTAATGAACTGGAAAAACCTCTGCAACTTTTTGCTCAGCTTGACGGTTTGCCGAGATAGTTTCCTGGAAGAAGCCCCCAAGTTTTGCATGCAACTCAACTCAACTCAACTCTTCACTCGGCCCGTTTTTCATGGATGGAGCCACCGCGGCCGCCAATTCTCCGACATACATACACGTATACATGTTTGTATACATTATTGTTTGCCCTCATCCTCTTTTTATTATTTGACGCGCTGGCTGTGCGCGCCGTGCGCCCGGGCATAGTGCCAAAATGTTGTGTGGGGCGGGAGGGGCGGAGCCTCCTCTTTCATTTCGGCAACATTTTGACACGTGGCCCAGATCCTATTATTATTATTCTTGTTTCCGGCTCACTTTCTCTTTCTCTTTCTCTCGAGTGCCAACACGACGAAAAACGACATCATCATCATCATCATTCTCGTCGTCCAAAGGCCATAAAAATTTGCATTTTGAAACGGCCACCCTCCCTCCATCTCTCTCTCTCCTCCATCCGTTTCATTTTGTTATACGTGTACCAGTTGTACTGTGTGCGCTCTTCATTCCGTCTCTGAAACGAGGTGAGTGCGTCGGGGGGAATTTCTAGGCCATAGTGATCAGCTCGGCCACGTGTCGCTGACTAGTCCAACCAACCTTTCACCTCTTCACTCCTCTCAATTCCAATCGACAAGGGTGTCATTGCGAATTGGCCAACTCGACATCACAGCGGACGTCAACCGTGGTCGTCGTCGTTGTAGGAAAAGAAGACACCGCAAAAACTGATAAAATAGTTAGAGAGCGAGAGAGAGAGACCCCTTCAGAATGACACTATCGACCGGTTTTCGGGCATGCCCACCCGAAAGCGGGCCTATTTCGTCGTTCGAAGTCAACCCCACACTGCTTTTTTTCTATCATTTTACTCTCTTTCTCTTCCTCCCCGCCTCTATTGTTGTTCGTGTTGTTTTTCGTGTTTGCGAAAGTGTCACAAACATGTTTAGTTCCTCATTTTTATGACCATTCGTTTCGTATGCCTTCTCCGATGGTTAGTTAGAAGCACATGTGCTCTGGTCTGGTACTATGGTAATTGTGGGAACTAGTCATTTTCGATTCACTAAACTATAGTTTACACATTTATACACCTCTGCCTCTAATGTAAAGAAGAAAAAAGCGCCCGGGGTTCGAACTTTTGTCTCTAACTTCTACAAAATGGAAGGCGTTAGCCACTGAGCCGTCGGCGCGCAGTTTCATGAAGCGTACGATGCGTATACACAGGTGCTGAAAAAGTGCGTCATGCTCAAATATCTGTGGCACTTTTCCAATAAACCAGAACAAAACAACAACTGTACACACACGCGATCCCCTCTTTTTTCGCTTTCCAATTAGTTTTTCTCCCATTGTTTTTCCCTTCTCTGTGAGGTGCGAAAAAACTGAAAAACCGAAAAACTCGGGAGGAGCAGCAGAAAGCCAGTGGAAACATATCGAATATCCGCGAGTCTCCCACGAGTCATATGTTCCCGCTCCTCCCCTTTTTTTTGCAAATTTCTTTCGAGTGAGTGATTGATCGAAGAGCACCTGAAAGAAGAAGAAGAAGAAGAAAAAGAAGAAGAAGAAGCGAAGGACTGTGTACGTTTTGCCTCATCCTTCATTTCTAATCAATCAGCTCTCCGCCCCGCCCAATGTTCAGTACTTTTGCACGTGATTTCGGGCGGTATAAAAACAGTTGGTGACTTCACTTTTCAACACATTCCTCTTGTTTTTTTCGTCGTTTTTCGTCGTCAAGAAAAACTGAGAAAATGTAAGCAAAAACAAAGGGATTTGAGGAAGAATTACTTCGTCTATTGTGCGGTTACTGTACTTGCTGCCGCAATCGCGCTCTCCGCGGCCGCAGCCAGGCTTTTGTTGATTCGAGACGCTATATCTCGACTGCCGTTGAAGATATCAAAATATTGTTAACTAACAAATTACTTGCTGAAACATTCTGTACATTTTATTAGTTGACATCTTTTTGATATCTCTGAAGCTGGCTGAGATACATCGCTTTTAAGAATCTGTATTTTTTGTCTCTTAAACTGATGGTTTCTGCCTAGCTCAGGCACTCTCGCAGATTAAATTCCTTCCATTGTTCCGTACAAATCGTCAATCTCAATCAAATGCGTTTCGTTATTATCATCTTCGACGCCCACACCCACAGTTTCTTCACATTTTTCTCATTTTCCATCCACCTCCTCCTCCACTTCTTCTTCTTCTTCTTCTTCGTTATTGTAAAAAAGAGAACTATACACTTTTACCTCTCTATCCTTTTCTTTCTTTCCCAACCTATTTGTACTGGCTTTTCAAGTATTTTCCTCTTCTGCGTCTCCGTGAATCCAACGGCAAAAAGTAAGAAAGAGAAAGAGAAAGAGAAAGAGGTAAACAAATTGTTCGTCGGCGAAAAGATTGACGAGACAATCGAAATAAAGGGGCCACCTGTTAACTGGTAATCACTCGGCTTGTCACTTTTCAATTTCGCCGACACCGATATTATATTCCCAACAAAACGGGTCGAGTTGATTGGATTAGAAGGTGAGTGTCTTGAGCAATTTCAGAGCACAAATCGTTGGCGCACTTTCCGTGCCTTCCGTTCCAATCAGTATGTTTTAATCAATCAATTTTCGACAAAAAGAAACAACGACACTCGAAAATTGAACTGCAAAACGTGCCGCGAAGAATGTGACTCATGCGCGCACGCATTCCTCCCTCTTCCTTCCTCCCCATCCCATCCCATCCGTTTTTCCTCATTTCAACACTGAAAAACCGTCCGTTCTGTTAGTTTTCGAAACTCTTCTTTCTCTCTCTCTCTCCGTTTATGATGTTCAAATAATGAACCATCCGATGCACCATAACCATCATTCTTCTTCGTCAAACACTTCAACCGAACTGAACTGCCAAACATAGACTTTCAAAGTGAACTTTCCAAAGTTCTTCTTCTTCTTCTTCTTCTTCTATATTCCCCTCAAAAATGTTTCGGAGACGTTCGAAAAGTGTGTCAGTTAGTGGCAGTTCGGCCGGCGGGACCGTCCGAGGTCGAAGAGATGGTTATGGGTACGATTCTCGTACTTTCTACTGTGCCCCCGTTTCCCTCCTCAAACTTTCCATTTGCAGGTCCACAGTTCGACTGCCCGTCTATCTCCGTGACGTCATCATGGCCGAGACCAAAGCCTATGTGAGTTGACTTCCAGAATCGGCTTCTTTCTGTGTTCTCTGTGTGTGCATGCGATCCGTCCTTCCTTCCGCTCTCTGTTTTTTACTCGCGTGCGTGTCTTCCGTCCATTACCGTTTCCTTGTTTGATGCCGATAAAAATAGACGCCAAGACTCGGTGAACCGCACAAAAATGGCCGAGTAGGAGAAGAAGAAGAAGAGAGAGCACTTTTTCTGGCAACCACCACTTTGGCACCGCTTCTCAATACGAAACAAAAGAGATGTGGGGGTGTGTGTGGAGCATCAAAGAGCCAATTGATTTGAATGATTCTGAATGGGGTTCTTTTTTGAAGGGTTCCTTCAGGACGAAGATCAGACGGAACTGGAGGCTCACATCAAATCAAAGTTTATGGCACTTGAAACTTTTGATACTTCAAAACTTGGAAACTTGGAAACTTCGTGCTCCTACTGATATTATCTGTTTCCGCGAGCTTTCGAGACCAAGATTTGTTTGATTCTATAGTATTCTTATTGGAAATGTCATACTGTAAGATTAAAGGCGCAGCTTTTCGGTGAAAACAGTTAGTAATGTGTCCTCTAAAACAAGAAAAGTGGGAAAAAAACTCGCATTTTTTTGCTAAACGTGGCCAACTTCCCAGCTTTTCTCTTCCCCGTTCACATCTATTTCTAAACTCTTCCTCTGCCTCTCGGGAGGGTTCTCAGAGTCACTTTGACCCGCAACCACGTCATGAATCCTTTTCTGCCCTTCTCTTTTTAGATTGAAACGAGTAAGTTTTCCCAAGAAAGTCAAGAAAAGGACATGCACATTTGAATTCATTCAAAATGGGTGGGAGTTGAAAGCCGCTTCTCCCATCCGATTTCCATAAGCTTCCTTTTCCTGAATTCTTGAGAAGCGACCTGAGAACTCGAAAGGTCCATTTCTTTCTTATTTTGCAAAACGAAACAAAACGGAAATCAGTGTAACCGAATCTTGAAGCAAGAAATGCGCCCCAGACAAGGGGAGGTTTATTTATTTCTCCGAGAGTTGGCACACATTTCTACTATGTTTCACTTCACATGCTCTTTTGATTCTTTGCCAATGAGCTCTCCGAATCGTTTTCTAGCCTTCACCAGATTCGTATGCAAAAGTTGACACCATCTTGACACATTTCACCCATTTTTCGTGCTCTGCTTTAGAAAAAGACGTCAAAACAATAGTAGCCGCTCTGTGGCTCTTGCTCTTTCTCTCTCTCTCTCTCTCTCTCTCGAGATTCCTCGAAGCCCCGCCCACTTTTGGGTGGCTCTGCCCCTCCGGAGAGTCGTCCCTCCCCCACAAAGTGGGCTTCTTCTCGCTCACTCCTCCAGAATTCCCTCTGATTATTCTCACACCGCCGCCAAACTGTTGTCGATCAAGAATCTCGGGCTTGGCGACCAAATATGTCCCAAAAACTGGCTCCATCAATACCATCAAAAGTGCCAGAAAGAGCCGTTTCCGAGCTGCTCGACGTCCAGCTGCTCGACGAGCTCCACCGACACGTGTCTTCTGATCAAAGGACCGCCCGAGACGATCGGAGGCGATGACATGCCGTCGGTCTGGCACTGTGCCAAATATATCGTATGGTTGAGAGAAGCTTCTGCCTTTTCCGCTTCTTTTCCGGGAAGCTGAAAAGGCAGCTCACTTTGCCGTGCTGTTTTTGAAGTGATCCTTTAGTTGTGTTGTGTCCTCGAGTACTGTCTGTTTGCTTTTTGGTTCTGTCCCATTCCCGTCGACCGAACTTCCGCAAACTCAATCTGAAACTCTTTCCAGAACATTCCGTACCGTTCCAAGCTCACCGAGCGCATCGAGCCCGGACAAACTCTGATCATCCGTGGAAAGACGATCGAGGAGTCGAAGAGGTGGGCACGGATTACTGTACTTTTATTTCTTCTTCATCTTCTTCTTCTTCTTTCAGATTCAACATCAATCTCCACAAGGACTCTCCGGACTTCTCCGGCAACGACGTTCCGCTCCATCTGTCGATCCGTTTCGACGAGGGAAAGGTAAAGAGCACAAGTGATTCTTGAGCCCTTCCAGAGGGAACTAAAACTGAAATCCCTCCAAACGTTTGTTCTTTTTCCGGCTCGGCAGCATGACCCTAATGCTCAATCAAGCATGTTCCCTCCCGGCGCTTCCACTCAAAAAATGGGCTCTTTTGGCGGAAAATGGGAAACGGCGCCTTCTAGACGAGGAAATTGCCCTGCTTTCATGTTCTAGTTGTGCTTGATTTTAAGAAAGAAAGAGAGAGAGAGAGAGAGATGGTGTTTACCCGCTGCCTTCAACCCGAGAAAATGATTGATAGATTTGATTGGCTTCCAAAGTCCCGCACCTGAGCCAGGTGACTCTCATCCCTCTTTCCAGATCATATTCGAAAAGTGGCAGCGAGAAAAAGCGCTGAAATCAAGTGTATGTTTCGCCGAATTTCCTCTATGTGGATGACACCGTAGAAATGCATGCTTCACAGTTTTTCTTGACTCGAATGTTTTGGGTTTTTAAATCATATTTGTACAATATTAGTTCCCTTTTAAAAAGAGAGGCCAATCAAAAAAACTACAGTAATCCTTTCAGAAGATGGTCTTGTTAACATTTTATCTATTGTCCAATTCCAGATCGTCTACAACGCGTACACGAAGGGCGCGTGGGGCAAAGAAGAGCGCGCGAAGAACCCGATCAAGAAGGGCGACGCGTTCGACATCCGCATCCGCGCGCACGACTCCAAGTTCCAGGTCTCGATCAACCATGTGAGTTTGGTGGTCCCTCCGGACCGAGCCGTCATTTCTCAACCCCAAAAATCACTTGCGCGCCCCCCCGAAACAATAGGCGGTAATCGTCACTTTTCAAAAGTCGAAAGCGAATTTGGCGCTTCGCAAACTTTTCGCTCTTTGCCTAGGGGGAAACATCGGAAATGATGCGTTTTGTGGCGAGCGAAACGAAGAAGAAGGAGAAGAAATATGAGATGAGTTTTGACAGGTGTAAGCCCATCATCTTCTTCTCCGTCACTGCGGAACGGGATATGGAATGAATGAGCTAGAGAACTTTGAGCTTTGATCGGGCCTGGGCAAAGGACTTTTGGACCGCTTGCAATGATCCGATCGGTCCCATACTTTGACTTGGATTGAAGTATTTTGAGGCCAAGTTCGGATTATCTAACCTGGCCTTTTTGCCCTCGAACCAGTATATCTTGGAACCAGATAACCCGATCGGTCCAAGCCCAAGAACCCTGCAAAGTTTGGGACCGAGCTGATTATTGCAAATAGTCCTAAAGTTTTTGCGTAGGCCGAATTTCAGAAAACTCTACCCTTGGTCAGCTTAACTTTTCCTCGTTTTCTATCCGAGATCACCCGGACCAGTTTGACCAGTTGATTCTCGATCTCCGAGCCCTTCCGCCTCACAAAACGCTACTTTTTGTGACAAAAAGCACTCCTCTGGGCGAGAGAGAGAGAGAGAGAGTACTCTGAAATATTCATAACTTCCATTTCGGTCATCTCCCCACGGACAAATCCTTTTCGGTCTCCCTCTTCGAATCGAAAACCCACTCCTTTCACACTGCCCCTGACCGGTCATGTAAACTCATCAGCGTGTGCTCTTTCTGCTTTGAGCTCCCAAATCTGCGAGTGTGCATGGCGGGCACTTGGAACATTTATGAGGCCCGTGGGAGCCACGACGGAACAGGCGGAAGAGAAAGGAGCAAAAAATGGAGTCACGCATTTCGCATTTCTCATTGTTTTTTGGTGCTCTATCCCCTCTTCTGCTCCGCGCTTCTTCGAAGGAGAAAGAGAGGAAGAAGAAGAAGAAGAAGAAGAAGAAGAAGAAGAAGAAGAAGAAAGGGAACAAGATTTGTGTCTCTGAAACAGATAAGAAAGCGAAAAAACAAAAAGGGGAAAACAACAAGAGGAAGACAATAGAAATTGAGTGAAAAGTGCAAGAGTTAAGATGGATTGGAAGCGAGGGAGTTGGGGAGTACGGTATCCTTTGTTTATGATTCTGGATCCGACGTCTACACAACAATGTAATTGCCTCATACTTCCCTCCTTTTTGGACAATTGAAAAAGACCAAAACATTGCTTTTCTTCCCGCCGCTCAAAATTGTTTTTTTCGCGACGATCGCCTAATCTTTTGCTCGCCACCCAATTGAGACGCGAAAAGGGTCAAATAAACAGAGGAAAAACGGAGAAGAAGAAGGGAATGAAATGTTTTTGTGTTTTTCAGAAGGAGGTCAAGAACTTTGAGCACCGTATCCCGCTCAACTCGGTCTCGCACTTGTCCATCGACGGAGACGTCATCTTGAACCATGTGCAGTGGGGAGGAAAGTACTATGTAAGTTCCGAAACTTGAAACAGATACTATTGGATCCTTTCAGCCGGTGCCGTACGAATCGGGAATCGCCGCCGACGGCCTGGTCCCTGGCAAGACTCTCGTCGTCTACGGAACTCCGGAGAAGAAGGCCAAGAAGTTCAACATCAACTTGTTGAAGAAGAACGGCGACATTGCTCTCCACTTCAACCCGCGCTTCGACGAGAAGGTTCGCCTCCTTTTCCGATCGTCTCCATTTTCTAAAAATTTTATAAAACCATCTGAAATTACCGAAACCCCACGATTTCAGGCAAACGGATTTATGTGCGCTAAGCCGACCCCTGGAGTAGGTTGATTTGTGTTGTGTAACTAAAAGTGTTAGTATCCCCCTCTCTCAAAAAACATGCGAACTTTTGGTTTATTCTCTTGATCTCTTGTGTTCATTTCATTCGTTCTTCTCAACAACATAGGCGACCCCTCCCATCCCTCTGTTCCGTTTAACATTTGTCTATTTATCCGGGAATTCTTTTGCAGAAGGATTACGATCCTTTTATTGAGTTCAACGAGGTTTGTTTAAAAGCAACAATAGCGGCCCCTCGAGATTCGGGCCTTCTTCAGGCCCCCCCTAGGCCGGGTCCTCGGCCTGAATCTCGCGGTCTTTTGAGCGTTTGCCAAACTTCTCTTCTTTGGTTGTGATATATGTGGATGTTCTTTCTGTTTTGGGTCTCAGTTGAGCACGTTCGTAAACGGCCAATTTCAGAGCGTCGTCCGCAACTCGCTCGTCAGCGGAGAGTGGGGAAATGAGGAACGCGAGGGCAAGAACCCGTTCGAGAGACTCGTCGGATTCGATTTGGAGATCCGCAACGAGGAGTTCGCTTTCCAGGTAACATCGAGATTTGATGATGTTTGACTCAAATTGATCTTCTAAATCGCGTCTCTTTTTGTGCTTTTGAGTCTGACCGATAGGTTTCTGCGAGAAAGAGTAAAAAGAGAAAAAGACGGCCCCGGAGCAGAAAAAAGTCGAATTTCAAGTAGTGTTTTAGGCTTTTTCCATCCCAATTGATGATATTGACGTCAAAAATGACACATTTACATTATTTTTCTAACAAATAACAGAAAGAATCGACAAAAAAATACCAAATGTTATCCTACGGACATTCCCAGCCCGGCCCGCCCGTAAAATCACAAGTATGGGGTCTAGTCTAGTGAGCGCAACATGTGACTGATAACAGTTTGGAAGTTGTTGGAAAGAGCCAAACTACACGCTTTCAGATCTTCGTGAACGGCGAGCGCTTCGCTTCGTACGCCCATCGCGTCGACCCGCACGACATCGCCGGACTGCAGATCCAGGGAGACATCGAGCTGACAGGAATCCAGGTGGTCGCCAATCAGCCGCAGGAATAAATCCTCGCCCTGTCTTCTCCCCCAATGGTAGTGCTTCTCTCCTCTTCTAGTTGTCCCCCATCCCTTCACAATCCAATATCTGTCACTTCTTCTTTTTCTTCATCTTGTTCTTCTTCTTCCCCCTCCCCCCGCTTTTCCATACCACTGCCCCCCCATCATCAAAAAAGCTAAAAAGTCCCGACCAAAAAGTATTAATCCTCCGGCCCCACTTCTCTTCTCTTTTCCCTATTCTTTCCCCCCAATATCAATGGTGTTTCGTCTGATGTTTCCATGTTTATCGCCCCCATTTCCACGATGGTTTTCTTCTCCAAAGAGGAGCCGTTCTTGTGGATTCTTGTGTGAACATGAACACAATAAAGTTTCGGTATATGCAAAAGTTCATTCAGGGGGTCCATCAGCAAATTCAGATTTCAGAGAGAGAGAGAGAGAGCGTTTAGAGCTTGGCCTTGAGCATCTTGGGGTCCAGAATGGTGCGCAGCTTCATGGCCTTGGCGATGTTCCCCTTCAGCTTCATCTTCCCTTGCATGAACGCCTGAAATCTGCTCTTCTCTCTTCCAGTCTCACTCACCCCAGCTCACCTGATCTGGCTTCAGTTTTCCGGCGGCAATGTTGATAAAGTCCGAGTCCTTGATGCTGATCTCGATCTCGACCGGACGCGTGGCATCGTCTCCGACGTACGGGGTGTCCGACTTCGCGTCGATCGTCCAGACCTTGGTGGTCCCGTCGGCGGCCGCGATGGTCATGCGGAACGAGGTTCCGACCTTCTTCACAAGATCCTTGTCCTGTAAAACAACAATATCGAATGATGACGTGGCATCGATCAATCACTGACCACTTGGATTCTCTCCTTGATTTCCTCGAAGACGACGTCCGACTTGAAGCTCATTTTCGGCACTGAAAACGCAGAAGTTTAGTTTTGTGTGTGCGGAATTCGATGATTTACGACAGAAAACCACGAGGAAACGGACACGAAACTAGGAAATGAATCAATCGATTCGGCCGTCTGGTGATAAGCGGCGGAAAGTTAAACACGGATCTTGTCGATAAGAGACGCAGAATCCGTATTAGGAAAGAAAGAGAGAACGAAGAATGGAATGAGAATGGAAATTAGCCGATGGGCAAAGTTTTATATACACAAACGTGATAAGTTAGATGGCTACAATGGGGCAGAACTCCTTTCTCGTCGTCCGCTTATCAGTTCGTTTTCTGTAGGCAAAGACGGAAAAGAATGGGAACTTTGAGAGGGAACAAGACGATATTGTTTTGATGAAGAGGTGGCAAGGTTTGTGGTGTTTCCATCCGAATAGGTTCTAGTGGAGGAGAGTAGACTACTACGGTCGGATCATGTACATTCGCAATTCAACGAGTCTAATGTATTCAAGGCTAGGCTTTTGGATGCATTTTCTCTAGAGATATATCTGGATCGAAACCGAAAAAGCGGGTTTTTTTCACGGTAAACTAATCTGCCTGGAACTTACTTCAATACAAGTCCATGAAAAAAATTTGAAAAGCCCGAGCAGGTGTCAGCTCTGAATGTCCTCAACGTCTTCACCATCCACGAGACATAATTTCAACCTGAAATGATTAAAATCTTCAACTTTCAATTGCAATCCTCACACATCTTCATAAAGACAATACCGCCTGGATTTCATGATTCTGTTGAGTTTCCTGATGTTTTCCGAGTTCATGCTCTAAGAATACAGTACCTATGAAGATTCATACTTCAAATTTCAGACCCTACACCCCTGGTGCAAACGCGACGGACCTTCCCAGGTGGTGGTTCCCAAGTTACCTGTGCCGTTCGGTCGGCATTTTCTAAGACACGACACACCGTCGCCTCTGCGCCCCCTGTCATGGACACGTGCACCTTGAAGTGAAGATGTGAATTTGTCGCAGGCTCCGCCCTTTTACAGTATGTTCTGGTCCCCTATAAATACCTCGGACGAGTCCCGATCAGCACACATTCCACCAGTACATCAGGTACAATTACTCTTGCTCCCACTCGTTTCCTTTCTATTCTTCTTCTCTGTTCAGTTGCCGACTCACACTCAAATCGATTTTATTTCAAAATGTCCACTGCTATGAAGAAAACCGTGAAGGAGGCCAAGAAAGGACCCTACACGTGCGGCCAGTGTGATCAGATTTTCACTCTGAGCACCTCACTCACCCGCCACCAACACCGAGCTCACAGCAAGCAACACATGTGTTTTCTGTGCGATCAAGACAACGGAATGACAATTTTCGGAGTCAAGATCAAAGAGCACTTGGAGACTGTGCACAACGTGTCCAAGATGGTCTCATGTGTCTGTTGCCAAGGCATCTTTGGCGACAAGTCACAGCTGACGATGCACAAGAAGGCGATGGAGGCGACTGGACGGCCGGGTAACGAGGTCTTCCTGGCGAAGAGCCAAGCTTTTGCCACCGTCGCCTCCGAACCGGTCCCATCGCCGGAGGTCCAAACTCGGAAGAGGACCCGCAACGACAACGAGACGGACAAGGAGAACGTACCGAAGAGAAGGAAGACGGCTGTCCGGACGCAGAGAGAGATCCCCGAGTCGGAGAGAGCGGAGAGAGCGGAGATGCTCATGCTCCGTATATATAATGAAGTGATCAATCGCCCCATCGAGGAGCCGGAGTATTGGCCGACGGTGAAGTGCAACTTGGGAGCCGACTTCAACAAGCCGCCGTTGATTCTCCGAAGATGAAAGAAGCACGAAGAAATCTAAATAATGAATTATATATGATTTCATCACATTTTTTTCTTTCAAATGAATCAGTATCCAAATAATATAACCGTTTATTCACAATCACATTCCACTCGGCATCTTTTTTTCGGCGGCGCATTGTCCACTTGCACCCCCTTCGAATTGTACTTTCCGCCCTCGGTTCCATCCGATTTTTGTGCACGTGACACTCACTTCCGCGTCTCTGTCAATCTCCGTTTTCACCGTCTTTCGTTCTCGTCACTTTCTGCAAGTTTTCCTTTTCAATCTTTCCCCCCTCTCATTTGCTCTTACGGCTCTGTAGCTGTGTTCGCTGTGATCCGCGTCGGAGACTTCTATCGAGCTGCCGCTTTTCGAACTGAGCACATTGTACGTGGTTCTGAAAATAAAACAGAAGCTGCGGAAGCGACAATTTGCCGAACGTACCTCTGAGTTTTGCTCAACTTCTTCAGCGCGTTCTTGGCCGCCGTCATCTCCTCTTCGTTGAAATTCGCCTTCACAATGACCAACGGAGTGAAGTGCCAGACGGCGCACGCACTCATCACGCAGTTGATGAGCGAAGTGATCAGGATCACCGAGTCGTGGATCAATCCCATCGCGTCGTACTCGGAGTGTCTCGTGAGAGCTGTGAATTTCCACGGAATCCCGGATCCGGGTAGAAGGTCGAGATTTGAAGGAGTTTGAGAGAGGCAGCGCCGAAGTAGAAAATGATGAGGAAAACGGTGAGAGCTGCAAAACGATGGGGGTAAAGCAAGTACGCTTCACTGACAATTACCGTTTCTTCTCACATAAATAGCAATGTAAAGGAGGCAAATGGCGAGGAACTGTCCGAAGAGCTCGACCATGTGCACGAAGTGCTCCGTGTTGTCCGCCAGGTGGTAATAGGCCTCGGAGAGGTAGGCGTACCAGCCAGAAGACAGACAAATCTGGTAGGTCTGCAAACGCGCTCTATTGAGAATCGATCCTCTTCAGGGAAATTGATTTGCTCACCGCAATCACTGCCATAGCGAAGATCACATTGAGAAAGTGACGACGATGCTCGATGAGCTCCCGCACCTGAGCCGCCTCTTCCGGGTACTTTTTGAAATCGCTGAAAGGTTTGCTTGCTTTTGCAGTTTATGAGAATCTTCCGGAAACTTACCTCATTCAATTTCGAAAACCAACGTTTGTTTTGATTCTTGAAAGTTAGAAGTGGAAATCGAATGCGAACACGTGGCGCCTCTGACGTGTTCCAATAACAATCTGAACGTGAATAGTTTCCACAAGTTCAATAAGGGGCGGCTGATCACGGATAAACTGATAGCTTCATTGATAAGACTGATAAGACTAACCGTTATTCTTCAGATTTACTAATGGAACGATTTCCGCCGTATGAGCTCGAGAAGTACGTGCTCGCTGCTCGCGGAGCCGTCCTGCTTTGCTCGTCTCTCGAGGTGATATTATATGACTTTGCAACAGTATTCCTTTCTTTTCCAGCTCCTCCTCGTACTGTTCAATTGGCTCGAGAACAGTTGTCTCTTCGCCAAACTCGTCTACTTCCTGGCCCTGGCCGTCTCGATCTCCGTCTCCGCCCACAACGTCGTGTTCATGATCGACGGACGCGACGAAGTCAAGAAGGCGTTCCGATCAAGTGGAAGTTCGGATGTACGCCTCAAGTCTTTCATGCTCATCCTGGCGCCACTGGCTTCCGGCGTTTTGGCCTTCTTCTGCGTCACCGGCCACTTCTTCTTCTCGCTTCTCGCCTTTTGCCACCTGGTCGGAGCCGTCGGTCAATTGGCCGTGGAAGTTTACGAGGCGAGCAAGGCCGGAGGGATCGCCGAAGGTCCTCCGGAGCCGGATCCGATTGCGAATCCAAAAAAGCCCGGAAGTCCCAGTTAGAAATAAATATGTGATTGATTGTTTTGTGCTACATCTTCAAGTTTTCGTCTTGTTTATCACCCATTTCTCATCCAAATCCTTCCATCCTGACCACAAAAATATCATTGCCCCGCCCATTCGTACACATGCTAATCCGCTCAAGAGGCGCGAAAAGAATTTCAGCGGTTGCCGTGGCCACGCGGAGCCAAGAGTACGAGAGCAAAGATTGGATAGAGCACAACTTTTTGTGTTTTTCAGGTGACTCAACCTTGATGATGTTACAGCGCGCCCACACATCTTCAGACTTTTCATCTTCATTCGTTCCTCTCTGATTTTTCATCGACGGCCTAGGAAGAAGACGATGGTGACCGGAAAAGTGTGTAATAAAGCGGGCCGACCGGGAAAAATTGTGTGGAATCGGACACCACAGGGATCCATCTTCTCGCTTTCTTCCCAATATCCCCCCTGCTCGGGTTTCGCCACCGAACACCGAACCTCTTGTCCGACATCCTCTGTTTCCCTCGCATCAATCTTCGGCCTAATGTCCTCCCGTCAGCGGCAGCAACAACTGATTGCCCAATCAATCGAAACATGTCAGAACGTGCCAACAAATCAGCTCTGCGCCCTCCGCGGACGCCGTGCTCTCCGCCCGCTCGCCGTCTCTCCGGATGCCGTGCTCTTCGTGCTCGGTTCGCAGTAAACGAAACGCACGAAACATCACAACATGGCAGCTCCCCGGCGAGCGGAGCAAGAGAGGAGCCGTCTTGCTTGCCACACAACCACTATCTGATTCAACTTTTGATCATTCTGTCTTTCTTCTGATGTTGCAAAGGTGCCTCATTCCTTCGTTCTATAACGTTTCGGGTTAGATCCAGTGCGGTCCCATCTGAGATTCGGATGAGATTCGGACGAACATTGCCGATGATGGCTGGGTTCGGACTTGCGAGTTCATACTCGGGTTAGCTGAACTCTTACAAATTCAGAAGTTGCTCATTTTCTAGCCTCTAAGTTTTCCTCTCTCATTCCCTCTCATTTCTACCTCTTTTCCACCTGCTTGACTGAACATTTTCCGAGACTGAAGTTCACGATTTCGCTCAAAAATGCATAGCAGCAATCATCGAATCGCCTTCTCGCTCGTTTTTGTCGTTTTCCTCCTCAACTCGTACTCATTTTTGTTTCACACATACACAGTATACACCCAAAACCTCGTTAGGCTCCCTGACCACTTTCCCATTTCCTGCTCACAGAGCAACAACACAATTTCATTGCCTTCTTCTTTTGCTCCTTCTTCTTCTTCTTTTCCTTCTCGCTCACTGAGCATCAGGCCAAGAATTTCCGCAAATTGCGTGTCAAATCGTGAAAATGTGTCCCGGCTCTCCCGACGCTGCCTCCAACATTCTCTGTTTTTGTTGTTTGTTTTCTTCGACCTTTTCCCTTTCCGCCCCTCGAACTCACTCATTATGACGTGGCAAACCGTTCCCAAGTACATCCCTGTTTACCGAGACTCTTCACTAAAAGTTCTGAACACATGAAGTGAAACAAGGCAAAAAACGTTGAAAGAGTAAATAATTCGGGTCCGCAGGGCGGATACAGCCCTCTTTTTGATATCGAAACCGCCTGTTTGCCAAGTGATAATTCTTTGTTCCTCGCTCACGTTTTACAATCATTCGGGAGTAGGCAGGCGGAGAGAAAGGGAGAGAGAGAGAGAGAGAGAGAGAGAGAGAGAGGGAGGGAGGGAAACTCTTTTTCATTGCGGGGGAGATAAAGAATCGTTTGTATGTGTGTGTGTGTTCTGTGGCGAACGCAATGATAAAAAGTAGTAGCCGAGCAAATGATAAGTAGGAAAAGAAGAAATGATCGGAATGGATGACAACGTGTTTGCATTGTACATAGACACATTCCGATTAAGTTTGAATGTACTGGAGGCTTGGGTTACGGTAGTCTGAAGCAGTCAAGGAGGAAAGAGGTAGAGGGTTTGATTACCGGAAAATGCTTCCCAAATCCCGACCTCAGGACACTTTTGAATCAATTTCAGTTACTGTGAGAACTATAATAGAAGAGTACTCTAATACCGTCTATTCAACGCGATGTATCTCGGCTGTCGGTAGAGATATCAAAAAGTTGTCAATTGATAGAATGCACATAATTTTATAACAAGCAATTCAATAGTTGAAAACGTTTTGATATCTTCAGCGGCAGCTGAGATATATCGTCTTGAATAACCGGCTCACAAGTTGGCTCTGAACCACCCGAGATTACTATAGATTCTGAAGCCCCTAGACGCATTTTCGCGACAAATCCATCCGGAAAATGTCCTGAAAGTTCTCCATAAAGCTGTTCAAACTCTCATTGTGTGCATTCCAGAATGACCTGTAACAATGAAGGCAAACATCGAAATGAGTCAATGAGTCAGCAGGGGCTTCTGAAATTTGAAGGATTCGAATTGCATGACCCTTTTAGATCACAAACCCGCAGACCATCGAATCTGATGAAAATGATCGCAAAAAAAGCGTCGGCATTCCAACCGCAAACCCACATCAATCTTAATCAGCCGAATCGCTGACACATCACGTTCCCCTATCACCTCTTCTTTTCTTTTCTCTTCTATGCCAATTTGGGTTCACAAAAGAGTGTAAAAAAGCGCGACCATATGACCCGTGTGTTACATGATAAATAGATTTTATTTTCGGCCTCTCTCTCTCTCGCGTGTCCGAATGCCTTTCTCTTTCCAAACAGTACATGGGTGACCGATTCACATGACTCGGATGAATCATCAGTTTCACTTTTGTCGCTCCCTCTGGTACATTTGGAGGAACGCAGAAGTTCTGGAAGAGAAATGTGTGGCAGATGTGCAAACATCCCCTCCATGACGACATAAAGCGACGATAATGATGATGATGATGGTGGTGGTGCCAGCGGATCGGCGAGGGAACTCCCAGTTTTGTAATCGTCCGCATCAGGTGAAACGAAAACGGATTACCCTTTTTTGAAGTGTGAATAGACAGTAAACATGTACGAAACCGGGTGAATAGTTGATTTTCGGTTACCTTTCTCTAACATCATCAGTAGCCGGAGTTCGAGGGTTGGGCAAAGCAAATATTTAGCCGAAAGGTCATGAGTTTTGGAACCGATTCGTTCGAGGCACAACACACACACACAAAAACTGATTGATTTGGCGCCGAGCCTTTGGAGACGAGTGCAGACGGTTAATGTAGTCGACGAATATGTACATGGATGTGTGGTTCTGTGCTTTTCCGGGGGTGTAATCGAGTTTATTTGGCAGGTGTGAAAAGGAAATCGTTGCCACGTCATCCCGGACCCTGTAAGAACCGGGAGCTCTCGAAATCGCTTCTTTTTACTTTGTGAAACTTCTCTCTCTTCCCCCACGCGTTTTTTTCTCCCATTTCATATTACCACATGTTCTTCTCCTCCTCCTCCGCCTTCTCATCTTTGGTTCATTTTTCGAAGCAGCTTGAAATCCGAGGCGTCAAAAAGATGTAAACTATTTCATGAGTTTGAGAATGTTTTTGCAGAAAGATAAAAGAAGAGAAGAGAGAGAGAGAGAGAGAGAGAGAGAGAGAGAGTGTGTTCTTGTTTCCTGTCGTAACCCCCGGAATGACTTCTCATCTTTCCACCGATGACGGATAAAGGGATAGAGAAGTGTTCACACACACACACTCACTCACTACTTTTGAAACAAACTATTTATAAATCAACAAAAGAGGGGGGGATACTATACAAAAAGAAGTCACATGACAGTAGGAATGAAGAACTTTAAGCAAACACATTCTCTCCCGCCGGGTCCCGTGCAGAGACTTGATACTGATTTGATTGTGATTGTGATTCGCGCTAAGCTTCCGACCAAATGAACCTAAACCCATTCTCCCGCAAATCCTACCGTATCCGGCGGAGCTCGTGGAAAAAGGTGAGAGCATGTATGTAAGAGTATACAAAACATACAATGTGCAGTCTTTAATCAAGTTCTAATTACACCCCAACTCAATGAAACCGACTGTTTGTATTAGTGTTCAAGGCTCTTTTCTTACTCTCTCTCCCCACAGACACACACACAAAGGTCAACATTGGAGTGGCGCCCGTTGGGTGGGCGCCAGGCGAGCATATGATGATTGTGTGCAGGGTTTTTGTTTGGTATGGTAGGGGGTCCCGATCACACGACTGATCAGGGGGCAAATCAAACACTTCCCGCTGGTAGCATGTGATCTGCTCGGACAAAACAACATTTTTCGGAATTTCAAATTGACTTTGAAGTTCTTCTTATCACTCTCCCTTTCGCCCCCGGAAGAAAGACACGAGTTTAGGGGGGTTTCCGCGTGCAAAAGCCTCCGACCAGCTGATTTTCCACTGATAACGTCCTGGTGACTGCACCCGTAAAAGTTTACGTGACATTCAAAATCAGAAAAGAGGATAAGTATGCGTCAGAAGCAGACAATCCGATGCCACGTCATCGCCTCTTTAATCCGGAGAGCGAGGGGAGAGCGAGGTTCCGATGGGGCGGAAACGCCGGAAATATGTACACTTTGCATACAGAGGAAATGGGATAAAAAATCGAGTGCTCTGAGATGCGGATGGACCGCCGGAAGTCTTTGTACGAAAGTATACGAACACGGCTACCGAATGCCACGTCATAACTTTATGTGACTTTTGAGAATATAATATCGATATGCAATATGCAAATCGGAATATGGTGATGACATGAGCTGTGAGTGTGTGAATAGCCCATTTCGCCGTCGATTCTTTCCTTCCTTTCTCCTCTTATTCACGAGAAAACGAACGATGACATTCTTCCAGTTGTTCGAACGTTTATTCGGATCCTCCAAGAGGCAACAAGTCACGATTACGGTAGGTTTATTTGCCACGTGGCTCCACGTCATCACCCATTTGAACTCTATGAGCTGCGAATGAGCAGAGCTCCCTCAAATCCGGCTGCACTTCTCCTTCCCTTTCCCTTCTTCGTCTTCGTCTCGCCTAGATCTCAAATCCGTGCCCATATCAGCCGTGAATTGGCATTGCTGGACCCTCTCGCATTCCGATAATATATCTGCCAGCAGAGGTTTTTTGGTTCGGTTCGTCTCGCATGGCGCCGCGCGCCTCCGAATGTTTCAATTGCAGTGGGATGCGCAGAGAAATCAGTCAACACTCGCTCACACGCACACCTGTATGCGTCTCTTAACATCCATGTTCCTGGCGTTTAGGCCACTCCCACTTTAAGCCACGCCCCTTCGGTTTGGGCGAGAGACCGTCGGCTCCCGAGAGAATCGAGTGAAAAAGAGAGGTGTGCCTTCGTCGTCGTGCACTTTCAGAGTCTCCCCGCGCCCGTCTCATTCCGACACACTCGAACCTGCAAAGAGTGGTGTGTGTCTCTTTCTGCTATTTCGCAAACCCCAAAAAACTTTCAACTGACTACTAACTATGGCCGACTCTTCGTCGTTCTTCTCGTCGGCCTTCTCGTCCGCCAAGAACCTCATCCCGTTCGCCAAGAGCGATAAGCCCGTGGATGCCGTTGCCGAGGCCGAAGCCAAGGAGGCCAAGGACTCTGCCATCCAGGAGGCTGTCCAGCAAGCGTCTGCTGCCATCAACGACGTCTTCACTGATGCCGTCGAGAAGTTGGACGAGGTGAAGGACGCCGTGGTTGAGAAGGTGGGTCATCTGACCAACGGAGACGTCAAGAAAGAGGAGGAGGAGGCGTCTGTCGAGGAGAAGATTGAAGCTGTCCATGTTGGAGTCGACGGAGATGCTGCCAAGGCCGAGAATAAAGCCGAGGAGCACGTCGAGGCTGTTCATGAGGAGGCTAAGGAGGAGGTCAAGGAGGCTCACGTCGTCGTGAAGGGAGTCTTGGCTGACGGAACTCCAGTTGTTGAGGGAGTTGCTGAGGTTGCTCCACACGCGGAGGAGCACAAAGAGGAGGTTGCTGCTGATGACCATGCTCCAGTTGCGGAAGCTGTTCATGTTGAGGAAGTTGAGGTTGCTCCGGTTAATGTCGAAGAGCATCATACTGAAGCTGCTCCAACCCATGCTGAGGACCACAAGGAGGAAGCTCCGGCTCATGCCGAAGAGCACAAGGAAGAAGAAGCTGCTGAGGAAGTCGCTGAAGTTGTTCACGTCGTCGCCGCCGAAGCTTCTCATGAGCACCACGAGGAAGCTGCTCCGGCTCATGCCGAGGAGCACAAGGATGAAGCTGCTCCGGCTCATGTCGAAGAACACAAAGGAGACGCTGCTGAGGAAGTTGCCGAAGTTGTTCACGTCGCCGCCACCGAAGCTTCTCATGAGCACCAAGACGAAGCTGCTCCAGCTGCCGAAGAGCCAAAGGAGGACCTCCCAGAAGGGGCCCACATCGTCTTCAAGGGAGTTCTTGCTGATGGCACTCACATCGTCGAAGCAGTCTCTGAGAATCCACCAGTTCATCACGAGGAGTCTGCTCCAGCGGTAGCCGTCGCTGAGGAGTCTGCTCCGGCCGTCGTCGTTTCTGAAGAGATCAGTGAAGCCGTCCATGTTGCTCCGTCTGAGGCTAAGCCAGCTCATGAAGAGGTTAATGCTCAGGAAGAGCACAAGGAGGAGGCCGCCGCTCCAGTTGAAGAGGATGTTCAAGCCGTTCACGTTGAAGCTGTTCATGCTGAGCCAGAGGCCGCTGCTGAGGTTGCCGCACATGCCGACATTGCTCATGAGGAGGCCAAAACTGAGGAGCACGAAGAAGAATCCCACGAGGCTGCTGCAATTCCATCAGAACATCATGAAGAAGCTCCGCATGCCGACATTGTCGAAGAAGTCATTGAAGCCGTGCACGTCGCTGCCAACGAGTCTGCTCCCGCACCAGCTGAGGAGCACAAACAAGAGGAAGCGCCATCTTCTGAAGAGCACAAGGAGGAGGCCGCTGCTCATGATGAGGAGACTGCTCACGTTGAAGCCGCTGAAGTTGTCGCACCTGCTGACATTGTTGAAGAAGTCATCGAAGCCGTCCACGTTGCGGCCAACGACTCTGCTCCAGTTCCAGCTGAGCCAGAGCACAAGGAAGAGGCTGCTCCAGTAGAGCTCCATGAAGAAGCTCCACATGTCGACATTGTCGAAGAAGTGATCGAAGCCGTCCACGAAGCAGTCAACGAGTCTGCACCGGCTCCAGCTGAGCATTCCGCAGAGGAACACAAGGAGGAAGCTTCTCCATCTGATGTCGTGGAAGAAGTAATTGAAGCAGTTCACGTAGCCGCGATCGAATCCGCTCCAGCCGTATCAGAGCCAGAGCACAAGGATGAAGCTGCTCCAGCTGAGCACCATGGCGAAATCTCACCTGCCGACATTGTTCAACAGATTATCGAGGCCGCACACGGCGAAGCCAACGAGTCTGCACCAGCTCCGGCTGAGCCATCCGCAGAGAACCACGACGAGGAGGCCGCTGCTGCTGCTGTTCAAGATGATGCTGCTCATGTTGAAGAGGCTGCTGAAGCCGTTGAGGTTGCCGCTCCAGTAGAGCACCAGGAGGAAGCTTCTCCAGCCGATGTTGTCGAGGAAGTCATCGAGGCCGTCCACGTGGCCGCGATTGAATCTGCACCAGCCCCAACAGAGCCAGAACACAAAGAAGAGTCTGCTCCAGAAGCCGCTGCTCCGTCTGATGTCGTTGAAGAAGTCATTGAAGCAGTCCACGTTGCCGCCGTTGAGTCCGCACCAGCCCCAACAGAGCCAGAGCATAAGGATGAAGCCGCACCTGCCGACATTGTCGAAGAAGTCATCGAAGCCGTCCATGTCGCAGTCAACGAGTCTGCTCCAGCTCCGGCTGAAGAGCAGAACGAAGAAGCAGCGCCATCTTCTGAAGAGCACAAGGATGAGACCGGTGCTCTATCCGAACCGGCTCAAGAATCTGCTCATGTTGAGGAAGCTGCTCACGTTGAAGCCGCTCCAGTAGAGCACCATGAAGAAGCTCCACATGCCGACATTGTCGAAGAAGTCATTGAAGCCGTCCACGTCACAGCCAACGAGTCTGTGCCAGATCCAGCTGAGGAGCACAAAGAAGAAGCTGCTCCATCTCAAGATCCGGTTGAAGAGGTCGCCGTTGCCTACCACGTCGAATCAGTTGCTGACGAGCCACAGGCCGCTCCAGAAGACGTCGCTGCCAGCCCGGAGCCATCTGCCTTTGAGCACGTGAGCGCCGAAGATGTGCAGCCAGACTCTGGACGTTCCGTCGAATCGTACCTACTCCAACAGGAAGCTTCGCCAGAATCGGGAGGCGAGGAGACATTCGAGAAGGTCGAACATTCACAAGTCGAGGCACCCACTTCCGAAGATCCATCTTCGGAGCCTGAAATTGTGGAAGACGTTATCGAAAAGCAAGTCGTCGCCGCAATTGCTTCAGCTCCAGTAAGTTTTCGTTTCCGTTTCTGTCTTTTCTAATGAGAGTCTAGTCTTGGCAAGCTCTTAACAAACCAATCATCATCTCATCTTTCGTAAACTGCCGCTTCGCATCTTCATTCTCTTCCATCAAAAAGCGAAGAGAATGTTCATTTTGTTCAAGTGAAGTGTCCAACCGAAAAAACACCTGACTTCTCTCTTCATTTCATTTTCACTTTCACTTTTCATCTTGACATAGTTATGTTTGTTGCGTGGGAGCAACAGCTGCGAGGTCACGAGGGCTCTCTGAGCAAGTGCCACGTAACATGCCACGTCATGACAATCGGGAACATCAAACATCGGAGTCCACAATTGCCCCCCTCTAAACCGAAAAATGAAATGGTCGACTGCTGGCTGGCTGGCTGGTGTGGTTTTAATCGCAAACTATAGGTAATTGGAGAGATGGCAAAAGGGAAGGGGGCAAAAGTGCGGCATTGCTTGAAACCGGTCCACATTTCACCCAATATATATAGAGTGCGGTGAGTAGTGACAACACCTCGGCCGCGTGTCAAGAAATGTTTTGTTTACCTTTTCAACTTATCACTCTTGGAACTAGGAAGCTTCATTCATCCTCTAGATTCATCTGGAACAAATATTTTTCCCCCGGAAATCCAATATCATCGCTTCCTTCTCTTGTTGTTGTTGTCGAGAAAAGTTGGGAGAGAGAGAGAAAGAGAAAGAGAAAGAGAAAGAGAGAGAGAGAGAGAGATGAGATGATGTCGCCACGCCCATAGCCGATATCATTGTGTGAAGGACAGTTTACAGCAGTTTATATTGTCGCCTTTTTTCGTAATGTGTTGGTATTCTTCGATTCGGTCGGCCAATTTGGCGCCAATTCACTTCTTCTAAACAGCGATGACAGGTCACAAGTGATACGGGTTACTGTAGTTGAGTTGACTAGAACTAGATCGATTTTTGATCTAAAAGATACACAGCCACAAGAAAACAAATGGTGACTCATCGGTATCCGATTCTATCCATCTCTCTCTCTCTTTTCTTCTCTCATGTTTTCTTCTTCCTCTTCCTCTTCTTCTTCTTCTTCTTCTTCTCAAAACGATTAAAAAAACACATTCTCTCTGCTCTCTCCGCCTCGTTTAAAACGCGGAAAATGGAGCTGTCGCATTCGTTCTCGTTTTCCATTTCCTTCCAATTTCCGGCGCTTCTCGTAAAAAAATCCTCGAAAATTGAGTGAGGAAGAAAAAAAGCTAATTGAAATGGGCGTAATTGCATTTTCGTGCTTCTTCTCTTTGCCATTCTTCGAAAATTGGAACTTTGAGAACTCCTATGGTCCTCGGGGGATCTACCGTAACCCTTCCAACCCTTCCTTTGCCAACCGACAACTTTTCAGGAGACTCAACCAGAGCAATCGCCCAAAAAGCCGAGAACTCTCGCCGAAATGTCGCACGAGTCCGCATTCGTAAGTTATCATCTCAATTCGTTACGAAACCTGATATTGTACATCCTTTTCTGTCGACACTTTCTCAATTTTAATTGGCTTCGCATCGTGCCCCTCCTCATAAAATCCGCCGTCGAAAAACTGAAGGCAACAAATTCTTGTTTGTTGGGGAGGGGGGGGACTGGCGGGGCGCCGTGAAATGAAACCTCTCAAGGTCACCAACCACAACAAAATGATATGTACACATACACACACACACGCGTACATACACGTACATACAAACAGATAATATCTACAAACAAGTGACTAGTGATCTCTTTTTCAGCCAGTTCCATACCGTAGCAAGCTTGTCGAGCCGTTCGAGCCCGGACAGACGCTCATTGTGAAGGGAAAGACTGGAGAGGATTCGATCCGGTAGGCCTTCAGAATGCCACGTCATCATAATCTGGACGAAAACACGTTTCAGCTTCACCGTCAACCTTCACAGCAACACTGCTGACTTCTCCGGAAACGATGTGCCGCTCCACATCTCGGTCCGTTTCGACGAGGGAAAACTCGTCTTCAACACGTTCGCCAAGGGAGAGTGGGGCAAGGAAGAGCGCAAGTCGAACCCGTACAAGAAGGGCGACGACATCGACATCCGCATCCGCGCCCACGACTCCAAGTTCCAAATCTTCGTCGACCAGAAGGAGGTGAAGGAGTACGAACACCGCGTGCCACTCTCCTCCATCACCCACTTCACCATCGACGGAGACGTCCTCGTCAACTACATTCACTGGGGAGGAAAGTACTATGTAAGCGGGCGCCACGGGTAGATTCGGGACAATCCGTGTCATTTCAGCCAGTCCCATACGAGAGCGGACTTGCCGGAGAGGGACTTGCTCCAGGCAAGACTCTCACCGTCTTCGGAATTCCGGAGAAGAAGGCCAAGCGCTTCCACATCAACCTACTCAAGAAGAACGGAGACATCGCTCTCCACTTGAACGCTCGTTTTGATGAGAAGGTACGGTAGAAGACGGGGAACGGGCGGCCAAATGATTCCCGATGTTTCAGCACGTCGTGCGCAACTCGCTCATCAACTCCGCTTGGGGAAATGAGGAGCGTGAGGGCAAGCTTCCGTTCGAGAAGGCCGTCGGATTCGATCTGGAGATCCACAACGAGCCGTACGCTTTCTCGGTTCGTCCCCACTATTGTCTCCCTTTAAATTCCATTCCTTTCAGATCAGCGTGAACGGCGAGCGCTTCGCCTCGTACGCGCACCGTCTGAGCCCGGACGAGATCAACGGACTCCAGATCGGAGGAGACGTCGAGATCAGCGGAATCCAGATCGCCTAAACGTTGCCCCGCACCCTTTTTTCCTTCTGCTCCAAGCCCCTCCCCCAACCGCTCTTTCTCTGCAGTAGCTGACCCCGCAAGATACATAAACCAAAAAAGAACTGTAAAAGTTATACCTAAAAGCTTTGCCGCTTCCCCAATTCAGAAACCGTCGCTGTACATTTTTGTCCTAATTAGTCGCGGCCGCTTTTTCGCTTCATCTACATACGTAAACGCAACAAAAAAAAGTTCAGCTTACTCTCATCTTCATTTGTATAATCATTTGATTGTAAATCGTAACAAACTGCAGAATAAAAAGGTCCGAAAAGCACAAAAATGTGCGTTTGAACAATACAAAAATTATTGATAACGTGGAAAGACAGGATTTGAAAAATAGTACAGGAAAGACACTGATCCTTGTAAATGAATAATAGAAAATTTATAAACACTGTGGAAGACTATCACTGAAACAAAATATTCCGATTATTCAGCAGAGATAATACTCACGTCTTCGTGGCACTTTACCAATTGCATCTTTCCCAGTTCCATTTTCTCGGAGCAATCCTCCAGATTCTTTCATCTGAATCTCTCTCGGAAACGGAAATTCGCGGAAAGTTCTGGGAATTATGGCAGATCGGGAAGTTCGTCCACCGTCATCTCGGCGGATTTCTGAAGGGTTCGACTTTATTATGACTTTTGGGTACCTTTTGCTCACCTCAATGCTCAGATTCAGGACTGTTCTGGTTCGGCGTACCCTCTCAACATCGACACTTGTTCCGCTTTGTTCTTTCTGGAAAATGCGGTGTTGCGTCGTTCTAGACGTATGATAATTTGTAGAATAATGCTAAGTGATCTACCTGTGATCTACCCGCTAGGTTATGTGTAATTCTCGCTTATTTGTCATCATTCTCCTTCGCCCTCCTTCGGTGGACGAACACCCATTCAGTTGTTACTCCAAGAGAAGGGTGCGCAAACGTGCCCCACCGCACAAAATCGAATCTCAGGGATTTGAAGTGAGGAAACAGCGGCGCGGCGGAAGAGGCGTTTTGAGGAAACTGCGGCGGAACGCTGTTTCGCCAAACTCAAATCGTGGCGAGACCACTGCGGCGGCAGCTTTGGCGAAACGGTGGCGGAACGCCGTTGCAACGGAAAACGACGGGGAGATCGCGAGCACAACGGTCAATTGAAATAGAACAATGGTGTATTAATTACTGCTTACAGAAGAACTGCTAAGTTCTCTCGGATGCTCCCTGAACTCAAAACGTCACGTTTCAGAAAGTACAATAAATGGAATGGACAGAACCGCAGATGACGTGTTCCATATCGCTGCCGGATTCGTCGCTCCACAACCTATCCCTTCCGTCCAACCCGCTCGCTGGTTCTTCTCTTCCGCCTACTCTTCCCGCTCCGTCCTCGACCAAGTTCTGCTCCACCCTTCCTGCCTCTCTCTCCATCGCCAAGGAAGCGGCCTCGCTGCTCGACAAGTCCACGCGGGCTGTCATTGAGCGCTTGCCTGATGACCCCAAGAACCCCTCACAGGACTCTGTCGATATGGCAGCCGTCTCCAGCTGGTGCGCAAAGTTCGATGCACCACAACCCTCATCCGTCTTCCGCCACTCTTGCTCCGCGATGGACGAGTGTACACGATGAAAACATTCGTCAGAATTGGAACGGCTAACTCGGTATGATTTCTACTCAGAAATGACGCGGCCGCGAATTCACGCATATCTCTTTTGCCCGCAAATATTTGAAGAACAGTGTAGTGTTATGAAACGAACATCAGCCGACATAGTAAATTGTGAATTCCAGATGGAAGAGAACACTACCGAAGAACCACGTGCAAGTCCTCAAGCAGCTCCAAGTGCTCAGTGACATGAAAACCGTCACCTTTGTCTCCCCCCTCATTGCTTTATTCTTCCCCGATTTCGGCCCTTCTCCATTCTCTCACCGCATTTCTCCATTTCGTCTTTCTTTTCTTCCCCATTTCAGGCATTCTCCTACTCCCCGCACTGCTCACTTCCTTAGCTCTGTTCTTCCCCGATTCCTTCATCCCTTTCAATTACTTTCCTCTCCCTCGTCTTTTCTGCCAGTTTCTGTCCTCATTCTTCTATCTTGCCTTTCTAAGAGTTCCCTCATATAGTGTTCAGTTGTTCTTTGTTTTGTTTCAATAAAAAATAACCTATAATTTCTCATCAGTTTCCATAGTTACAACAAATTAAGCGGAAAAAGCAAGAAGACGCATGCGACACAGCAAGCGCGCTCCATCGCACTCCGGCGAAACAGCGGCGGAACTGTGGCGAAACGCGGTTGTATTTTAAGTGTGGTCCACCCGATATCCGCCGCTGTTTCCTCACTTCAAATCCCTGAGATGTTTACACAGAGAATTCGTATTTTCAGTTGAATGTAGAATTACTGTTTGCAGAAGAAATGCCGTCAAGCCGTTCGTCCTCTCTGGAAACTCCGCCGAGACCAAATTCAGGCGAAGAAAAAGAGGGAAGCGAGGAGGTTCGATTAACCGTGTTCCGAATAAGTAAAACGCATTTATTTCAGTCTGGCACTCCGGAAACGAACACTGAGAAGTCCGGAAGCAGTGCGACCACGTCGAAAGAGTATCGTGAGCCAGGGGGAACGGTAATTTTTGAATTTTGTTCCACATCATTTCTTAATGCTGTTTTCAGCCTGAAACTCGCACTCAAAATAACGAAGCCGATGAGCAGCCAGCGACGCCATCAGAAGACAGATTCCGAGAAGCGTCTCCGGATGAAAGACCAGAAGAAAAGCGGTGAGAATTTTCACATTTAATCGCTTCCGTTCAATGATTATTTTCAGCTCAGCCTCGCCATTCCGAGAGCCAGAAAAATCTCCAGTCCGAGAAAAATCGTCGAGTTCGGCTCCTCCAAAAGTTGCCGCAGAGCAGAAGAAAGAGAAGAATGATCCAAAGGATATCTTGAGAACGAGAACGGGAGGAGCGTATATTCCCCCGGCCAAGCTGCGGCTCATGCAGCTGGCAATCACTGACAAGTCAAGTGAAGAGTATCAGCGATTGAACTGGGAACGAATGAAGAAAAAAATTCACGGATTGGTGAACAGAGTCAACGTCAAAAATATTGTTCAAATCGTCAGAGAACTTCTGCAGGAGAACGTAATCAGATCGAAGTAAGCTGCCGTATTCGTTTTAGTTTATCGAAAATTCATTTCCAGGGGAGTTCTGTGCCGTGACATTATCCAGGCTCAAGAATTTTCGCCAGGATTCTCGAACGTCTAAGCTGGCTTGGTCGCCGTCATCAACTCGAAATTCCCGCACGTCGGAGAGCTTCTCCTCCGTCGTTTGATCGTTAAGTTTGAAATAAGTTACCATAGAAACGACAAAGGTGTGACCGTGAACGTCGTCAAATTCATTGCCCATCTAATCAATCAACAAGTGGCTCACAAAAGTCTTGAAATCATGATTCTGATGCTCGAAAAACCGACCGATGACTCAGTCGAAGTGGCGATCGCATTTCTGAAAGAATGCGGAGCCAAGCTTCAAGAGATTGCTCCGGCTGCTCTCAACAGTGTATTCGACCGTCTCCGTGCCATTTTGATGGAAACCGAACGGTCAGCAAACGCATTGGATCGCCGTATTCAGCTTATGATTGAAACTGCGATGCAAATTCTAAAGGATAAGTTCGCGGTAAGTGTTCATTCAAATAGTTTATCAACATTAGATTCCTAATCAGTAACATCTCGCAAGCTTCTTTTTAAATAACTCAAGAATTTGGATAACTTTTGATGTTCCCTCTCCGATAACTGAAACTCTACGATTTCCTCCGGCTTCTGCGTCGTTCCATCGAGCTCTTTTGTTGTCCGTCTTCGTTCCGGCGACAGAAGTACAGTGAGCTCTTCAATCGATTCAGTCACTGCACACACGAATCGGCGAATCTTCTTGTAATTCGTGTCCGTAGCAATCAGTGAGACCTGTAAGATCAACTCACTTTTTCAATTTTTCAATCTTCTACTTTTCGGTTCGATGACGATGAAGCAGCCAGTTCTAGTAATTTATTTTCAAAAAATCCTTTCGTTACTGTAGGATGACGGCGTCCATGTGATACAGCCGATGAAACAATTAAGAGAAAATAAATTGCAAAATAAATTGCAAATAAATTGCAGGCGTATCCGGCGGTCATCGACGATTTGGATCTGATTGAGGAAGAGGATCAAATCATCCACACGCTCAATTTGGAGGACGATGTCGATCCAGAGAATGGCCTCAGTGAGGAAGAGAATGGAAAAAACGGTATAAAGAGTATATTTTTCAGATGTATTCAAATTGGATCTAGAATTCGAGAAGAATGAGACTGTCTACGATGAAATTCGCAAAGAAATCATCGGAGATGCTGACATTTCGAGCGGCGAAGAGGAGGAATCTGGAGAAGAGAAAGAAAGCAGCGATACGGAGGAAGCTCCCAAAAGAACTATTGAAATAATCGACAGTACTGATCAGAATCTGACTGCTTTCAGAAGGTAACAAATGCTCATCTAACCCAGAAATGAATCGGTAATTACAGAGAAGTCTACTTGACTCTTCAATCTTCGTTGGATTATCAAGAAGCCGCTCACAAGCTGCTAAAATTGAAGATTCCGGAGAACCTCGAGGTTTGTGACGCCCTAGAGACACCAGCTCACTCTTCCTAATTTCAGAATGAACTGTGCTCAATGCTCGTCGATTGCTGCGCTCAGCAGCGTACTTATGAGCGTTTCTGCGGAATGCTCATCGAACGTTTCTGTCGCCTTCGTCTGGAATATCAGCAAATGCTCGAGCAACTCTGCCGCGACACCTACTCCACAGTTCATCGCATTGACATCACCAAACTGAGAAACTTGGCGCGTCTCACAGCCCACCTTCTCTCCGCTAGGGTTGGCAATGGGGCGAGAAGAGGCGCCCCCTCGCCCCGCGGGTGAGGCGAGGGGGCGCCTCCTCGCCCCGGGGGTGAGGCGAGGGGGCGCCCCCTCGCCCCGCTATTAAATGTGTGTCTGATTTCTTTTCGAACGTATTGTGAAAAGAGCAGCAACGTAATAACTGTAGTAACTGAAAGTGGGAAAGTTGTGACGTTTGTGCGTGTACACCCAATTTTTTTTTCCAAAATTTTCGGTACATCCCGAGTTACACCCCTTCAAAGTTGGCCTGTTTTTTCCCCGGTCGGCGGCAGAGGAGGGGGCGGAGTCTCGCCTGCAAGTCCGCCCGGCGGACTCCGCCGCACGCGTTTTTCGCCTCTGTTTGGTGGCTGAAACCAAAGAGGCAACATATATATTGAAGAAAAATTATGTTCTAAAAAAGCAAATCATCTTTCAAGGTCAAAAGTTTCGAACCCGACACCTCCAGACTGCCGAGTGAGCACTCTGCCACTGCGCTAATCGGGCGAAGGCGCGCCGACCGCCAATGGCGTCGAAAAGTTCGGTGTGCGCGGCCCCCCTTCTAATGGTGAAATTAGTGCTTTTGCGGGCTGAAATCCAAAACATGGATTTCATGTTTCATGTTCATGTTGGAAAACATGGAAAACATGGATAGCGTGGATTGGTCGGAAATTTTATGCTGAATCCGATGGTGTAAAAATTGGCCGCGTGTACGGTACTTCTGACCCTCAAATCCCCCGAAAACTAAAATTTTGACCAAACAAGCGGAAATCGGGAGAAAATTCGTCAGGCCACGCCCCCTCCTTTGCGCCCCCTAACTATAGGAATAAAAAAACATAACAAAAATTATATGTACTGTGTTTTTTTCCTTGTATAGAACAGACGTATTTATTTATCAAATGTTGGAAATCCCAGAATACTGCTGAAAAATACCCGTTTTTTGAAAAATTTAGCTTTATCCACGGCGTGGGGGCGCCCCACAAATGGGGCGAGGGGGCGCCCCCGCGCCTCACCCGCGGGGCGAAGGGGCGCCCCCTCGCCCCATTTGTGGGGCGCCCCGCCGAAGCGGGGCGCCTCGTTGCCAACCCTACTCTCCACTGACGCAATTGACTGGAACATTCTCTCCGACGTTAAGATGACTGAGGAAGACACGACGTCTGCTGGCAGAATCTACATAAAATACATTTTTGTGGAACTCGTCGAAGCGATGGGAATGATCAAGCTGCACAATCGAGTGACCGACCCGTAAGAGATCCCTTCCGTCGCCTTCCAGTTTTCTGTTTTTCTTTTCAGAACCTTGGCACATTGCTTCGCTGGACTTTTCCCACGTGCCAATCCACAAAGTGCGAGGTTCTCCATCAATTTCTTTGCAATGATCGGACTTGGAGGACTGACGTAATTCATTCAGAATGCTTAACCATACATAACATTGCAACCATTATAGACTGGAACTTCGCGAGTGGCTCGGGAAGCGGCTCAAAACGAAGAAAGAAGTGATTGATGAGATGAAGCAAAACGACGCTTCATCGTCGTCGTCTGATTCTTCCTCCGCCTGTTCTGACTCTTCGGATTCTGATGACAAATCACCCGATTCGTCATCCTCCTCTCACTCGGACTCTTCTGTCGAACCCAAGAAAAAGAAGAAGAAGCTGGATGTTGACGCGAAGAAATCCCTAAAAAGAAAGGAGAATGACGGAAAGAGCCGAGGAGGCGAGAAGGAAATGAGACGCAGAGAGGAGAAGCCTCTGCCGCGACGATCTGACGATCGAAGATGACCGTCGCTAGAAGAATACTCCGACCCATTTAAATCTCACCCCTTTGTAAATGTCGCCCAATTCTGTTTTACTCACGGATTACCCATTCCTTCAACTGTATACTAAAAAAGACGTTCCGACAATTATTGTTTGAAGAATATTTGAATTTGTGTGATTTCAAGATACCTGTTTGCTCGCCAGAAAATCGATGATCGACCTCAAGAATCGGTCAAATGCTGTCTGTTGTTGTTTGCGATGCGGGGCTCAGCCGTTTTCTTTTTGCCACAAGAAATCAGAGTATGGGAACCGATGAGAGAGTGTGCTGACCAGAGAGAAATGAACAACGAGAGAGAGAGAGAGAGAGGGGGACAGAATTTACGGTCGTTCGATCTCATTCGTCTGCTCGGCAGTACGCCCACAATAGTGCCACATCGTCATTCCAATGTCCCTTCTTTCTCCTTGTCCTTCCTTGACTTCAGATTACTGAGTCTTCCACTCCGTTCCAATAACAGTAACGATTGGCAATCCAACTTTTCGAAACTATCAAGTTTCGAAACCAGTACCAAAAGTGTCTGAGGCCAAATACAACTGTACTACAGTTACTGTAGCGAAACAGGAGAGTTGCTAAAACAAATAAAGCCAAATCTTGTCTCTAGTCGGAGATATTTCCGAACGATTCTGAGACATCCTTGACGCTCCTCTCAGAGCGTGCTGTTTCAATCCGAATGTTGTTGACGCAATCGAATTAGGTAAATTTGGAAATCTATAATTCTGTTCAACACCGTTGTTTCTTTCATTCCATTGACCCATGTACCTTGTTATCTTATCAAGCTCTTTGTGGTCCCAACAACTTTGATTCGCACGGTCTCCAGGGCTGACAATGGGCGCAAGTGCGCCCCGCCCAATAGAGCAATACATTGGCGCGAAATTCAAATTTTAACAGCAAAATTTGTGTTTTTTTGCCAGATTAGCCACGAAAAACCGATATATTCTCATTTGTCTCTCGATAGACCGATTGTATAGGCTATTACGAATTTTTTAAGCGCTAGAGCGTTAAATTTGGTCAAGTCGCAAATCACATTTATCCGTTTGAAGGTTCTTGGCTAAAAATGGGTGAATTTCAGTTGCTTTTCGGTAGTTTTCGCGGTTCCAGCGCTCAAAATGATTGTCTTTACGTGATTTATCATTCTCAATACCAATTCTGTCTGAAAACGGTCAAGAAAGCGCAAAATGAGAAGTGCGGTTTTTAGGCGGCGATCGGCGGCGGGGGCGAAAAAAGCGCCAAAACGTCATTAATTCTGAGAATTAGTGTGTTTTCATGTCGAACAATCATTTTTCATCGCCGTTGACCACAAAAATCAGAGAAAACCTGCTCAATTCATGAAAACGCCATTTGGCCGAGGCCACGCCCATATTGTCAGCTCTGGAGACCGTGATATTCCTTTTTCTCTTATCTGTTAACGGGCCTCATACCTTTGTATCACAGAGAACCTACACTCCATTGAACCGCGTACCAACCTAACACGTGTTACCGTTTACACTTTCATTTTTGTGATTCAGACTCGAAATGAACGGAATCCCAGGAGGACCCCGTCTCTTCGATGCGAACTCTCTTTTCTCGTCGAACCTCTCGCTGTACAAAGTCGCTCGCGAGTACATTCCTCAGGAGGTGAGCCCATGGTCCGACTGCTTTTACTTCGAACTCTTCTCATTCAGATTACCCTGGGAGTCCATGCTAACGAAACGAAAGCGGAACAAATGATCTATCCGGCTGACAAGGGAGAAGCGTTTGTCCAGCGTTTGCTGAAAAGTTCGGATACACGGCTCAGTTAGTTTTGAATTCAAAGTTCTTAAATAACAGAGCGAATGAAACATGTTCAGGACAATACGGAAGTGCGAAGGAACTGAGGGACAACTTGATCAGTTACTCGAACTTTGTCGACGCCAGAGACCGGTTTGGAATGACTTACGGAGCGCCGTACTATGTGAGTTTTCAATGGCAAGAACCGAAAAACAACAAGTGAACGCTTTGTAGTTGCCTCCGATCGTCTACAAAAGTGTGAAGAATGAGGAGTACATTTGCAAGGCGGATGCGTTCACGTATCTTCAGAAATGGATCTTTGCGAATCACAAGCAAATGGTAGGTACTCAGAAATGTGGATAATGTTCACAGGCACCTTTTTTCAGGAGCATTTGCACATCCGTTACACTTTCATGCTCTACATGCGTCTGATGGAAGAGGAAATCGGTGCTTACGCCGAGTTCGTTCCCAGGAACTGCCGGCAACTCAAGCAACTGGGACCAGACTTTGAGAACGTGGTCTCGGACATGCAGAAGGTAAACTAAACTGCAGAACACCTAAACACCAACGCATTCAGGAGAGCCCGCCAATGTGTAAGCACACATTGAACGACTACAAAAATCTGACATTCGCGAAACTGCTGAAACACTGGAAGACGCTGATCCCGTTCGAATGGGACGACGACGAATTCATTACTGTCGAGGCGCTGCTCTCTTTTTACTATGAGAATTTGCCACGTGCGGACGCGATGGAACAGACGTTCATCAGCTATTGGTATCTGGTCAAACTGTTCCTTTCCATCGAACGTTTCATCGAATCACGACGTGAAGTCTTCCACCCTTTCACCAAAGAGGTTTCACCCTTAACCTGTAAGAGGTTCTTTACAAAGCTTTACAGAACACTCGAAAAATGAAACTGACAATGCGTGTGTTCGAAGACAACGGATATCACTTTGCGATGGTCGAAGAGATGCTCAAAATGACGAGTCTGTCGACAGGAAGAGAGCCTTACACGGGCGGCGCAGAACTTTTGCACACCAGAGACGTGGAGCCGCATTCTCCGTGCAAGCTCTCCAAACGCGGAGTAGAGGTGAGCTAGATTATGGAATCTACAATGCTAGAATACATTTTGCAGATGCTGATCGTTCCGATCAAACGGACGAAGCATGGCGCCGTTCCGATTGTGACTCCAAGTGGCGATCACTGCATTCTGATGGCCGACGCATTCCTTCAATGCTTGCACGATGTCATCATTACTTGGAAAATCTTCCAGAAAATGAAACCGACTGAGTGGCCCGTTGTGAAGAAGGCACTCCAAAGGATGGAGCTTTATGATGGACCAGAAACTGTCAGTTGACTAGACACTCCTTCGTTTCATATTATTGTTTACTTTCAGGCCAGAACTGTTTTCATGTCACTGGATCATGTGAAGCTTATGAGAGAAGCGGCCCTCGAGGGCTTTGCCGATCTGAAGGACCGCCCTGCAAAGTACATAAGAAACGCGAAGAAGGATGGATTCACAGTGCAGAACCTGAAGAACGAACTGAAACATCTGGGACTCGTGGAGATCTTCCCCGAGATCGCCGACCACGCGGAAATCGCCTACGAGAAAGTTCTCAAAGCGAAGAAAGAGGAGCATCTTCGCACTTGCGATCTCTTCGACGCAGTCGAGCATTGTCAGCTCCTGTCCTTCTTCAAACGGTTCCAAGAGGTTCGTACTATTGCCATGTTCGAAATAATGAGATCCAGATTACAGTATACTATGCTCCTTCACGCTCAGAAATCGTGCAAACGAGTGGAGGGCCCTCAATGTCTGTCGTGCAAGATCGACTCCAAAATCGGACAAGTACACTTCGAAAGTATGGGACTTGGTGTATCTATTATGAGACTCTGAAATTAGTACTCGATACTCTGTTGCAACGCTTATCTTCTAAATTCATTGTGAATATTTTAAACAATAAAGACAACATGCCTTTTTGAAACAGACTGTGCGGGCTCGACAACGCGTGTTTCTTTCTTTTAAGTTATAACCGTTCGGAAATTCACGTGTTCATTTCTCAATTTCTCCGTCACATCTTTCCTTTTAGAAATGTAAGTGGGGACGGAACAAGAGTTAAATAAACAAACAAACAGAGGGATAAACCCTTGAAGAGCTATGTTAATAACAAGACAGAGGCCCGCTGCGGGGGCTTTGCCGCTTGTTTCATTCTTAAAATGGTGCGAAGGTTCACGTGTCCGTTTCCTAAATTCTCCGTCACAACTTTTTCCGTTTTAGAAATGAGAAAATGACCGGGCAAACGGAGAAAGAAGGAAAGAGACAGCTCCCGCTAGCTTTTTATTAAATAAGAATAATGATACTTTTCAGAATTACGAAAATGACTGAATCAGTTGGAAGTCAGTTATTGCAGAACGAAATCCGTGATGGGTCCACGACAGGTCGGACAGTTGTTACTATTCTGAGACCAATTTTCCGCGCACTGAAAAGGCTCTTCATTGCTTGAAACTCTACGTCTTTCCTCTCACTTTTTCGCAGAATCCATTACGGCAGTTGCCGCACTTGACCAACTGCGTGGTCGTCGGGTCCATTTTCGACAAGCAAATCGGGCACTCCTCCAAACTGGCAACTCGCAAAGCTCTCTCGTAGAGAGCTGTGAAACTCGAGGAGAAAGTGGGGAACTCGGGCAGGTCGAGCAGATCCGTTTCGGCGATTTCAACAGAGCTCTTCAAAAAAGTGTACACGCTTTTTATTGGTTGCGTTTGTCGCCAACCTCAATCTTTTTTATATTTTCCATCAATACTTTCATGTAGTTCTGATGACTTTGCTGAAACTCGGCCAATTCGTTGCCGGCGAATCGCCTCGACGTCTCGTCTTCTGTCAGCGATCGCAAACTGAACAGAGGGCTGGGAGTTATGCAAGCATTATTTCAATTACTTACTTTTCCACTTTTTTTATGGCTTCTGCGACGGGATTCGCCTCCAACTCAAAATGCAAGTTATCCTTGATGCCAGCGAGCACGTTCTTCATTTCTGAAGAATGTTCCGAACGTGCAGAAGTCGAAGGAGCAGAAGAAGGTTGATTGGCTGTCAGCGATCTGATAGTGTCCTCCATTTTCGCACATTTTATCGAGAATTGCACGACTTCCTCCTCGAGCCTGAAAGAACGCATGTTGGTTCGAAACTTTTCAATTATATTATACGCACGTCTCAACTTTTCTCTTTTTGATTTTCATCTCGTTCATTTTTCTAGACTGTTGTTCGAGCATTCTGAAAATTCCACTCTATTAACGCACTTTAACCTGAAGCTCACTCTTCGAGCTCTCTTATCCGTTTATCCTTCATTTCCAGCTCCTTCTGTGTCTTATGCGCATTTTCCAATTGTTTCCGAGTGTTATTTAACTCCTTCTCCAGATCCTTCACTTCTTTCGTCGACTTTTTCAATTTCTGTTTCACTTGCATGCATATATCGCTGGTTCGAACGCATTTCTCGCAAACTTTCGATTCGGGTTGCTGTGGCGCCGTTGACTGGCTAACTGACGGCTTCTTGGCTTGCTGTTTGCTCTTATTGAGCGTATTCGGATTGCTTCTTATTCCATCCTGTTCTCCTTCTGAGCTCTGGAGTTGAGAAGAACTAGTAGAACCATTCGTGGAACTCGAAACTTGATTGTCATGCTCTTCTTTCGACTCCTCCTTCACCGGAGTTGAGCAATTGAGCAATTTGCTAATTTTGCTCTTCGCCTCTTTGATTTTTTTTCCAATCAACCGCTCGTTTTCCTCCTCTTTCATATTGACAACCATGTATTCCTGCTGTGCACAGTTCATGCCGTTCCAGATTCCCTTCGCCAACGTATCGATCGCCTCATCGGACACATTCTTGCTCTTCAAATACTCTCGCTCGGGCTCGGAAATCTTGGCGAGACACTTGCGGACGTCGTCGTAGCTCGGCGCGAAGACAGCCCGCCTCTCGGTGCACTCCTGCCTCGTAATTTCCGCCGTAACTTTTCTATGAAACTCCAAACTCGTTTGATTCCATCGTTCCACTATTTCTTGCACTTCTTCGTCCGAAAGATCGCCCATCTCCTTCCGTCGTCGGCCTTTCTCCGACGTTTTCCCCTTCTTCGGCTGATTCTCTGCTCTCGAAGCCGTCACTTCGTCGTAAAGATTCTGCATCACTTCCGCAACTGGTATGATGATCTTGATCGTGCTCTTCTGAACGTTATCATCGACAGCCATCATCAGAAACGGACTCGGATCCACGTCCATCATCCCGACCATCCTTTGTTTGTCCGTTTCGTTCACAGCCCGCCAGTCGGCACAGTTTTCGTTTTCTGAACATTTACGTGCATACAAATGCTTTTACAATTGGATTTTTACCCAAATGAATGTTGCCTTTCAAGCTGTAAACTCCAGTTGTTTTTGAAGTGGCCGTGAATTTCATGGAAAAAACCTGAATTGGCACTCTGAAGCCGTTCTATTTTCAGAGCTGATCACTCACAATTATTTTGGTTCCATTGTGCTTCACAGCCGGAATCGCGCGACAGAATTCTTCGAGCACAAAGTTCTTTTCTCCCTCCGGAACTTTGACGAAAGTCAGTAGGAAGTACGCCACACTAACGATTCTGAGCACTTCGTTCGGATACGTTCCATTCTGGAATCCCGTGGCTTCCAAATTGAGTGCAAAACGGAGGCGAATCATTTTGAGACAACTGAACTCTTCGATGAAGTCGGCCATTTTCCAGCTCTTGTTCGGCAGGTGTAGTAATCCGATCATTGTCATCGGAATTTCGGTAGTGGCTGGTAGACGGATCTGTTCGATGTCCACGAACGAATTCTGAATTTTTTGCTTTCTTCACGTACTCAAGTTTCCTCCTTACTTTTCGAAGCGCTTGGAATATTGTAAAAGCGGCGTCCGTATTGTGAATCGTGAATGAGCTGTCGTCCGAAAGTTTCACGACGTTGTCAGAATGAATTAATGATTTGAAATAGACGGACATGAAGTGATTCACTGCCAACGATTTTGTCATTTTCGGACTCACAACGAATGGCATTTTGTTGTTTTTGATAGTATGAACGGCAATCCAATTGATATCCGGAACAAGCTGAAACGAGTCTGGTTATGAGAGCACTTCAAAGACCGAAACTCACAGTCAATTCTCTTTTATTAATGTCCAACGCCTCAAGGCATTCCTCCAATTCGTCCAAACTGATCGTATAGTACCCGGCTTCAGCTGCCCATTTCCTGCGGTATTCTTCAATCTTTTCTACAATAAACTTTGGTGAGATTAATCGATTTGTAAGGGAACTGACTCAAAGGTCGGCGGATGTACTTCTGTTGTCTTTTGAGCAGAATCGGAAGCATTTCAAGAGCTTCTTCAGCAAAAACACGCAGACATTCAGGCTCCGATTCGAAGAAAACGGTTCGAAGATACAACTGTGATTTATAGAGCCAATTCTGAATTTGGTTGTTCAGTTAGTCAGTTGCTTAATCATTTAATCAATTACCGAAAAGTTTGTGAGATTTTCAAGAAAGGTGAGGTCCAACGGTTCGCTCATGCACCTGCCAGAGTAATCCACGTCAATCATCCATTGCTCCACGTAATGCACAACCAAATGTTTTTCCGTTTCGTTGAGAAGAAAAGTACCATCGAATGACACTCTCGTCACTTTCCTTTCGCTTCCCTTCGTAAAAAGTCCTTCGTCGTTCGGATCATCCATGCAGTACATTGCCAGCGCCAGTTTGTGCACCGAAGTGTTCTTGTAAATTCTCGTGCAGTTCGAAAGTCTGAGACATTCGGCGTCCTACAATACGCCTTGCTTCATTTCACAGCTGATCATCTCGATACATACCAAGCACTCCTCATCTTTTTCCATCTTCGCCGACTGAAAATGAATCCATTTTGAGTTCTTATGGCTATCGGACGATATTGCAAGGCAATGGATGCATCGAAGACCGAGCACTCGATCGCACGCAAACTGGATGTGCAGGAACTTTGCGAGCTGAAATAATAGTTGAGTACAAACTTGTCATTGGTCGGATACGTACCTCTGGGAATCTTTCGAGAAAAGAAGGAAGCAGGCAGTGCTCTATGGCGTCGTACAGATCGCAAGTTCTGAGAACGGTGCTCTTCTTCACCCTGCTTACTTCCGCGTGCGCCATATCCGCATAATCGGCAATTCGCGGGAAATGTTCCGTTAATTTCAGCAGTTCGAGCTCTTCTTTCAGAAACTCGACAGTGAATCCATCCAATTTCGCATTGCGCACGTACTTTGCCTGCTTGTGCTCATACTTTGATTTTAATGGAGCAAATAAATTGATTTCGATAGACTTCAGCGTTTCAGTTGGCAAGAAGTAGATTTCCGGCTGAAACCAGAAAGGACACTTCTCAAAAGTCACCGGCAATCTCACCTCGTTCGGCATAAAATACTTCTTGACAAGCTCATCAAAGCACGTTTGAATTTCATGCCAGTCTGTTTTTTCGACTTTCTGGAAGAGCCTGAACCCGAAAAACGTGTCCCGGAACAGCTCGAAAAACAAGTCGGCGGATGGCTTGCAAAAGTATCCGTAAACGGACTTGATCGGGGCGACTGCTTGTCTCGTGCGCTTCATCGGAACTCGGATGCACTGGAAATAAGCGGAGATGTTCACTGCCGACGGTCCGTTTTACCTCAATACTGCGAGCTCCTTCGTATTTTTTGAGCAGATCGTTAAAGTCTATCGCCTTCAGAATTTTCTCCTCTAAACTTTTTGTCTGGCCCACAACTCCGTTGAGTTCGTTCAAAGCGTCTTCGACCTCGTCGCACATAACCAACGTTCGGAATTCGTCTTCGAATACTCGCAGTGTCACTTTCTGCTTCATTCTTATCTAAAAATTACGCATTTCGAGTTTTTCGTGTGGGGAAAAGTGAAAATCTCACAGAGTCGAATTGTTTGCGAAGGTTGTTAGGGTGGTGAATGATAGAAATGCTGGTAACTACAGCCTCAAGAAAATTGAACAATTTCCTGTATTCTTCGCCTTTGTTGCTCGACGTATTCGCTGCGAAGTGTGCCACAAACGATAAGTACGCTGTCTCCAAATCTACGAGAACATAAAACGAGATAGAACTGCTTCTCATGAAATTATGGAACATCTGCGTGGGAGTGCAATCGAAACAGACATTTGAAGTTTTTTCCTTCACTTTCTGAAAACGAGCACTGTCAAAACATCCTAACATCCGTATTTTACCTCAATCATCATCGGCATCATCGCGAGAAAGCTTCTCTTAATTGTTTTCAAAAGACGGAAGTTAAGTGGCAGAAACTCTCGAGCGCAATTTAATTGTCTCTCCCAGAGTTTGCAATATGCTCTTAAAATCATGGACATGAACTCAACACTCTGAAAAAAAAATAACTAAATAAGTTTCAACACATTCCTCAATCACCATCTCTTTTTCGTAATGCTGACGCGTCACGGTTTGCAGAATTTCAGACAAGCCTGCCCTGTTGAAGTATTCGTCAAGCGAGTGACTTCGAAATGGTTGCAATAATGACTTAAAAATTATACATTGATGTAAATCGCGGTTTTTTTCGAAACTTACAGCGGCCGGAAGACAAACATCGAAACCGAAGTGCTCCAGGCGCCCAACGAATTCTGAATAGGTCGTCAGATCGGCGGCCAACTCTTCCGCACTTCCGTACATTCCTGAACAGTTCATCCTCAGTTTTCAGTTTATCGATTTTAACTAACTCAATTGAAGCTTTGAGTTATCCAGCACTTTTTGAATGAAAGCCTCCGGGTTATTTGCATCGAACGAACGACCGTCGGCAATGTACTGGTGCAACTGCAAAACAAAACAATTTTATGCGTTTATGGGCGGAGAAGTTTTCGAAGAATCTTCGGAAATATAAACAAGTTTTCTGAAGATCTCGCAACAAATTACGTTAGCATTAAAGAATTTTCTACGTATACATATTAATGAAATGAACTCAAAGAATTCAATGTTTTATTTCAAAATAAACATTTCAAAAACGTCTTCCCAATTGGTTAACTAACCGCTAGTGGAATGTAATCCCGAAGAACCTTGGCCAACTGAAAATTGGAGAGCACAATCTCAATGGGTTCCAGAAAATTCACGTTCATGATTTGAATCGGAACTATCTAACAACCTGCAAAATCAAAACTTACAGTTTGAACAGAGCGTTGTGAGCGATTATGAAGAAGAAAACGACAGTAAAGAAAAGGGTTTAACATAAATTACGTTACAAAGTTATGTTTTTCTATGCTAAAATTAGGGGGTACAGTGCAAACTCCGAACATGCCATGGCCGCGGCCGAGTTTCTCTGGAAACTCGATTGCAATCTAATTAGAAGAGTTTGCAATCTAATAAGAAAAAGCTCTATTTCGCAATCTAATCAGATTTAATTGAAGTTCCAGTAAAATCGTATTAGATTACAATAAGTTTTTCCTTAATTGCAATCTAATAAGAAAAAATTGCAATCTAATTAGAAAACATTGCAATCTAATTAGAAAACATTGCAGTGATTGCAATCTAATTAGAAGATTTTGCAATCTAATTGAAGCAAATTCTATTTCAAACGAGTTCGTATTAGATTGCAAAGTTTTCGAATTAGATTGCGATCGAGTTCCCAGAGTTTCACGTGCTTTACCGCGTCGGAAAATTTAAATTTTACAGAGGAACGCGTACTAAATACAGGCGGTGAGCTCAAATCATGTTGTATCTTCATGCGACAACCATAAGCAAGAAAAACGCCCCGTTGAGACGTCGGTGGAATTGAGGAGGCAGCGTGCTCTCTAAGCTCCTTTTCTTCTCTTTGTGCGGTTTCGGATCAATGAAAAAAGAATAAGCAACTGTCTCCTCCGTTCCTTTCGACCATTCGTCCTCCCCTCTTACTGTGTTGTATCTTTTCTTTCTCTTACCTTGATAAATAAACGAATGAACAATAAAAATAAAAAAATAAAAAATAAAAACTGAGCAACTGAAAGTTTTTGCGACCCAGCTGAACAGGAATGCAAACAATTTTCACTACCGAATTCTAATGATTTATTATAATGGCAGCAGCTTGAGGGCGAATTATTTCCCCCACGAAAGAAGCTCGTCTGCTGTCTCTTCATTTTGCGAATCCGCAAACGAGTTATGCTTCATAGACGTTCAAAGTGAGAAAAACTGATAAAAAATAGGCGATAAACAGCTCTCGATTGAATGATGAAAGTGGTATTGAAAGGACACGTGTCGTTCTTTGCGGCCCTGATTGTCTGCTGTCTCTCCGGACAATCTTGCACCGGTGATAAATTCCATTCGTCTGCTTGTGCGGGGCCGTGATGGGAAACCATCCACACTCAAGATATATCATTTTTTGTTGTGTTGGCTAGGTGGAAAAAGTATGCAAAATGAACATCGATGATTGCGAAAAAAATTCTCGAGCTCTAACATGACCGTGGCAAAAAACTAGAGTTATTTCGATACAACAACCCTAGTGTGAAACGTTTGTTGATGCGAGTGGTACTCGGCTTCTGCGTTTGCTTCAGACTTCTGCCACTATTTTCTGAAGATACTTACTTAGCAATGTAAAACGTTACAAAACTAACAAACAAATGAGCGCTTCCCTGTCGACAACAATGTGGAAGATGAAGAAATCAGGGGGGAAAGTCAACTAGTTGCGGAGAGAACAGAATAAAGAAAAGGGTAATATCTATAAACGGATTAGGCTTCGGTGGTAGCGCCGGTGTCATTTCGCTCTATCGTTTAGTGTATTCAAGAATTCAAGATAATATTATCTTAATTTCGTGTCTTCATTCGACATTGGAGAGTGGTAACCAGCCACTCTCCGTCGTGAGGGAAACACACAATGAATTTTAAAATGGTTTGCTCAAAGATGTGATAGCTAAAAGTGCACCAGAGTCCTCTTCCCAACCTGCGCTCTCTTCGGAAATGCAGGAGATCCTTGTTGTCCTGAAAGAAAGGATTCAATCATTACTAAACAATGATCCTATGATGGAAGCCATGGAAATTGTCAGAAGATGACAGCCTGAAAGAACTTTCCACAAAAGAGTTCACGAGTTTCGAAGGGAAGTATGATCTGTATTTCAAAGTGTTGAAAGCGAACATTGAGATGGCTGAGGCAAGTGGGAACTCATTGAAACAGAATAACTTTATGAGGACGTTCACAGTCTCGCATGATCAACTCGAAGCTCCCGGACTATCCAACGCTTTCTTCGGAGTTCACAGAAGCCTACTATCACAGAAATGGATATTGTGCGCTTTTATCCCCTGTCCTTCTGATGTTTCCGTGCAAGATAGAGACTGATCAGACTTTATTGAGGTCGGAATGGCGAGAGGTGCCCGGAGGCAACCTCTCGCCACCGATGCGTACGTATCAAGTGAAGGAAAGAATCGGGGACAACAACTGGTGTGTGCCGTCGCTCAGAGAGAGGCGTCATCGGTATCATTAATCCTTGGAGCCAGAAGATATTAGACAATGGAAAAGTGCAATGCAACAGGCAATTGTTCTGTCCTCTCACACTACGAAAGAGTGCTGTGCGAGGAGGGCCTCGAAGAGTCTGTTTGGGCAAGACGGACGCGGAGACTATGAAGCTGGTAGAATGCGGGAATTGCAGGAAATTGTTCCACGAGGAAGTGACACTCGACTTCTGCTTGTTCACATCAAATTCCCTTTGTTTTCAGTGCCTCGACCAATGGTCCCAAAGGCAGGATACCTGTCCGCATTGCCGGTGCTCCATTATGGACTTTGTTGACTTCCGACTGCTTCAAGATGACTTGGTTTCGATGTCTTTACGTTCTTTTCTAAAGCTTCACTAAATGTTTACAAAAATTGTCTTCTCTTCATTATTCTTTATTCTATCAGTCTTCTTTGAGCTTTGTGTTATTCGCATGTTCGCAACGTCAACGAGCAAGAATTCTGGAGCAGAGAATACGCAGAGAATCTCTATCTCGTGGCAACACGAGAGCTTATGCCCTATGTATGGCCTTGGCGTCGTAGTGAACTCTGCGGCGCCTGCCAACGCCAGATCACTCTGGTTCAATGTCGGGGCGCTAAATCACTTGCATACGACTTGGTCTCTTGGTCAAGGTGTTGTATTCAGTAGAGCAGTCATCTTATACTGCGATCTGTTGAGACTATCCTTTGATTGAGTTTTTTGTTTGCCTATTTTTGCAATAAAATTGTGTACGTTTGCCGCGCCGACATCTCTATTTCCACGTAAAAACAGAGATGTCGGCGCGACAAACGTACACAATTATTTCCACGTAAAAACAATTGTGTACGTTTGTCGCGCCGACATCTCTATTTCCACGTAAAAACAATTGTGTACGTTTGTCGCGCCGACATCTCTATTTCCACGTAAAAACAATTGTGTACGTTTGTCGCGCCGACATCTCTATTTCCACGTAAAAACAATTGTGTACGTTTGTCGCGCCGACATCTCTATTTCCACGTAAAAACAATTGTGTACGTTTGTCACGCCGACATCTCTATTTCCACGTAAAAACAATTGTGTACGTTTGTCGCGCCGACATCTCTATTTCCACGTAAAAACAATTGTGTACGTTTGTCACGCCGACATCTCTATTTCCACGTAAAAACAATTGTGTACGTTTGCCGCGCCGACATCTCTATTTCCACGTAAAAACAATTGTGTACGTTTGTCGCGCCAACATCTCTATTTCCACGTAAAAACAATTGTGTACGTGTGCAAGATCTTCTAGCACTCAGAATACTTTGACCCCTCATCCTATCTAATGTTCCCCAACCCCCATGGACTTTCTTCTGGGAAAATTCTCGCAGTCCATCAGGAAAGAAACCTACAGAAGCAAGATCCAAGCCAACAAGGATTGGACAATGGCGCAGATGTTTGAGGACCTTGAGCAAGTGATCAAAATCGAGGAGGATCTTCGGGTGTGTATGGGACCCGGAGAGGAATCCGAGAAGACGACGATCGAGCAAGGGCAATCTACATTCCAAGAACCAAATCCGAACAACGCGTTCGGAGGTGGTGTTCGACAAAATCAAGATCCTGGGTGTGCGTTCTGCAAAGAAGGTGATCATCAACCGAACGATTGCCGGAACGTCCAGTCAAACGCTGACAGACGTTCGATCCTGCAGAGAGAAGATCGCTGTTTCAACTGCTGTCGAGTTGGGCACGTCATCAAGGAGTGCACAAGCCGAATGAGCTGTGATTCATGTCAAGGTCGGCACAGCACTGCTATTTGCCCAACGAGAGGAAAGATTTACGCAACGAGCGCAAATCAGAAGACGACGGTCAGGAAATACGAGGCCAAAACAGAGGATATCAAGCCTTCGGACGGCGCCGTATCCATGAACGTGGCGCGAGTCAAAACGAAGGACGAAGAAGCAGAGAGTGCCTCGGTTCACCAAGCGCCATCGACTCATTTACAGGAGAAAACGGAAGGATTTCTGCCGACAATTCGAACGAAGGCTCGCAACGCCGAGACGGGAGATTGGAAGCCAATCACCGTCATGGTTGATTGTGGAGCGACCAACACGTTCATCCGAGGAAAAACAGCTAAAGATCTACAGCTGAAACAACTACCACCCGATTCCTTCCCGATGGAAATCTTCAACGCCAAAACGAAGCGCGCTAAGAAGTACGAAAGATCGGAAATCGAAATCGGATTAGGCAACGCGCCCATTTTGATCGACGCCCTCCATGCATCGCGCTTGACAGGGAAAATCATCAGACCTCGACTGTCGAACGAAGACAGAGAGTTCATGATCAAGGAGGAAATCGATCCTCATCAAGACCTATCAGATGGAGGCAACGAGCCCGACATCATAATAGGCTGCGACCACTTCGGCAAAGTGGTCAAAGAGATGATTGAACTTCCGTCGGGACTCACACTCTGGAGGACGATCTTCGGATTCTTACCAATGGGAAGCGCATGGAAGAAAGGTGGAAGACGTGATCCAACTGATCCGTACATCAAGAGAGTCTATTCGGATCGCCAAAGCGGGATCAGGGAACGGAAGGATTTCGTCGAACACGAGCCGGGCGCCTCAGAGGCTCCGGGACTCCACGCCCTACCTATCGAAACTGTAGCCGTCGGAACGACCGATGACTATGGGCCACCGGACAAGCTTCAGAATCAGAACGAAGATGACCACCATGTGGGCCGGGAGGGTCATACGCAATCAAATTCGTATGAGTCGGTTCTCCCCCACATACGCCACGACTGCTCTGCGAATCAACCGACGGGAGACCAGGAATCAACGCACCAAATCACATCACGGGAAACGAACGCCGTTTCCTGCAACCCAGTCAATGCTCGTCCCAGCAGTCATCACGCATCAACCATCACCCCCACCCGCAAGGTTACCGAAAGAGAACGCCTCTTTCGGACAACCAAACTTTCGTCACATCACGAGGAACCGGAAGAGAACGACTCCGCCGGTTACCAAACCCCGTAACCAAATCATCTTCATCCACCACACAAGTTCTGCTCGAGGGAAACGATCCTTCCGACAGACCTTCTGGAGGCCGGGAATGTGCAAGATCTTCTAGCACTCAGAATACTTTGACCCCTCATCCTATCTAATGTTCCCCAACCCCCACCCACTTCAGACCTATTTCATACTAAGTCCGCAATTGCGCGTATTATCATGCGCCCCCGCGCCAATATACGCAAGCTTTAGCCCGCCAATTCTAGGTGTTTCAGTGATCTGTTTACTGCTCAATTGAGATCTCTTGTGTTAGTCCCACTCATTTCCTTCGTTCTCAATTGTAGTAGTGACTCTTATTTAAGTTAAATTGTTGTTTGAGAGTAGGCGTTATTACTATCGTCTCCTCGTCTGTTATAATGTTAATTCAAAGGTTTAATTACCCAAGTTTGAGTTTGAGATTGGTCACAAGAATAAAGATCAAACAAGGGGAAGAACTTCTTTAGTACGTTTGTCGCGCCGACATCTCTATTTCCACGTAAAAACAATTGTGTACGTTTGTCGCGCCGACATCTCTATTTCCACGTAAAAACAATTGTGTACGTTTGTCGCGCCGACATCTCTATTTCCACGTAAAAACAATTGTGTACGTTTGTCGCGCCGACATCTCTATTTCCACGTAAAAACAATTGTGTACGTTTGTCGCGCCGACATCTCTATTTCCACGTAAAAACAATTGTGTACGTTTGTCGCGCCGACATCTCTATTTCCACGTAAAAACAATTGTGTACGTTTGTCGCGCCGACATCTCTATTTCCACGTAAAAACAATTGTGTACGTTTGTCACGCCGACATCTCTATTTCCACGTAAAAACAATTGTGTACGTTTGTCGCGCCGACATCTCTATTTCCACGTAAAAACAATTGTGTACGTTTGTCGCGCCGACATCTCTATTTCCACGTAAAAACAATTGTGTACGTTTGTCGCGCCGACATCTCTATTTCCACGTAAAAAAACAATTGTGTACGTTTGCCGCGCCGACATCTCTATTTCCACGTAAAAAAACAATTGTGTACGTTTGTCGCGCCAACATCTCTATTTCCACGTAAAAAAACAATTGTGTACGTTTGTCGCGCCGACATCTCTATTTCCACGTAAAAAAACAATTGTGTACGTTTGTCGCGCCGACATCTCTATTTCCACGTAAAAACAATTGTGTACGTTTGTCGCGCCGACATCTCTATTTCCACGTAAAAACAATTGTGTACGTTTGTCGCGCCGACATCTCTATTTCCACGTAAAAACAATTGTGTACGTTTGTCGCGCCGACATCTCTATTTCCACGTAAAAACAATTGTGTACGTTTGTCGCGCCGACATCTCTATTTCCACGTAAAAACAATTGTGTACGTTTGTCGCGCCGACATCTCTATTTCCACGTAAAAACAATTGTGTACGTTTGTCGCGCCGACATCTCTATTTCCACGTAAAAACAATTGTGTACGTTTGTCGCGCCGACATCTCTATTTCCACGTAAAAACAATTGTGTACGTTTGTCGCGCCAACATCTCTATTTCCACGTAAAAACAATTGTGTACGTTTGTCGCGCCAACATCTCTATTGCCACGGCCACCCTTTTTTTTAAACTCCACCATTTTATAATAATTCACGCGTTGAGAAATTGACTTCTTGCATAGCAATAACGTCGGATCAGAGGAACTGAAAAAGAAGAGAACCCTAAAATTTTGTGGCGCCGGCGTCTTTTGAAAAAAATGTCATTTTTTTCAAGTTGACAACAACTGAAAGTGCCGGTGAAACTAGAAAAGACAACTGATATGTTCAGTTTGATGTACTGTTATTTATCCAGTCAGTTATTGGATATCATCTTTTTTGCAACCAACAACCAACCAACCAACCGATGCGGTGCAGGTCTTCGCGACTAAATGCAAGTCGGTGAGCGGCTGACAACCGCGCGCAAACAAAAACCACGGCCGCGTTGAAAGACACGCGAAATGAGGATACACGTGCCCTCATGTGTGCGGTGTGTTGTTAATTGGCGGGAGTAGAGGAGTGCGGCATATGTGTCGAGTGTGGTTTTGTCAGGAGGGTGGTAGTTGCGATGAGACGTGTGCGATCGGCTTGCCGCGTGTTGTGTTTCCACAGTGCGTACGGTTTGCTGTTAGCGTCGTTTTGTCGGCTGCTTTCGGCGTGCTGTGTGTCATTTTTCGTGACATATTTCACAACGATGGCTGACTACATCAATCCATTCTGGGTACAATGCAATTGTTAGCGGTTGACTTGCGGTGTCGCGAGCCATATGCTTCAGTTGTCACGACTACTGTTGTTCTCGATCTGGCGCTGTTCGTTGAGGCGATCTGGTGTCCTGCTTCGAAACACAAGTCGCTTAATGTGCATCTCTACTGTTAGAGTTTCAAATGTTGTTGCGGTATCGATCGTATGCGTGGGAAGTGTTTACGAGAGTAAATCAGTGAAACATCGTGTAAAAAGCGGTTGTTTTTCTGAAACAATCTCGCTGAACATCTTTATGTTCGCGTAATACCTGATTGATTCTGTCAGCGCGATATGCTCAAGTAAAAAGATTAAGCCATGCATGCTTTGATTCATCAATGAAATTGCGTACGGCTCATTAGAGCAGATATCACCTTATTCGGAATTCAGATATGGATAACTGCGGAAATACTGGAGCTAATACATGCAACTAAATCCCAACGCAAGGCGGGATGCAATTATTAGAACAGACCAAACGTTTTTCGGACGTTGTTTGTTGACTCTGAATAAAAGCAGTTTACTGTCAGTTTCGACTGACTCTATCCGAAAAAGGGTGTCTGCCCTTTTCAACTAGATGGTAGTTTATTGGACTACCATGGTTGTTACGGGTAACGGAGAATAAGGGTTCGACTCCGGAGAGGGAGCCTTAGAAACGGCTACCACGTCCAAGGAAGGCAGCAGGCGCGAAACTTATCCACTGTTAAGTATGAGATAGTGACTAAACATATAAAGACTCATCCTTTTGGATGAGTTATTTCAATGAGTTGAATACAAATGATTCTTCGAGTAGCAAGGAGAGGGCAAGTCTGGTGCCAGCAGCCGCGGTAATTCCAGCTCTCCTAGTGTATCTCGTTATTGCTGCGGTTAAAAAGCTCGTAGTTGGATCTAGGTTACGTGCTGCAGTTCGCAAATTGCGTTAACTGTGGTCGTGACTTCTAATTTGCTGGTTTGAGGTTGGGTCCGCCCTTCAACTGCCAGCAGGTTTACCTTGAATAAATCAGAGTGCTCAATACAGGCGCTTGCTTGAATAGCTCATCATGGAATAATGAAACAGGACTTCGGTTCTTTTTGTTGGTTCTAGAACTGATTTAATGGTTAAGAGGGACAAACCGGGGGCATTCGTATCATTACGCGAGAGGTGAAATTCGTGGACCGTAGTGAGACGCCCAACAGCGAAAGCATTTGCCAAGAATGTCTTCATTAATCAAGAACGAAAGTCAGAGGTTCGAAGGCGATTAGATACCGCCCTAGTTCTGACCGTAAACGATGCCATCTCGCGATTCGGAGGGTTTTTGCCCTGCCGAGGAGCTATCCGGAAACGAAAGTCTTTCGGTTCCGGGGGTAGTATGGTTGCAAAGCTGAAACTTAAAGAAATTGACGGAAGGGCACCACAAGGCGTGGAGCTTGCGGCTTAATTTGACTCAACACGGGAAAACTCACCCGGTCCGGACACCATTAGGACTGACAGATTGAAAGCTCTTTCTCGATTTGGTGGTTGGTGGTGCATGGCCGTTCTTAGTTGGTGGAGTGATTTGTCTGGTTTATTCCGATAACGAGCGAGACTCTAGCCTGCTAAATAGTTGGCGAATCTTCGGGTTCGTATAACTTCTTAGAGGGATAAGCGGTGTTTAGCCGCACGAGATTGAGCGATAACAGGTCTGTGATGCCCTTAGATGTCCGGGGCTGCACGCGTGCTACACTGGTGGAGTCAGCGGGTTTTTTTCCTATGCCGAAAGGTATCGGTAAACCGTTGAAATTCTTCCATGTCCGGGATAGGGTATTGTAATTATTGCCCTTAAACGAGGAATGCCTAGTAAGTGTGAGTCATCAGCTCACGTTGATTACGTCCCTGCCCTTTGTACACACCGCCCGTCGCTATCCGGGACTGAACTGATTCGAGAAGAGTGGGGACTGTCGCTTCGAGGTTTCACGACTTTGTTGTTGCGGAAACCATTTTTATCGCATTGGTTTGAACCGGGTAAAAGTCGTAACAAGGTAGCTGTAGGTGAACCTGCAGCTGGATCATCGCCGAGCTTCGTGCCACGTGATTTAATCCAAACCATTGACGAATGTTGTTAACATTCCGGTCGAGATGCCTGCGCTATGAATGTTTCGGTCACTTTCTTACGGAATGTGGTGGTCCGATATTCTGAGGCTTAATGATCAAGTGTGTGTCGTGTCTTACAGGCGGATCGTCTGCGAAACGCTTCACCACCTGACGTCTCGACAGCGTTTTTTGCTTCAACCCAAAAACGCGACGGTGTTGATGCAACACGATTCGGTGGCTATTGATGCGCTGTTGACGTTTTCGAAGCGTCGACTGCGATAGTCTTAATGATGCGTCGCCGCGTTTTTCTGCTTGGAAAATGTGGCTTCGTACGCCAATCACAACACCATGCCAATGTTTTTATCAGTTTTTGTGCATCACTAAAGATGAACGTGTTTCGTCTGAAGTGACGTCGAATTTAATGATTCGATACATACGTACTAGCTTCAGCGATGGATCGGTTGCATCGAGTATCGATGAAGAACGCAGCTTGCTGCGTTACTTACCACGAATTGCAGACGCTTAGAGTGGTGAAATTTCGAACGCATAGCACCGATTGGGTCTCCAGTCGGTACGTCTGGTTCAGGGTTGTTTATCTAAACTGCTGATATGCTTCGTGCATAGAAAAGCGTGTCGAACAATATGTTTGTCTCCGGACAATGATATTGTTCTAGTTTCCGAAGCATCACAAGTT